AGGTGCACTTGTGCTGACTATGTTTCTATGCTCATACACAAAGATTCTGCTATTCCCCTAGGCGATAATTTTGACGAGCTACTATCCCACAGTTCGCAACGGTGTCGCTTACGATATATCCGGGCCATGAAAGATCGGCGGGAGAGGCTCAAGCAATTTGCCTGCAAGTACCTGCCGCCACAAGAGCAGGAGAGATTGAAGTTGCATGACGCCTTTGTCTTAAAAACTACCTCGCCGGCGATACTATCAAAGCATTGCGGCAGAGAGACATTCCAATACTTCCTGCGCTCAGTTTAGAGCTCACAACCTTACCATATACCACCTCTTCGGTATCCTCGCGGCTTCACGAACCTGCGAATGCAGCTATGTTCTACAAGATCGGATTTTGCGACTTGCGACTTGCATTTGCCCCAGCCATTCTTTTTGGAGTGGCAATCATGGGAGTATCTTCAGTGGCTGGAACGACGTGGGTATAGCATACTATCATGGGAATCAAGCTCATGTTGGGTTACAAGTTTGAAGAACAACACGAAGCAGATATGGGAAATGGTACAGCCTATATTGATTGTCCACCGTATTATGTTGGATGTGACAGCTACAGCATTTGGCCCTCATCTTCCCTCAGAGCAAAGCATCAAGCGGGCTCAGGTTGATGAGACTGGGCTTTTACCATATTTTCAAGAACTGGAGCAAATTGAGGTATAATGAACGATGACTCAGTGTATCCTTGATTGATACGTTATCTCTTTATTCATCCTTCTTTTCTTTCCTTTGCTTTCATGACTTTTCCCACTCTCCCCTTTTCAGGACCACCTCGATAACGATCATGTATCCTACTAGCTAACAGCTTTCCAATACCCAAGAGCGATCAGCTCTTTGCTTGTTAGGTCCAAATCCTTGGGTGAAAACTGCCCCACGGCTTCAAAGGGGAGACCCATGGTCTATCGCCTCTCTAGACAGAGGTGCACATTCAACAGGGTAAAATTTCAGGTAGAAACACGTATCTCACATATCATGGCCACTAAGGAAGGAGGGAGAGAGAAAACCTCCGGATACTTAAATCAACTCCTGTGCTTAAACGTTTTCAGTAAGCTCAATTATGCCCCAAATCTTCAGCACTTCACCCAGCTTCTTCAACACCTTCCTATTTTGACCATATCCTCTCCACTCTCTTTCCGTCCCCCTCGTCCTTCTCCCCATTGACACGATGAACATCCTTCCCTTTTGCCACGGATGATTTATTCTCAATTTCCTACTCTCGTCTTTCTCCCATTCATCGGCCCTGCATTAGGCGGGCATCAACACTCTCCCTCCCAATAGCTCACAGTGCTTGGGGAAACTGCCTGCTAACCGATATCGCATGCGACAGATACGCGGGATGCGCCTAGGACTGATCTTTCGCGCGGTTCTTGCAACTTGTAAGTGAGATAACCCGCCGATACCGATGGTGACATTTCTCTGACACTCGGGTCTCGCTAAGCATACGAATCTTCCTAGATGCGACACCAGCAGAAGGGAAGCTAACGATTACCTGCAACCTAAAGCACTACCTCTTTCTCCCTCTTCCTTTTCTACGTTATCGGCCAATGAATCGAGCTAAAGAGGGTTACAAGTCGGTTAGCCGCCATGTAGTAGTGGTATAAAAGAACTTAGGCAACATGACAATCTTCCAGAGAAGTCGGAGGGCTATAAGGCTTGACTGGAGTCTATTGACCAGCCTTAAAACAAAGATCTTCCACAGATATATAACACAGCCTAGTGTCTTTATCTAAACAACGGATGTTATATAAGGTTGTATAAGGGAAGATTGTTTAGAGTTTAGAGGTTAGCTAAGTTTAGGTGCTTAATGCTTTAGCTACCAAGGGGACTAAACCTTACTCTCTTCAACCACTCAACACGGAGTGTTGACTTAATGGAAAGTCAATGGTGTAGAGAGTGACATTAGCCTCGATAAGGAGCAGTTCTATCACAACTAACTTCAGCAGTCAACGCCACCGACGTCTACATTCTAGCCACCTCGACACAGTCACATACCCTCCAGCTCCTTACCATGGGATTTCACAAGTCTAACAGCTGTCAACCCCAGCCCCCTTAATCTCTGCAACCTCTCCTGGAGTCAAAATTGGTCAGGTTCATGGAAAGGAGGGATTTGCCATTCCGAGCCAATAATCGTTGACTGAACTTCCTAGTCAGGGAGCTTGTAATGATACATCTACCTTCCCTTACCGAGGCTCCCAAAACTGAGACTAAACTTGAATCGTCTGCCGAGAGGCGGAGAAGCCCCCAAATCCCCTTCCCATAAGTGTTGTAGTCCTTCTATCGGAATGAAGGCATTCATCAGTCAGTCAGGAAAAGGCAACGCTGAGCAATAGATCGCAGAATTCTCTCCAGACCCCACTTTACTCTTAACACAGACACAGACACACAACACTTGCTCAGGCAGGGGTCAGGGGCACAACCTTGTCATGAACTTTCCCCCTTTCCCCCTTTCCCCCGCCTTGTAGCCGGACAAGCCGTCTTCTCAACCATGTAAGCGGCTGATTAATCTCAAGGAATCAACTCACCACCATCTTCTCTCCTCTAGAGCAATTAATCGGGATAGACGGTACCAAAACCCGAAAGACCTGGGTCAGCTCAACCGACTCCCATCTCACTTTCCACCCTCCTCCCTCTTCCTTTCGCCTTGTCACGCAAAGATGAAGCACAACCACCCGCATGGAGCGGAGCAGGGCGGCGCGGGCACAGCACGAAGATGACGTGGGAGAAAGCCATTGGAAACAAGATGCCAGAGGACAGACCAAAAGTAAGGCCCTCGACTTTTGACTGAGCAAAGGAAGGATTGCGGCACAGCACGGCACGATACATATCCTTTCTGTCTTCTACCCTCCTCCCCGTACCTCTTCAACACTCCGTCGTGCCGTACCTTCGCACTGGCACCGAGGGAAGGTGTTCAGAATCGAGATATTCCTCCTCCTGTTGAGGAAGCCAGAAAGCCTGCTCTCCTTACGCGCACATACCTACCAATTCTTGTTTTGCTGCATCGGGGATCCCGTCCATACGCAGCCTTCAGACTCATGGAGTTGAAAAAAAAACCCAATCCGCTTACTTGACTATTGGGAAGTTCGTTCGCAGCAGAAAATTCCATCCCATTCATGCGAATCAAGATCGTGATCGACTCCAACATGGCAATGCTAGAGCTCAGCATCCCGCATGCCAGCTAAACGCGGCGCCGGCGCCGCGCCGTCAATGGATATCGAATTCACCGCACGAGTCCGAGTCAAGCATGATGTTGATGAAGCCGCTGAAGGATTCCTCGCGCGGCTGTCTCGGTGGGGACCGAGCTGGTTAGCTAAAATCTTGACGACCGGCTCGACGCCGGCTAAACGGGCACCGGGGTACGTAGCCATCCATCCGGCCCTGGGCCTTTTGGGACCGTTCAGAGGGATGCCTAGACTGGACCGATTCCTTGTTCCTTATGCCCTATGGCTCCTGCTGGTGGTGCAAATACCGGTAGTGACTCTGCCGGCAGCAAGGCTGGCTGTCTTCGAGGGTCCTCTGCAGCTTGGGTAGCAACAAAAGAGGAGGATTACATCGCATTCGCTGTGTAGGTGGTGGGTAAGGTTTCCTTTCCTTCGTGTAGTTCCCCGGGCAGTGAGATGCAAATGCGGGCCTTAGGTAGGCGGGAGTACCCCACGCCTGCTTGATTCCTTCTCTTGGCTCACCGCGAGCGGCACGACGGCGCACCGCATCCATCCGGATCCGGATCGCCGCTGCAGGTGAGGTTGGGTCATCATCTTGCCTTGCCAGTTTTGCTCGCTGTGTGTAAGTCGATCTGGAATGCTGGATTTTCAGGCAGCCAGTCAAAATCGGCCTTTCGTCGGGGTAGCTTACACCGACGAACCCGTTGAAGATCAGTCACGACTTCAACCTAGCTACCCCTCCCCCACCACACTAGCAAAAAGCTTTTACGAGCTTGCAATTCCATCCCGTGATCTTTGCCTCACCAGCTTGGCCCAGGTATCTACCTGACCCCTCCCGTCCGCCTTACCCCCGCCCCGCCTCATTCCTCCCGATCGTCCCACCGAGTGGGCAGCGAACATAAGTAACCCAACCTAGAGCTAAGCCTCTGCAACAGCTTGGCTTAGCGTGCTTCAACGCATTTTAGTCGCCTTGATCTCCTCTTCCCGTCTACCTACCCACACATATCCCGACACTTTAGCGCAGCTAGGTAGGCAACCCGTGCCGCCGCGTCCCACACGGCTGCAGTAACGGTTGCGGTTCCGGAGCCGGCCGAGGAAGCCGGGTCTACAAAGCTGGCATTGGCCCGATCGAGGAAGCATGTGGCCATTGTGGTGCTGTGCTGTGATTTGCCCCCCGCATATCTTTCCTTGCTGCTGTGTTCAATGGGACTTTTCCGCTTCCGTGAGTGCTTGTGGGATTGTTGCTCGCTCGATGAGATGTGGCTAATAGGTTGCTTGATATTGCTCTTAGCTGGACAGGTGTGCCTGCCGAACTTCTTTCCCTACAAGATCGCGGGTTTTGTAGGTATACTACACCACAGTGTAAACGCAATTCATACAGCCCCCCAACTCATCCAGCCAGGCCTGTGCTGTATGTATGTACGCAGATTAGCTCAGCGCTGACACAGAAGCCACCCTGCAAGCAAGCAACAAACAGCAACATCAGGCACATACCAGCCTGATGGGCTGGGCTGGAACCTGATTCGCACCGGTGAAGTACAGACCAATCAGCCAACCACTGCAGTGCAAGACACGGGACATCCCAATTTGGGGTCCAGGTTCAGGACGAGGTACTTGACGATGAATGAGAGGGACGGCATCTTCTGCGAGTGGTTGCCCCGCATCTGACCCGACCTGGCCGTCCGCTTTCTCGGGTCTTTTTCAGAGCTGTCACCTTGCGCGACGGGTCGCGTAAATTGGTTGCTGCAAACTCGTGTGTAAGTCGCAGTAATATACCTAAAATGCCGTCTGCCCTTTCTTATGGGAAGTAAACCTCGGGCCAAAGCAACTCCCCGCGTCTCCAATCCCAAGGTTTTGCTCCGTATACAGATTGCTGTCGATACAGCCCTCGGCGCAAAAGCCCCAGGGCCGTGGGTTGCAAACTACCGTGCCATTGACCTCTTCCGCCAGAAGGCTTTCAGTAAGCCCGACGTCGCCAGCAGTAATCCCCATGTAACTCTTCACTACAACGTCAGTCTGACTGCTGCGACTGATGTCCGTAACCCCCATCCATTACAAAACCTCGTGTTCTCTCCTCTGTCAAAGAAGAGCACGGATGTCGGCACGGCAGTTCTTTCCAACTCACCTCCTCCGAGACACGGCGTCTCTCTCCCACCCAACAGCTGGCACGTCTTAGCGAGGAGGCGTGCCTCGCCTGACAGCGGCCAAGGCGAGGGCGGGTGAAGCGGCAGAGGCGGAGGCGGAGGCGACCGACGATCTCCGTTAGGTTAGCACACAGAACTTGGGTTAAGCTTTTCTGGATGATACGCAGAGTTGTGCAGCCCAGTTCAGCACAGTCTTGGTTGGGCTGGGTTGTGAATAGTAGTGCACACCACTACCTGCAGGTTAGGTAGGCTTGGTGGTAGGTGGTGCAAACTTGGCTCGTGAACCACCGTTTCCTTCAGGTGACTCGCAACCGTGCAAGCAGGCAAAAAGCGCGAGCCTAAAGCCTTGCCTTGCCGCCTGGCAGGCGCCTAAGGCCCTTACCTAATGAGCTACTTGAGTGAAAGGCCTGGTTCGTCCAGAGACCATGACTGGCCAGCGTCTTCGGGATTCTTTCCCTCAGCCCCTCCGCAAATGAATTTTTTGTTGTCGCTTCACAATTGGCTTGTCCATTGATTCAGGTAAACAGGCGCCTTCGTAACCAGTTGAACAGTTGGACAAACATCAAGCCAACAACCCTCATCACATCTCTGCGAGAGCAACACCGAACTCATCACACAACGCAGCGACTCAACTCGTAATCACGGCTGCACCCTCACACAACGTCACCGGCGCGATTGACAGATTCTGCGGGCTGGTCCCCACTCCCGAGCGACACAGCAGCGATTGCAGGACACACGGCAGTCTTAAGTAGTCTTAGCTGCACGTCTGCCATAAGTTCCCAAAACAAGCGACATACTACCCGCATATCAGCATGTAAGCATATCATCTGGTCTTGGGGAGGCTGCATAACTCTATCCATTCCCCACTCAGATACAGAGGGACAAGAAGCCCGGCTCGCATACGTCGTGCGAGGAGAAGCAATGCAGACTCGAACTCTCACAAGAAGAGGCCAAGGAATTTGAGTTGATGAGAGTCGCGGTCGCTTGCATGTATCTTGCTGCCAGTCGCAAATTGGTCGGCGATTTGCGTAACTTGAAAGCCTTTAGGTTGACGAGCGCTGCCGTTCCTGCAGATGAACCCGGGTCTCTCACCAGCGGAGAAACAGCCCGGGTTTAGGTAATCCGTAGGCACTGGTCGACAAGAAGCTCAACAAGGACGACCCAGTCCCTCCCGTCCGAACCCTGAAGCCCTGCATAGCTGATATCCGTATCGAGATGAACATTGAAAGGATGCGGCATATTACTCTTCCCTTTGTCCCTTGCAGCCAGTCAACGATGACAATATATCAGCTCATGTGATATCCTGTAAGAATAGTAAGCGGTTGACATGACAGCTGAGAGCCTGGGCGATAGTTCAAGCCACATCTCAGCCCCAGAGAGCTTCAGACCAACGGCCAACGGCGAGGCGCTGTCTTCTTTGCCGACAAGAAATTCCGAAGCGAGATTGTCAAAGACATGCTTTTTTGTGTGCTGTGGCAGCAAGGGGGGAGCAAAGTCCTTTTGCCTAACCAGTCTGCGACCTTATCAGCCACCTGCTGCACGGCATGTTCGGCTTGGGGCCAGCAACGCGCAGATAGCCTGCAGGAACGCGATCAGACACTCTCTTCAGAGCGCGCGCGCTTGCCGTGTCAGCGATGAAAAAAAAGGGGGAAAACAGAAAAAGCCTTCATTGCTATCTTTTGATCTCTTGATGCTGCCCGTCCACGATGCGGCTCAAAAATGCAGCACCTCAAATTAATGCGGAGCGGTAAGAAATGAAAAAAGCCCGAAATATTGGATTGCTCCCTCCGCGTCGCGATATGCTGTAACAACCCGAGATTTCCGAATGCTTGACACGGCTTATGTACGTAACCCACAGTGCTCACCATCATGGGCCGTGCTATCCGTTATCTCTTCCAGCTTATCCGTCTATTTCGAGGACATTTGATCTCCGAGTTTCCCACCAACATTTGTTGACTTTGATCGTGCTGTTGTCTCAATAGCCCCCTTTTGCGGTCGTTCATCGTCAACTGTCTCCAGCGCAGCAACAACACGGTTCGGAAAGCGATCAGTGCGGATCTGCTGCAAGGATGGCAAGTCTTGCGCTGGCCCAATCGGCGGCGACCCCAGGGCGACAACCACCAAGAAGGGCATTACCCACGGCTCACGGTGCAGTCGCACGGTGTCATGCCCGGCCACCGGCGTGCGTCCAACCAGGGGGAGGTCATGCTGACAGGGCTCCCCGTTCCGGCAACACGTGGCCGCCGGGGATCAGAACATGAAAGTGGCAATCTCCCGTCCCTGGATACGTCTCCGTCCGGCCCATTCGTCGCCTTTCCAGCCCATTGGGATTTGGCTAAAAAGCTTAGAGCGTGCCAATCTCAGAGCCAATCTCACTTTCGTTGCTCTATCGATTTATTCCCCCTCCAAATAGGAAAGGATGCGTCCTTTGTGGGCAGCTGCATGCAACTGTCATCCAAACGGTCGGACTGATGCTGGAATCCAAGACAGGAGCAGTGAGATGAGATCAGAACCTGGATGGGTTGTTCTGCTCGCCTTCCCTCGACGCGGGCTCGAAAGCCGTGTCTTGCTTCAGCTCCAGCTTGGACCTCACGGTGAGGTTACACTCGGGTTCCGGTTCAGACAAGACTTGCGGCACTGTCTATCTTCTGTCTTGACCTCACCGTGTGCTGAAACCCACGGTTCGTTGCACCCTCGGCATGGAAACTTTTTCTCGATCAGTCAAATCGCAGGCGAGTGCTGGCGGTCAGCCTCTTCCTGTGCCTGCCGGGCGACGGGTAGACCGCTAACTCACGCTGGTGTCGGGCGGGTGCGGGGTGAGCAGATGTCCCCGACGCTGGGACAACTGCTGTGCCTGTCCCATTTGGTAACGACCTGCATGTTAGTGAGAGCCCTACCGCCCAGGTCGGTAATCCGCAGGCTTCTTGTAGTGACATCGCTCCATCTCTGTTCATCAGCAATCTGGCTGCAAACCCTCATCGTACGTAACTCAAGCTTTCCGCTTTGGGGGATTCAGCTCCCATATCGTCAATATTCTTCGAGAAGTCATTTTCGGTGCTCGAGCTAGAAAGTTTCAAGAGCTCCGAGGGTCACATTTTATCACCGTAAGCCGTCCAATGAGCCTCAAGTGTGTCGCGTGTGGGGACATGCTTGCCGACTGGCTCTGGACGGGCCCGAGCGATCCGCTGTTGCCCGACCGGGCCTCACACGCACACAACCCTGGAAGCCACCCCTGTGGGGAGGGGGGAGAGGGGGGACGGAGAATCGAACGACATCCCGCGTCAAACCCGCCTGCCCAGACGTTCAGCAGGCTGACGATGCGACAAGGTCCTTTCGACACACAGCAAGCTTGTCGAAAGTGTTAGGCTTGGCGGGGAAGCTGGCTTGTCTGCACGATGACGAGAATCCCCAGCTGTGTGAAATGGTATCGCGCTTTGGCGTTTCTTCAAGAAGGCTCATGTATCGGACGATGGTTGTTATTAGTCTTAAGCAGCTTTTTTGAGCAGCCATCCAATGCTCGATGGAAACTCCCCGACTCGTCCTCTGATGAACAGTGACGGATCTGGATGTTTTTGTTGTCACCGCTGTCGGGCTGCACGGGCTCTGACCTCTGTGCTGGCACCTCGATGTACCACTATGTGCCGCAGCTGAGTCAACAGTCCAATCAGATGTGGCAGTTTTGTCCATAAATAGCAACTCAACCTGCGGAAGCTGTGTGGTGCCCTCAGCGGTTGCATTGGACGGCGGTCGGAGTGCGCTATGTTAGACGAGGGAAGGCTGACAGCTAGATTTCCATCACACCGTGAACGAAAACCCGGTTAAGAGGATGGTTGAGATGGTGCAAAAGCGATCAGCGCATGCTGAAGAAGTGCCTGGTGTGATTCCTAGGTAGACAGTGGAACAATTCCTGGCTTATCGAAGAAGAGCTATCAGTTGGTTCAGGTTGCAAGCTTAGGGACAGTACATGCCGTCCTAGCTCTGAACCAAAAGTTAGGTAGGCCGTTGTTGAAGTGTTTCACAATTTCGGTCTTTGACAAAATCAAACAATACTGCTTGCAAGTTTGCCGGTTGCCTTCTCCGTTTTGATCGCTTGACGGTGAAGAGTATCTGGCGATGCTAGCGTCAACAGCGAGAGCCCAATGGCTGTCATCGGACGATGGCTGGATCCGATCAAAACAAACCCATCACTTTGGCTTCGAAGAAGAAAAGCGGGAGGGGCTGTCTAGGGTTTGATCGTGGGGATAACTAATGACAGCAATGGCAGCTGGAGTCCGGTGAGGTCATCTCCACGTTTTCATGCTGGCGGTAGGATTCTCACGCTGGAAGAGAGAGTACCGGTAGCAACGCCGGGGAAAGGTGAGGCCGGGTTAACTCCGTAGGAACGGATATCTTCCGTATGCTCATCAGACCACCACAAAACGGCATTTCTGGATGTCCTGTCTGCCGTGTCTGTACCCTGAATCCAGGATTTCTTGACGGGAAATATCGGCCGTTGCGTTCGGCGCGAGCGGCTATCACTGCCGAGTGAGTATGTAAAACGGGTAGATAATAGATATCTGGAGTGCGTTGGCCTCTTCACGTCTATAGAGAACGGAGATGGGCGAAGACTCGTACGTATGGCTCTGGCTCGCCGCATCGTCGAGCTGTGAGACAGTCTCAGTATCTCAACCTCGGCCGCAGTGGAGCAGGCTCGGGCTGGCCGCTGCAAGTCAGAGGATGCTGGAGCTTCAGCAGCAGCGAAAAGCGTTGAGGGGCTGGGAAAGTTGACATCGAGTTACTCCTCAACCCCGAGACACGCGGCATCAAGCAGAAAGATGGAGACATTATCATGGAATTCGGCATGAACGGAAAACCCAAAGGTCAAGTTTACCATGGCAGTGTATTTAGCTATGGAAGGCGAGCTCTTTCAGCAGGCGTCGTTCCAATACACTAGGTAACGTTGGTGTTAGTCGGTGCCCTCATGCAGGCCCGAGAGTTTGGGACCGGCCATTCCTATTTGCACAAAGCTTGCGAGAAGCCTCTTGGCGAACGTGTTGGTGTTATCTGACGGCTCCGCAATGGAATTTCGCAAATGATTTCGAACGTGGCTTGAGGGTCTGGGGGAGCTTGGGACACGTTCGTATGGTTGTTGATGAGTGGTGGTCGCGCTGGAAGAGCCAGCAGAGAGACGTGTTTTGCCTTGGCCGACCCTTGTGGAGTGGCCGTTGTACAAGGAACAAAGTCTTTGGCCTTGCAGGCTGCAAACACTTTGTTATCCAGTCAAATCGAACGGTTAGGTGCCGGCACAAGGATGGGATGGCATTCTGCGAGGGAACATCAGAAGATCGCAGCCCGCTGCCCACCTAAGACTTTGACAAAGATGCAGGAACCTGGAACTCGGACCCAGTACCGAGGCCCAAGTCGAAAAAAAAGGCGCGCTAACTGTGCGGACACAGTGGGGGACGGGTTAAACCCTCATGTTTGATTGGCCAGCACAGCTCGGAGCCTGTACATGCTCCGCCGCCGGCCGGCGCTGATTGGGCGGTTGAGCAGAGATCCACCACAGGCGTCTGGGACTTTAACTACGCCCACCAAAAGCCGAAAAAACGGAGCCAAAAAGAAGGCGCGAAAAAATCGCCAACGCGCTGGACATGCACAACCGTCGACTTCTTTGGCATTCGAGAGCTCCCAAACGCCAAAACGTCCGTGCTAGCGTCAAGCTGATGACGAGTGTTTCTCGTGCGCTTGGCGCCGGCAGGATGCCGGGTTGAGTCCTGCATCGACTCATCAGGCTAACCCGACCGCGTGGTGCCCTTCCAGGTTCACCAGATCTGGACCCGAGGCTGCAATTCGCGCAGGCCAGGAGAACCAGGTTTTCTAGGGTATCCAGGCCAGGCTGAGCAGCTCCCCCACAGCCAAGTAACAGATTCCCAGGGGGTTCGTCAAGAAAGCGAATTGCACAACCGCCCCAATCCTCGACCTCCTTGTGCGGCATCCTCAGTACGCAGTGCAAAGCATACAACAATATGGACAACAAGGCCTCGACATCGTCCATCACTGGGACTGCTTGACACGCCTGGAGCTTTGTCAGAGAGTGCTGCAAAGCCTGCGACACGCTGCTGGCATTGCTGGCACTCGGTATCCGCCAGCTTTCGGGCTCGCTTGCTTCCCCGGTTGAAGGTCCAGGCCCTGGCGGGGAGTGAGCTTGGCAGGCCGGGCGGGCACGCGTCGACAAGACCAGGGCAGGTCGACTTTTTGGGATCTCGTTTGTCCCATTCCATCTCACCCACGGGTTTCCATTGCGCCCTGCGCACTGTCTCCGTCAGCCCGCGATGCCCCGCTCGCTTGGCACTCGGTTGCCTGCCGGATGCAGTGGCCAATGAAATCGCACACTGTTCGACAGGACAGGCAACTGCCCCACAAGGGAGTTAGCCATATGGCACAAGCGCACTGTGTACAACAGTACCACGGACATCTGGGTTCCTAACCGTCTCTTGTGTGTCGTTCCACGGTGTGTCCCCTGTCTGCCCCTGGTCGTCAACCCTTGGCACCTGACGACTCGCTAGCCCTTGTCCAGCATCGCATCACTCTCCGGGGCCAATCCCCGGCTTGTCCCACTGGTGCCAGGCGTCAGCGATGTGCCTGTTCACTCGCTCTCACACAGCGACGCGCCGCGGCATCGAGTCGCCGCTCGCCGTACGGCGAGTTGTCCAGGGCCCGCACATCCAACATCACGGCAGCATTACCAATGTGCAGTTTGCAGATGGCATGGCAAAGAGGTTCCATGATCCCCCAGAGCAGTTCTGCACAGCAATCTGGACCCAGCCCGTGCTGGTGCTGGCGCTGCTGATGCTGCTGCTCCACACCCACTTTCACGATTCGCACAGTTTGGCGTTGTTGGCACTGATGTGTCTGAACCCCCATCCTGGCGACAAGATGAGACTTGAATTGGAGACGGGAGACCAGGCAACCTGGCGACCTGGGCCATCCCGACCCCCATTCATCCCAGCATCGTTCCCAGGTCCTGTGTTGTCCAAAGGTCCAATCCCCTAATCCCCCTTCGCGCCTTTGGTGTCCTGGACTGCCCTGCTGTTCCTGCTGCTGTCCCGTCCCTGATTTTGATTTGAGACCACGCACCAGCGGCACTACAGTCCACAGCTCTGTTGCTCAGCAGATGGGCGGCATCGCATAAGAAAATGCCCTAGGTACATACTTGTAGCCGCGTCTCACCGTTTTCTCCCCCCCCCCCCTTTGCTTTTCACCCACACGCTCACTCCTGCCCTGCCTCTCGCTCTTTCGATCTGTTGAACATCCCCCTGTCGCCCTGTCGGCGCCGCATCTCTCATCTTCCCCTTCTTGGCTCTGGCACCCTGCTTGGGCCCACACCTTCTTTTAACGTCCCCGTCTCCTTAAACCTGGCAGCCACCCATCCCCTCGGTGGCGGCTGTCGTCTTTGTCTGTTTTGCCCGCCTACCTCAACCACAGTTGTTCTTTTGCTACCAGCCAACTCCCTCGTCCTCGATCATCGAGAGACATACTCGAACGTCCTTTCGCCAGGACCGTCACCTGAGGCCCATCGTTAGGAGGACGTAGAAGCGCCAACCAAAGCCCAAGAGCCCGATCGTTTAGCGGCGAACCCGACAGGGGCGCGTCATTTGTGAGCTGGACGACCTGTGTCCAGCAAGTCATACAGATCATACAAGATGGATATGAACTACAACAGCTATCTGGATCCCCTGGGCCGGCGCTATGCGGCAGCACCGGCCCTCACCATGCCGCCCACTTATGGACCTACGCAGCCAGTTGTGCATCCCCCGATCCCTCAGTACCAAGTACACCCGGCCTACCAACCCACCTACTGGACTGCGGCACCCTACTATGCATACCAACGTGGAATGTATTTGCCTCAAGGAGCAATTCTCACAAAGCCAACGGAGCCCAAGCCGAGGTTAGCGAAGGACGAAGTTGAGCTGCTCGAGAGCGAGTTCGCAAAGAATCCCAAGCCCAGCAGCAGTGTGAAGCGGGAACTGGCCGAGCAGATGGGCGTTGAGGTCCCCAGGATAAATGTTGGTTTGCGCACAGGCGATTCCCCTCTCGCCTTTTCCCCTTCTTGCATGCGCATGTTTGAGTACTGACATGGTTTGGGGTAGAACTGGTTCCAGAATCGCCGGGCCAAGGAGAAGCAATTACGGAAGACTGCTGAGTTTGAGGCACAGCAAGCGCGAGAGAGGGAAAAGGCTGCTGCTGAAGCGGCTGCCAAAGCGGCTGCTGAAAAGCAGAATCAAGAAGCTGCGGGTGACTCGAAGGATGAGGATAAGCAGCAGGATTCTTCCTCGACATCGAATGCCCCTCAGAGCGAGGCGAACACTACGATAAAGGCTGAAGAGCCGGCCGTTGAGTGCAAGGCTGGAGATCAAGTTTCACCGTCATCAAGTCAGCCTGCGAGTGCACCGACCAACCAATATTCTTTCAAGTCGACCAGTGACAACTTCTCTCAAGTCAAAGTTGAGAACTCCGTGTCACCAGTTTCTCAGTCTCAACTAGCCGGTGAGCTGACGCCGCGGCCCATGACCAACGGCTCATATAGTGAGAGCCAGAATCATTCTGCGATGCAGCAGCAAATGACATTACAGCAATCTCAAACGACCGCATATGACTACCAGCCAGCCGACCGAGGTTCTGTGGATGGGTTTCCCCCTCCAGTCCTCGAAAACGTCACTTCTCAGCACAGCGACACCGCTATCAGCGAGGCAGCAGCATTCAGCCCGTTCCCTGAACCAGACTACTTCTCGACTCCGACTGTATCGCAGTTCCAAAGTGACATGATCTCTGCAGTTGCCCCGAGCAACCCTGACAACCAATTCCTCAGGCACCAGCCTTCAACTGAGAGCTTAGCGCAGTCAGAAGGGGTATCGCCGAGCGCGATCCCCGATTCGCCTTCCACTGTGTCCTCATTACGCTTTAAGTCCCCCCCGCCGCCTGCTGATATTGCCGGTCGGCGTAAGATTCGTCGCCCGGCCCCTCTCGGGTTGTCAGCCCTTCGGGTCGGTTCGGGCCCGAAGACGGGAGCTCCTGACGCCCAAAGGCGCGATTTGGCCAGCCCGTTGAGGCGCATCTCCTCTGCGACAGGTCCCCTTTGCGGCCGTGTGCAGAAAACATCTTATGTTGGTTCGGGCCCTCGCTCACCTTTCGCCATGGATCGGACAAAGGAGGTCCTCCTGCAGAGCATTCAGAGCACACAAGCCGGCTTTATGCCCTCCCTTAACGGCACCATATCCCCTCTCAGCCCAGAGGGTTTCCCAGGTCAAAGCCTGACCGACTCCGTTGTGGGCGCCACCACGGCCAGCCTTTCCTCCACTGATGATGAGAAGTCGACCTATCCCTTCACAACCCTCGGTACAAGCACCGTTATCCACAGCCTGCCTCCTCTCTATAACGCTGGCGATGTCGCCGTCCGTTCCCCGCCTAACACTCCCGGCCTACCGATGAGCTTTACCCCTGCAAACCCAACAACCAACGACCCATATTTCTCCGCCAGCTCCTCCCTCGACCCCACATGGAAGTACATGCCCACTTCCCAAGACGATCCCCTCCAAACCCCTGGTCTGGTCAGCCACACCAGCTCTGAGCTCGACTTCCCGCCCTTGCAGCAGCAGCAACTTCCGGGCTATGTCGCCAGCCAGCCGCAGACACCCTCTTTCCCGCCCACGACAGGGGCCGTTGATTCTGTGTTCCCAACTACCAGCCTTTATACCGGCAACCCCTCGGGCGTTGACTACCATCCTTTCCCGGAGTCGACGTATCCGACAGACTCGTCAGCAAAGTCATCGCCTGTCGCACCTGTTAGACCGATGGGTTCTGTGACATTGCAGCAGCCCACAAAGCAGTTCCAGTTCGCGCAGAATGTCACTCCTCAAGACTTTGGCAAGTCATGACGTTAGGAGTTATAGAGGGGTTGTGAGAACCGGTTGCAGCTAGCCGTGCAAGAACAAACACCGAAGTTTGTTCGGCGAGCAAGATCCCTCACTTGGGATGGCTTTCTGACCTACCTGTCTTTTCCTTGTTTCATATCATACTCTTACCCGCGTTCTCCAGAGGGATCTTTCTTTTCCTTTTTTTTCTGGCGACAGTTCAACGAAACCATGCAAGCGAGCGACAAGCGACAAGAAAACAACACATGCACACACAAGACAGTACTTTCTCTTTGGTAATGTAATGATAAATGGGTACACACAAAAGCGTGGCGGCAGCTCGGAAACGACTTGACATACCTGACCTGGACTTTTCCTCTTTTTCCCTTTATTCTTCACCTTGGTTACGGATTCCGTTTTACTCGACAGGAGCTCCCGTTGGATTGGACTGATTGATTTGAAACCAATATACCCCTTTGTTGGGTTGGATTTTTCTTGAATGGACGGATGGATTGGAAATGTGTTGGAAAGGAAATGAGAATCGTTTGGATAGGAACAGATCGGCGAAGTTGCAGGCTTGGTCGAAATCTCTGGAGGGAGGCATGGTGCTTTATCTTGGCTGCTCTGGTCGTGTTTTTCCGAGGCCTCAGCCGAGGATCGATTGAAGCTTTGGAGGAGACAGATTGGAGGATAAGCATTGCATTGAGTTGAAAGTGAAACGCAGAGCGACGGGTTTGAACAGCCGGCTCTTTTTGATATATGGTGTGAACGATGGAAGAGTGAAGTCAGGGTAGGAAGTCTGGAACAGACTCCTGTGTATAGTATGTTTCTGATTTGACTTTTTCTTTGGAAACATGTATTACGAAGACCAAAAGCGAGAAGGCAGGAGGGTGAAAACAGAGAAATGCCTACCCTGTTTTGGTGCTGCTAAAAACCTTGAATCCAATCCTTTGGATGTGATGTGAATGTTGGTATGTCGATTTGATGCATGGCATCCATGAAGATCCCGAAGTCTGCATCTTGTGTAAACATCCAGTTTATACCCTTTCCATCACCATGAACCAGTCTCCTCCAATTCCCCTCTTCCCCCCTTCCCTTCATCTATTCCCCATCGCTGATCAATAGTCCAACAATGACATCATCCCCCATGTGGGCATCATCCGTCCCATTCGCACACCCTAAACCAAGTAGGAAGGTCGTTAGCCACAAGTGGAACATGCCCCCAAAACTACAGCATATGCAAATCATTGATCACCTCAACAACCACAAACAACACATCCTTGGAAAAAAGCCGATCAAATGAAATGCAGATGCGGATGCAGCCTCGCTGCGGCCCGTCCCGCTGTGTTCGTTCGTTGTCAAGCAAGCACGTGTTTGTGGTTTCCTTGTTCCCATGGATGTGCTTCAATATATTTCCAATAGTCTGAGATTATAGCCGATAAGCTTAGTTGCCCATTTTAAGCCTGGGCATGCGTTTTCACATGTACATTTTCCTCGTCACCTGCATTGCACCCGCACCGATCGGCCCGGCCCATAGCCAAACAGGTTAATCTGATGATGAGAATTTGCTTGAAGTGGAATGTTGAGGAGAGGGAAAATAGTGCCACATTCTGGAAGGTAAAATTTGGTGTCAGTTTACATACGAGCAAAAATAGCATCGGGACTGGGGCTGTTAATGGTCCGTTTTTTTTTTTTTTGCCATGCACAAGAGCACATGTGCTAATAGTATTGCTCCTATCAAGCCTCAACATCCTCCTAAAATGCACAGCTTCTCACAACTTCTTGATGAAAGAAAAGTTCTGGAAGACTAGAGGTACCAAGAATAATCCCGGCTAAATGTTTACCAGTCTGGCTTTAAGACGGCTTCTTAAGTGATTTGCCGTCGTCACTAGCGCAGGTTTTCAGCTGGGCTAGGTTGGAGCAAGTTTGTAAGGTTGTCGCTTTCTCATATAAATCATCTGTGTTAGTGGGGGAACATAGGCAGTGTAGGTAAGGAAGCAGCAGATTTCTTCCAGTATGATGAACGGAAGCATTTGTAGTATGTATGTCTAAATGCCTTGAAGAAACCAAGAGTAAGGTTGAGGAAGCTTGTTCATGAGCGCGGACCGGCCGTGCTCCTTCAGTAAGTTCCTAACCAAGTTTATCCACAAAGTGTGAGATTTTACAATACCCAGCCTTCTACCTAACAACTAAGCTTCATCACCGACCCTGCTTCTATCCCATCTCTGCTAACTTCCATATTCTCCTCCACTGACCCCCAACAACCATCTCTACCTTCCCTCTCGTTCAAGGACGTACCAGAGCTCCCTCAATAACAACCTTAACCTTCCCCCCATCAACCTCCTCAACCTTCAAACTCCTCAAATCCCTTACTACCCAGTCCGGCTCCGCCGCCAGAACCTGCTCGATCGTGTGGCTGGTCACCACAGCAAGGACCTTGCATCCCGCAGCCTTGCCCGCGCGGATACCCGCCGGGCTGTCCTCCAGCACAAGGACCTGTTTTTCAGGCGAGGAGAGGGACAGACGTTCCCGACCGAGGAGATAGCAGGCTGGATCGGGCTTGCCGTTGGTGACTGATTCGGCGGTTATTAGATGGGTGGGATAAGGGAGGGTGAGGGCGGTTAGCCACTTTAGGGAGATAGTTAGTTTTGAGCTCTTGGTGAGGAAGCCGCATAGACCAAGCACATCAGGGGTAAGTAATGGAAAAAAAAAGGAGCATACCCCAGTGACAAGCGGCACAGTCCCCGAGGTAACGATAGCCCAGGGGGCATTCCGAGCAACCAGATCCTCCAGCAGAGCACGAGCACCAGGAATTTCGACCGCATCGGCGCCGTAAAGCTTGGGGAGGAGACCCTCCATGTATTGCACATCTGGGTAGAGTGAGGTCAGCATAACTGTAATGCGACTTCTGGGCTCATCGTTATAAGGAGGTGTGAACGGGAGCATGAGAATGGCCCAGAGTTTGTAAGCCAGGGGGATGAGGTGTGCTTACACTCCCAGTTGGCCTTCTCAGGGGCCAGTATCTTGAGCATGTCGATGGAGCGGCGGCCGTGGGAAGTCCTGATTAAACCTATCAGTTTCTGATCACGCTTGCAAGCGTTGATTCAAATTGTGCACTTACTCCAGGATGACCTTGTGGTCGACACCAATCTCCTTGCCGACTCTATATTATCGGATTACTTAAGGATCGGTGAAAGGTTGGATAGCCAGGGTGAGTCACTCACGCTTCCCAATGCTTCACGACAGCATCGGTCGAGTCGATGATAGTGCCGTCCATGTCGAAGAGCAGGCCGTCGAAGACGACTGTCTCGGCAGGGGCTGAAAAAGAATGTTCCGTGCTGCCCATGGTGATTGCGTTTTGCTTATTCAGACACTGAGGGTTACAGATATGCTCGAAGTCTTGAGGCTTGCTGTTTACCCTCGAACCGAGAGCTAACGGTACAAAACAGAGATGCTCTAAGAATAGATATATCGAGGTTTGTCTGGTTACGGCTGGAGATGACACCTTGCAAGTTAAACACTGTTTCAACTCCAATATGAAGTCCTGATAGAAGCCATCGAGATTTCAAATCCAAGAACCATAATAAAAGCGCCGATCGGGCCGACATGTTGGGTCCCTCCAAGCCAATCTCTGAATTCCAGCGCATGTCCAATGGCGGAGTCATCCCAAGCACCAGTGAGCCCGCCCTACTTCCCCTCAGTTCCCCGACTTCCCCTGATGTCAATTCGGCAACTCCGCTTTTCTCTCCGCTAGCGCCGCCTGCAAAATTCCCAGTGACAAGGATGCAATTGTCAAAGTGCAGAAGAAAGAAAGGCGGTCAGTTGCACAGCCAAAACGAGTGAAGGGCTGGCTCCAGCAGACCCTGGAATCAGGGTCACTAACGGAGGGATTATGGGTCCGCGATAAGCTGATAAGCCGCCTTGTCAGGGCGGTGAGCAGCGGCACAAACTTTTGCAGAGAGCAGTTCCACTGCATTTTTTTCGACATCAATCACGACGTCCTCGATGAGCATCGTGACTGTGGTGGTGTTCAAGTGTTGGGGTTTAGCAAACAGAAAAATCTACAAAAATGGCCGGAACAATAAACAAGCCAAAGAGTGAGTTGCCCTGCTTCCGATGGCAAATACACGTTAAAATTCGACTTGAAATTCCGGGCTGACCTCATCTAAGAGCCCACCTCTAAGAGGAAGACGACCCGACTCCGGGCCAAGATCTCAAAACGCGCGGCTGAGAAAAAGCGCAAAGAGCGTAAGCTTGCTCGCAAAAACCCAGAATGGCGCAGCAAGCTGAAGAAGGACCCGGGCATCCCGAACCTGTTCCCTTACAAGGAGCGCCTGCTGCAGCAGATCGAGGAGGAGCGCATCCGGCGCAAGGAGGAGCTGCTGCGCAAGAAGGAGCTGGCCAAAGCGGCCAAGACGGGTGCCGACGGCGACAACAAGGATGACGAGCAAATGCAGGAGGACGATGAGCACATGATTCGGGAGGAGGAGCTCGATCTGGACGATGCGATGGACGAGGATGGCAGTGATGTCGACGAGAGCAACCCTCTCGCGGCGCTTGTGCGTAGCGCTCGTAAGGCGGCTGAGGAGTATGAGAAGGAGTTGCAGAGCGGGTCGGAGATGGACGAGGATGATGAAGACGACAGCGACGACGCCAGCGATGCCGGGTCCGATGCCGGCGTCATTACCGAAGTCCACGGTGGCGCTACCTCTCGCAAGGCCTACGACAAGGTTTTTAAGCAGGTCGTCGAGCAAGCCGACGTGATTCTGTACGTGCTCGACGCGCGCGACCCCGAGGGCACGCGCTCGCACGACGTCGAACAGGCCGTAATGGCCGCAGCTGGAGGTGGCAAGAGACTCATGCTGATCCTCAATAAAGTCGACCTGGTCCCTCCGCCCGTCCTCAAAGGCTGGCTGACCTACCTCCGGCGCTTCTTCCCTACCCTCCCTCTCCGTGCCTCCAACCCTGCCCCTAACGCCCGCACCTTCAGTCACCGCGACATCACCGTTCAAAGCACGAGCGCGGCCCTTTTCCGCGCGCTCAAAGCCTACGCCGCAGCCCGCAACCTCAAACGTGCCATTGCCGTCGGCGTGATCGGCTACCCGAATGTGGGCAAGTCCAGCGTGATCAACGCCCTGCTCTCCCGTCTTCCCGGCTCTGCCCGCGGCGGCCGCACCCCCTGCCCAGCTGGCGCCGAGGCCGGCGTCACGACCGCCATCCGCGCCGTCAAGATCGACAGCAAGCTGACCCTGCTCGATTCGCCGGGTATCGTATTCCCCAGCACAGCCTCCTCGCAAACTTTTATCCCGAAAAACCCCGTCGAAGCGCATGCGCATCTTGTGCTGCTCAACGCCATCCCGCCAAAGCAAATCGAGGACCCCGTACCAGCCGTCACACTCCTGCTCAAGCGGCTGTCGGCTACCCCCGAACTCATGGACCGCCTCATGCAAGTGTACGACATCCCGCCCCTGCTGAAGGACCCCTCCCAAGGCGGCGATGCGACGATGGATTTCCTAGTGCAAGTCGCGCGCAAGCGTGGCAGGCTGGGACGTGGAGGAGTGCCGAATATCCAGGCGGCCGCGATGACCGTTGTCACGGATTGGAGGGACGGGAGGATTCAAGGGTGGACGGAGCCGCCTAAGATTGCAGTCGAGGGGGTCAAGGAGGGTAATGAGGGTAAGGTAGTGAGGAAGATTGCGGATCAGGAGGTCGCGCCTGATCAGAAGATTATTGTGACGGAGTGGGCGAAGGAGTTCAAGCTGGCGGGTTTGTGGGGGGATGAAGAACAGACAGAAGAGGGGGATAAGATGGAGGCTTGAGAGGGGTTAGTGATAAAAGGGAGGGAGGATTTCTGGGTTGTTTGTTCCTGTTTATTGGTTGGTACATGATGCCGCCCTAGCTCAGCCGGAAAAGTATATGGTGCTGTTGCTATGGGACTACCTACCTAGTATTTTCTCTGCACACTCCAGGCGTTTAGGTGTCTTAGCAACTTGGACTGGGAAAGGAATACAAAAGTTGATAGATACGTGAACTTACAGGCTGTTCCCATCATGATGCAGATGTGAAGGAACCTAACTCCTCTCATTGTCAGCCAGGGTGTCACAGTCACTTGCTGTTTACAAGGAGCTTTATATTGCTTTTCATTCCCTATTTCCCTGCCGATACCCCATGCTTACCTCCTTTTTTTTTTTTTCACCTGGCTAAATTACCTACAAATCCCGTGAATGAATGTGTCCCATGCTATCAATGCCATGTACTCCGATACCCGCCAAGTTAATGCATGCTCCTTTCCTTTGATAAAGAAACCTCACAGCAATAGCAATCCCGTCTCAACACATGCTATGCCATACCAAGAGTCATCTATGTACGTAGCAAGCGGTGCTTTTTGATGGGTATTTTAAACGAAGTGAACACCAAGCCTAACCACCAACCAGCCAAATCGACCCCTTAGTGAATGAGTGAATGAATGAAGCACAACCCCTGATTTCAATGACAACCCGATCCAAACTATCAGTGACAGATGGAGTTCCGTCAAGAAAGGATGTCAATATCATCCAAATCCGTCGGATCCCATCCCAGCCTCTGATAAATACTCAGCCCCTTACCCTCGCCATCATTCTCTTTCTCATTCTTCACAGCAGGCTGATTGTTCCCACTGCTCTTCTCCTCAGCCCTCTTTGCAACCGCATTCCCATCCCCCAACCCCAACCCCCCACTAGCCCCTCTCTTTCCAGCCACACCCGATGACGTTGACGCCGACGGGAACAACAACCTACTCGCCGACCCTCCCCCCTTAACCGGCGTATCCTGCATCACCCCCAGTGCAGACCCCCTTGCAGCCGCCCGACTCCTCGCCGCAACAGGCGTCTCAAACAAACTCCCAAACATCCCGCCAGCAGGCGATGACGGAGGGATATTATCCCCCTCTTCATCTACTCTTCCACTCAACAGAGAAGAACGCAACGGTGTCGCCTGCACCCGGTCACCCGCCGCAGAGAGCTTGTTAGTGAACTTGCGGGGAAGGGTAGACTGGGGGACGATCGAGGCACTGGAGGGAGGAATTGCGTCTTGTGTAGAGGTAGCAGCGGTTGTGGAGTTGTGTGGGGGGGTCGGGGCGATGACCGCCGGCTGGGGAGGGACAGAGAGGGCGTCTTTGAAGCGGTTATTGGCGGGAGTTGCTTTAACTATTGTTGATGATAAAGAGGGGCGGGCGAGTTTTTTGAGTTCTGCTCAAGTTAGTTGGGTTACGTTGTGATATGGAGGAAAGGCGAAAAAAAGGAGGAGGGAGGGGGGGGGGTTGTATGTACTCTTGAGTTGACCGGCCGCTTGGGCCCTCTTCTCGGCAGCTTCGACGTATTCCTTGACAGCTGCCGTACGATTCGGCTTCTTCAGCGTCGAGATGGCGTCCCTAAGCTCAGCCTCGACCTGGGCCTTGCGCTTGGCTCGGAGATCCTCTGCGCTATTCCCAGAACTAGTCTCATTGCCAGCTCCAGCGTTGTTATTGGCATTGGAATTAGCCCTAGACCTCGCAGTCGTACTGCTACCGGTACTAGGTCCCAACCGACCCGGGAACATATTCACCGGCCGCTCCTTCAACGACCCACCTGCAGTCTCCGGCCTAGATGAAATGATTCCCAGAAGCCTGGGTTCACTAGCCTCACGCTTCAACCCTGGAACCACGGTGTTGCTAGCCGAGCGCATCAAAGCAATGGCAGTAGCAGGGCCCTGGGACACACTACGTCGGCTGCGTTCAACTGACAGGGCACGTTCCAAACGGCGGCTGCTGTCGCGCTTGGAGGCGGAGGATACACGCTTGACGGGCGCGCCGGGCTTGGCTTTAGTGATGCCGGTTGGCTTTGCGGCGGCAGAAGCCTTGGGTTTAGGAGGGGATTGTGCGATGGGACCGCCGAGTTTGCGGTTCAGGGCGTCGCAGGGGCTGGGGAGACGGGCGGAGAAGCTGGGTTGTCAGCATCTTTCGTCTTGTGAAATGCCGGAACCGATAGGAGACTTACAAAGGGATGATAATATCAACACAGAAATCCCTCAGAGGGTCTGAATGAGCACTCTTCGGCTTCTCAGCACCCTCACCGTCTGCGATGGCCTGCGTCTCAGCTAAGGCTTTGACCTCATCTAGGGCTGTTGTCTGCCAGATGCAGAGACGGTCAGCGTGGACGTCGAGCAGCACAGGCAGGTTGTGCTTGTTGCGCTTCTTGGCCGGCGGTTCCTGGCTGTTCTCCCTGTCAACAGCCTGGGGCTCCCCGCCTTGTTGTTGAACCTCGTTAGAGGAATCTTTTTGTTGAGGAGGTTGAGTCTGGGCCTCCAGGGCCAAGATCTCGAGAATGAGGATGATCTGCAGCTGAGTCTCCCTTCTCCTCAAGCAGGAAATGTGGAACTTGGTCTCCGTTGCCGACATGATCTTATCATCATCGTCGTCGACTCCACGCTGCTGAGGCTGGAGAGCGGTCCACCATTTTTTGATGTGCTCGATCTCCCCAGGATACAAACCATCTTTCCCAAGCTTGGGCTTCTTCCTCTTCCTCTTCTTCGGCCTAGAGCCCTTCTCGGAGTCATCGACAAGTGTTTTGATCCTGGCTACTATCTCAGGGATCGTTTCGCGATACTTCTTGTCGATGAGCACCGTATTTATGATGAGGCTTCTGAGGAAATCAATGAGGTCCTGCAAAGAAAACCTCGAGTCGGTGCTGTGCTGGAAGGCAGCTCTGGCCCTTGAAAGGGGGCCTTTTGCGAAGTATGCCAGTGAACCCTGCCAAAGTCAGCGTCTTTTGTGTCAAAAGGAATAGAATAGATCGCAAGCATACCTTGGAGTGATACAAGGCCTCCATATACTGAGTTCTGATAATCTGGAACAGCTCCTCTGCGCTCGGTTGTGCAAACGGATCATCTTCCTGCGCCGCATCCTGAGCACTCGCCTTCGCCGGGCTCGACGACGGGGCAACACTCTCCGCCGGCGCCGGCGGAGGAGCAGGTGAACTCGACTGACCAGGGGCCTGAGTCTCCTGCTTCTCCGGTAACGACACCTCAGGAGGAACTCTCGCATCTCCCAGCACACTCGGCGGCCTCGCCCCAACCACACTCGACGCTCGACTCCTCGCCGCCTGGCTCTCCGCCCTCTTACTACTCACAATACTCTGAATCTCCTCAATTGCCAACCTACGCCTCTTGTTCTCCTTGTACAAGAGTGGCGTCGTCAGGGGCAGATCGGTTTCCTCGGCTTTCATTTGCTTCTTCGGCTTCAAGCGCTCGCGACAGGCGACAAGAGCTTTTTGGCTCAACTGCCCGATGTCCACCCAGGCACCAAGTTTGCACAGAACGTATAGGCCGTTACCGTTGTTGGTACTGTTGGCGGGTTCGATGGCATAGATCAGGCCTGTTGTTTCGGAGCGCGCGAGGAGCACACTCGAGCCCATGCGCCCTTCGAGGTCGAGAATCTTAATCTTTGACTCGAAGAGGCGGCTCGAGGGGAAGTCGCCGTGGGGTTGGGACAGGTCGAGCGCAGAGAGAGGGAGATGTTCGCGGGGGAGGAGCATGAGGGGGTGCAGGATTCGGGGTTTGACGGTCAGGCTTGAGGGATAGGGCTGGGTAGTCATGTCAGTATAAACGACCATAACGGTTCATGGACATCGTAAGTACACTCACTTTCAGCACGATAGAAGCCTTCAACAAGCTGTCCATCCCCAAAACAGGTTCATTTCTCTTGCGCTTGCCAGACGCCGAGCCAGACGAGCCTGGGTCAGGCAAGCCCTGGCGACGGCTCAGATCGCCATTGCTAACAGGCGTTGGCACGCCGGCTGAGGTCGAGGGCTGAGACGAAGACGAAGGACCAGCTCTGCTCGACGGCCTAGTAAGAGAAGGAGGAGGTGAAGAAAGACGCGACGCTCCAGGACCGGGCCCTGCGGCAGCAGACATGGCGAAGGGTAGACGACGGCGAGGTTTCAGTGGCGCATGGTCGAGATGAGAGGGATCATATCATGAACAATGACAACAAGGGAAACTCGGATAACATAAAACGGTGTTAAAGCATTTGTTAAGGGGGGTGTATCTATATTTTTAGAGTGGACTCTGTCGGTTTGGTCTGGTCGGTCTGGGAGGTCAGGGCCTGGAGAGGTACAAGCGCGGCGCGTGTTCTCGTTAATTGCATCTGCCGCGGACGTGGACGCGTCGTGGCGTTTAATTGGCGGATGGACATGGACGCGCCAAAGTTCAGCCAATCATGGTGCTCTTATGCACAATGAAGTGGGACAGCGGGGCAGCCAGCCTCCCCTCCGTTCTCAACAGCTTCATGTGAAACTTAAATAAGTCTATTGATGTATCTGCTCTAAGTTGGGACTCAATTTCTTGTAGTGCAATAGCTTATCTTCTATGTATGAGCAGCAAACAGTTCCATTTTCCTACCAAGAGGTGGACCTACATTGGTGCAACCAGGGCGTTAATCAGTTTGATCTTTTTTTTTTTGTGGGAAGGTAAGTTAAGGCTTTGTTGAGGATGCTTACTGTAGTTTGTCGTTAACATAGCCTGTATGGAATTGGCTGTCGTAATCTCCCGGGCTATGCCAACCGTTTCTGGGTCAGATGGGTCAACGTACCACGGCTTTCTCTCCTCTGGATCTGGCGTCGAGAAGCATCACAAAGATTGATTGATCAGTATCACGGCCGTCTTAGTCTTCTCGTTGTGGTTTAGAACTGTATTATCCAGGAGACTCTGACTGCTAGTCAACTTGGAGCTCACGCGGCAAAACATGTCATCTGTTTTTTTTTTTTTTTTTTTTGGTTTTTTTGGTTTTTGGTTTTTTTTGGTTTTTTGGGTATACGCCCTCGTGCGCCAACAGACCACGTGCGGTGGTGTGGCGTATCTCTTGAAGTACTCAACATTGTCGATTATGATACTCTTCCCTTGACTGATGAAGCTTGCCAACAAGTTAGCTATAGGCTGTTGTCACGATCAGGTGGCAACCACGGGTCAAAGGCTTCCTGACCAATATACACTTGTTTTTAGGTCACAGTGAGACCCCAATATTGGCAAGGTCCTCCGTCCTTGGTGAAACCGATAAGCGACAATCGATCCTGCACCCTGGCCCAGGCATTTGCTCGTGTGCCCTGCTACGCTACCTCAATGAAAGGTTCTTCCTCAAGATCCCCAATCTCTGCTTTTTTTTTGTTGACGTCTGTCATTTACGCGCCATTGGCTAAGAGCCGAACCCGGACTGCGTCGTCGGGATTTGGTCCGTAGAAGTTAATGCCGAGCGCTGCGGCGTACGTGGTGGACTCTAGAGCAAGAATAATATTGCGTGCTTCCGCGAGGGCAATGATGGAGAAGAGGGTGTCAGACATGACTGTCAGGGGTTGCTAAAGTAGGTCATTTGCAAGGGAGAGCACAATCACTTATAAAGAGGAGAAGAAAGTGGTGATTTGAAAGCACCGCATGTCCATTCGTCGAGAGAGCCAGTCCGGCTTAGAGGTAGGCAAGAGTCAGTGGTAAAGTCTTGCTCCCATGATTCTAGTCTAGTCTCTACTTTTCAAAACCTGACCAAATAACTCAGAAAACAAGGTCAACCATGGGATTACCTTTCAACAAATAGCCTCCTTCATCTCGTTCTTAGCAGATATCCTGCTCATGATTCAACCTTATTCAACCCGGGTTCAAGAGCAGCCGCAACTTGGGCCTGAAAACTTCCGCGTTGCTGCTCGACAGGACAGAGAGCTCATCTGCTTGTGTTCCTTTCTGGAGGGTTCGGAGTGGCAATTCCGTAAGGAGACTTGTCTGATCATGAAAGTCAAACTACAGACAAGCAATCGTCGCTATCAGCTATCAAATTTGACAACACTCGAAAACTCGACGTTGAAAATGAAAGAAGGCTGAGAACCGGCAGGTTGAAGTCAGTGCATGCGATAACCAAGACCATGTGGAGCATAATTTGAGTTGTGGGTCTGATCGGAGTGGGTCCAAGCAGTGATCTTCATCTCCCCGCGCGAGCTTGGGTCCACCGCTAGCCTGGCAAATCATTCGCCAGCACAGTTTGCTCTTATCCTCCACACCCGTCGGAGGTCCCAAGACAACCACAAAGCTCCCTGCCGCACAGCTCAAGAGACATGATATGATATATCGACACGGCAGCGTCCCGTGCATCGCTAACTCGTGGACCGTGGCTAGCTTGAATTCCTTGCCACGGAAACCCATCCTTTGGGTCCGTCAAGCGCTTGGTGTCGAATTGGATCGTTGATCGAGTCAGCTAGCGACCGTGCGGATGGGCAACAAATCGCATTCCACCTTTTAAAAGAAAACCCATCCCGTCGATCATCGCAATTGGCAGATTCCATCGCCCACCATCGCCCACCATCGCCCAGCATCGCCCAGCTTGTCGGGATTGCCGCTGTGTGCGTGGTCGCAGGTGCTTGCTGGCTGCCATTCTCGACCAATCCGTCGATGCAAGTTTCCGATGGACAAGCACACTTTACTCGCTGGCTAGACCTGAAGCAAGTCACATGTCCTGGAGCGAGAGGGTGACGCAGAACTCTGCCGTTGCGCCGCCAGCCCTCCCTTCCATCATAAGCGTTTAGTCTTGTCCTACCCTAGGCCTATCCTGGCTTGAGATCTGAAATGGCGTCCGAAACCTCCCCGCGAACCGTCCGCTTCTCCCAGCCCGACGGCGACGACCACCATGGTCGCCCGGACAGATCCGTGAACGGGACCCGCCAGCAAAACCCCATATCGTCCGACACGGACATCTCGGCTTCGACCGGGTCCCTGGGTTCCACAGGTGACCTGCTCTCAAGCCCACATCCGGGAGATGACGACCAGGATGATGACCAGGACGACGACCTCGCTTCCCTAGGCCGCTACGTCGAGTCGACATCCAACGCCCACTCCCATCCTCAAACCACCTCAGCCCCGAATGGCCCCAGCAGCCGACAGCGCAGTTCAGGCGAGTCCTCTTCATACTCTACCGGCAATAGCAACACCTCGCGGCCCCAGCGTCCTACTGGCCCTGTTCGAACACCGTCAAGCACATATCAGCCCTATGCCCAACGTAGGCCTCAACAGTCATCTCAACCGAGCTACATGAGCAGTAGCGGGGTTTCGCATGGTAAAGAAGTGCTTCGCCCGCGCGGAATGGGCTCAGCTACCTTTCGCAACCAAGAGCGCGAATACATCAGGAGACTGCGGCAGCAATTATATCGTAACGACTACTTTGATACCTTTACCTCAGGAGACCACGACTCAGACTCGGAGGGAGAGACCCCCTCGTCTGAGGGTCCATTTGACAGCTACGAGGACGCTCACATCATGTTTGCTGCCACCGATGGAGGTCAGGTCACCGAGGAGGATCTGAGGATTCCCTCGAATCTCGAGCGCCTGGAGTGGCATTGCATGCTAGAGACCGTATTAACGGGCGACGTCGTGCGTCAGGAGAAGAAGCGCATCATAGACTCTACGGACGGCGAGCCCCCCGATAGTCCACAGAAGAGACAGGAGCTGTGGATGGGCGTCCGGGCCCGTGCCTGCGGTCGTCGGCTAAATGTACAGAAGAAGGTGATTGAGGAGGCTCGCCAAGGCCTGGATACCGCCGTGAACGAGGTCATCAACTTCACGATTGCCGGTGAGCGTGTTGCCGGGAAACCGCCCGTTGAGCAGGTTCGTGACGCCCTGGCCAAAATTGACAAGATCGAGGCCATGTTTCCGTCACACAGGGCTCTCAAAGAGGCTCTCAAACCCGTAACCTACCAGTCCTACGTGGAAACGTGCGACGCACTCATCTCGTGGTACAACGTCAACGAGATGATCAACACGCGCCTGGCTATCCTAAAGAAGTGGGTTGGTAACGAGGATCTCGATTTTCAGCGGCCAAAGGACTCGTCGCGCCAGGGCAATGGCCTGGGCGACGAGACATCTTTCCTCGACCGCCTCATGAAGGAAGAGGGCCTCAAGTCACTGCACGAAGACAATGGCGAAGACGGCAAGCATCTCAAGCGGAAAAGCATGCTGGACGGCATCTCCATGGTCATCGCTAAGGCTAAGGACACGCTGATTCAAAATGCAGAGGCCTTTCAGAAGCGTCATTTGCCGCCGTACATCGAGGAATTGCTTACCCTCATTAGCTTCCCGTCGCGGTTGATTGAGGAAATTATCAAGGTCAGACTGGAGTATGCCAAGAAGATGAAGGAGTCAGTCCAGCATAACCACCTAATGCAGGGCCAGATGATCTCGCAGTTTCAGGTGCTGCTGAAGCTGGCTATCAAGATCAAGGCGGAGTACACCACTATTTCTCAGCCGGAGCCGGGCTGGGATCTGCCCCCCTGCATCGACGAGGATTTTGACCGTGTCGTGCTCGATGCGCTCAAGTACTACTTCAAAATGCTCAACTGGAAGCTCAGCGCCAACAAGAATACCTTCAAAGAGGCTGAGCTTTTGCTTCAAGAATGGGGCTTCTGCAACGAGATCGGAAGCCACCTATCTTACGGCGATGTTGAGGTAGCCGAGCAGTTTAGTGGGCTGACCTACAAGGCTTTCAACCGCCTGAACCAAACGTTCGAGAAGGAGCTTCAGAAGAGAGCTAAGGAGTCCGTGACAGAAATGGGCAAGCGGTACAAGCAGACGCTTGACTCTGTGCGGCTGCGCCAGCGTAAGCTGCAGCGCTTCTCGAGGATGCTGAGCGATCATTATGAGAATGCTTGTGACTTTGCCGTGGCGTTTGGGCCGGAGAGGCTGCAGGAGCTTTTGGAAAGGCTGGTTGAGTCGGGGCATTTTCAGATCATTACCGGCAATTCGGAGCATGATGGCGTGCTGATTATTGCATCGCCGTCGCTTCGGAATCGTGAATCGGAGATTCAGCGGCTAATGAGCACCTTCTCGTATGAGTCTGTGTCTGAGGACCCGACGGACCCTTACATTCTCATCCTCAAGGCCGAGCAGCAACCTGCGTGGTTCGGTCCTAGATTACACTTACCTGTCCGCGAAGTACCTCTAGATATCAAGCTTGGCCATCTCCGGCTCATCGCTGGAGGCTCACAGTCGCGTCTCACCAACGCTAGGAAGGCCTTCCTCGACAACGTCGACATGCACATCGATCTTGTCGTGGAGCAGCGGTCTAACCTTCACAAGGTCAATATGCGCATGATGGAGATCCGGAAAGTCGCCTTCAAGCTGTCCAACGCCTACATGGACAGCGTCGAGACCATCCGCCGCCAGACCAAGGGCCAGAACCTCCAGGAGCTGATCCAGACCTGCTTCATCTTCGCCACCGAGTTTGGCCAGCGCTCCCTGCTGCTCATGGACAACAACCGGCGCACGATGAACAACATGAAGCTGACCAAGCTTGCGCTAGACTGGGTAAATTTTATTTGCGAGGATTGCATCGCTAGTGACAGGAAGACGTTCCGCTGGACGGTGCAGGCGCTTGAGTTTGCCAACCTCATGACCAGCGGGCGGAATATCCTCATGCTCAGCGACGACGAGTGGGTCCGGCTGCGTGCCAACGTGGCAGGGTGCATGGCACTTCTGATCTCGCACTTCGACATCATGGGCGCGCGGTCTACCATCGTCGCGGCCCAGGCCGAGCGTCAGCGCGTGGGAGAGCTTAGGGCGCAGCTCGAGCGGCTCGGCCAAGGCCAGTTTGTGGACGACGAGATGTCAGCCAAGATTGTGGAGCAGCGCCGTTTGGGGGAGCTCGCGGATATCGAGGAGAAACGCAAGCAGATACTGCTCGAGCGCTCAGCGATGGGCCGCGTGCTGGAGGTGTCGAATGAGATTGATCGGACGCTGGCCTGGCTCTCGTCCACGGCGACGAACTTTACCATGCGCTGGCAGCAGGGCAATTTTGTGGGTGGCGGGACCTTTGGCAACGTGTATGCGGCTATGAACCTCGACACGGGCCAGTTGATGGCTGTCAAGGAGATTCGGCTGCAGGATCCGAAGTTGATCCCCCAAATCGCGACGCAGATTAGGGACGAGATGAGGGTGCTGGAGGCGGTGGATCATCCGAATGTGGTGTCGTACTATGGGATTGAGGTCCATCGCGATCGGGTGTACATGTTCATGGAGTACTGCTCAGGCGGGTCGTTGGCAAATTTGCTCGAGCATGGGCGCATTGAGGATGAGCAGGTCATCATGGTTTATGCGCTGCAGTTGCTGGAGGGTCTGGCCTACTTGCATGAGGTCAAGATTGCCCATCGGGATATAAAGCCGGAGAGTAAGTTCCCTCTTTCCCAACCCCTTTTAGTTTCCCTACTAACATCCCTAGACATCCTCCTCGACCACGACGGCGTAATCAAATACGTCGACTTCGGCGCAGCAAAGCTCATCGCCCGCCAGGGCCGCACCATGATTAACCAGGACCTGACCTCCACTAAGCCCAACAAGTCCATGACCGGCACCCCGATGTACATGTCGCCCGAGGCCGTTAAGGGCGAGAACACGGGTCACTTCGGCGCCGTCGACATCTGGTCCCTAGGCTGCGTCATCCTCGAGATGGCTACCGGCCGTAGACCCTGGTCAAACCTGGATAATGAATGGGCCATCATGTATAACATTGCGCAGGGGAATGCGCCGCCGCTGCCGACAACGGATCAGCTTTCGCCACAGGGGATCGATTTCCTCAAGAGATGTTTTGAGCGGGATCCTGCCAAGCGCGATACGGCGATGGATCTGTTGCAGCATGAATGGATCATGACCATCAAAAATCGGGTCGTGGATCCGCCGGCTACGCCGAGCAGTGAGGCTAGTGCGATGCTAGGGGGTCCTGCGGGAGGAGGAGGAGGACCGGGGACGGCGTCGATGAAGAGTGTGGTTTCGATTGATGGGTCAGGACCGCAGCCTCCGTCGGGACAGGTGACGGGGATGGGGACGGGGAGAAGCGTGCAGCTTGAGCCCGGACCTCTGCTGAGGATGGATCAAGTGGGAACTTGATTGGGTGTGAAGGGATCGATGGGCTACTCTGCTCCTTAGCTGATCATTGTTTTGTTTCGTGGCTGCTTTGTGGGCTTCATGATACATAAAGAAGGGATGGATCCTTTTGTCTCGTCAAGTTGAGCATGCAGGGGGAGTAGGTATGTCTTTTCTTTTTTCTTTTTTCTTTTTTTTTTTTTTCAGTCGGTCGCAGGTCGATACCCGGATTGGAGCCAGTATACGCGAGGTAGTTGGTAATGGAATTAATTATAGTTCATCTATCTTGTTGTCTTCTGCTTTGGATTACAGTGCACGGATGATTCCTCGACATCGGAATTTAAGTCCTTGTTGAGCGATCTTCTCTGCTGATGGTATTGATGAGGATGAGCCATGGCAAAGCAACATTGTGTTGCTCGCAACTCCAGCCTTACTGAATACTCTAAGGCATAAGAATCCACAGCTGTATGAAGTGACAAACCTCTTAGTCCCCTCTTAACAACTACTCCTCTACCTTCTCACTCCCTTCACACTTTCACATAATTCACGTGTGATCATCTGTAATGCATGCATAGCAAAGAAGTCATAAGACCTCCCTTGTAAGTAACAGCTAGGTAAACTGTCACCCTCTCACTCCTCATACATCATCACATTCACATCTACCCCTAATCAGCATACCCACTGCCCACTCCAGTCAGAACCCGTGGCCCCCCCCCCCCCCCTTTGACAAAACCCCGCCCCGTCCACCTCCAAGCATAAGAATCACCGCATAATACAGCCAGTCAAGCAGATCAATAGTGTAGCATAGGTAGCATAGCAATAATCGGCAACGCCAGTCAGCCAGTAAAATAAGATAATACTAAGAATGCTTGTTGTTGTAGCTTAACCTCACGCAATCCATCAACCAAAATCAACCAGTCCCAAACCAGTTGACTTCAATCCATCAAGCACAACACCTAATCCTGCCCATCCATCGATCACATACAGCCTCCATTCCATCCAGCCAGCCCCCCATAACCACTAACCTCCGATCCTAGTAGTAACAGTAAAGTAGGTAAAACCCTAGACCTAATATTTTTTGCGCCACATAACCGATGCCATGCAATCAATCAACAATCAGTAGTAAAAGAGATGTGTCGAGTGAAGAATAACACGAAACACTGTCCTCGTCTTTAAAAGACTTCAAAGACATATGATGACCATAATCACAACGCTCTGTCTCACAACCCACATTCCCCACATCACTCATCATCCTCCAGCAGGCTCTTCTAGTACGGACTCCTCCTAGCCGGCGGGGAATGACTGTGATGCCACGATGAAGACGAATGATGCCTCAACGGTACACTGCTCCCGCTACCCCCACCACCGTTGGAGCTCCCCCGACTGTTGTTAGCCAGATCAGGTCGGCGCCGGTAGAAGCTGAGCCTGTCATCATCGTAGTAGGCGCGCCGCTTCGCGTCGCTGGAGCCCACATCGCTGGCACGGCGGTCGAGGTCATTGCGACGTTCCTCATGGCGCTGCTCGCGGCGGTCGTCACGGTAAGGGTCACGCGAGGGTGGGGGACGACGAGATGGTTGGTCGCGATCGCGTTCACGGGGAGGTTCGTCACGGTCGCTTGGGATCTCGCCATCCTCGAGGTCGGGGTTCTTGGCCTTTGCCTTCTCTTCCTCCTCCTTCTGACGATCGGCCTCGGCAAGGCTGACGTACATCTTTTGCAGGCGCTTGCCTGACACCTTGACGTCACCGAGCGGCCAGATGTCGGAGAGGAACTCCCTGGTTTTCGTTAGAAGGTCATCATGCTGTAGGCTGTCTTGAGGGTTCCTACCAGAACTGCTGCTCAAGCCCCTCAAAATTGGGCCCATTCTTCTCCTTCAGGCCGCGCAGGAAGTTACCAAAGGCACGAATCTCGGCACCCAAGAACTTGGCACGCTCCTTTGCAATGGGCACGCGTTCCTTGGAGTAGATGATCCGCTCAATGTTCTCCTGGAGCGGGCGCAGAATAGACCAGACGACCTGGACGTTGTCATTGGGATCGATCTTGTCGTCCGGGATCTTGGTAAGCTCATGGAACCGCTCGACGGCCCTGGCACGCTCCCGCTTAAGGCGCTCCATAGTTTCGGGGTCCAGTTTGGGCTTCTCCTTCTGATCCTTGCCACTGGTCGCCTTCTTGTCGTGCTTGGCGTCGCTGTCAAGCCGCCTCTGCTTGGAATCGCGATCGTCGTAGTCGTCGTTATACTTACGCTTATCGGGCCTAGGCGTGCCGCGGTCGTTGGCGTTGCTGTAGGACCGATGGTGATCGCGATCCCTCTGGGAAGGTTTCTTCGACATAGACGGCGCAGGAGAAGCCGACACAGAGTTCTGCTCGCTGCGGCGGATGCCGTTTGTCAGGAGCTTCTTGCTTCGATGGTGATTCTCCACGGCCTTCTTGGCGTTTTCGTCATTAGAGTATTTCGCCATCAAGACCGAGAGGAGATATTCGGAGCGCCGGACGAGGTGGACAGCGCCAGGAGACTGGATGGTCTTGTCGTCAGTGCGACGACGCTCCTCCTTCTTGTCAACCCGGTGCTCTTCCAGGAAGAACTTGTCTTTCATGCCCAGCTGCGGATCATCCCGGATCTGAGTCCAAGCGCCAAAGCCGTACTTGTCAATGCCGACAAGGAGCATGGCGTCTTCCCTGGCACCCCATTCACAAGTGTAAGAAGCGGCCTTTGTGGCCTCTGGCAGACGGAAGGACAAAGCATCTCCGTGCTCCTTTTCGTGCTCCCTCAATACACGGCGCAGCAGCTTGAGCTGAGGCGGGCGCTCAATGACCGTCTCGGCATTTATCTTGCGGACTTCACCAAAATCGACCAGAACAGCCTTCTTGTCCTTCTTGGCTAGTGGTTTGCCAGCCTTGGCCTCTTCCTCACGGAGCTTCTCGTTGTTGGCCTCGATTGCCTTCTTGCTGACCTCAATGAGCTCATCAATGATGGACTTGAGGTAGCCACGATCGCGGTCCGTAAGACGGGCATCATGAACAATCTCCTCTTCGCGCTCCTCAAAGTTGCCATAGCGGAAAAATGCCCGGATGAGGTTGCGCGTCTCCTTCTCGCCAAGAGGACGACGGGGATCAGTGAGCAGAGCACGCTGCTCCTCGAGGTCTTCAGCCTCCCTTTCGCGCCAACGCTTCTTGATGCGCTCCTGACGCTCGATTTCAGCGCTCTTCTTGGCGCTCTTAAGAGCAGCCTTCCGAGGAGCAGCCTCTTCCATAGCCTTCTGAAGGTACTCCTCGTGCTTCTTTTTCTCCTCCTCAGCCTTGATGGCTGCGAGCTGGTCGGCAGGAATGATCTGGTCCCAGTCGAGCGCGTTCTCGTCGAGCTTGACATCAGTGACCTGCATCCAGTTATCCCAGTCGATGCCACCAGTGCTGAGGTTGATCTTGTCGTCAATGTCCGTCTTGGTAACCTCAGCGTTCTCCAGAATGGCATCAATGTCGAGCTGTTCCAGCTTCTGCTGGTTGCCCGTCTGCTCGAAGAGGTTCTGAGACCGCATCTTGAGAATCATGGAGATATCTTCGGCCGTCTTGGCCTCGTCGAACTTCAGACCCTTCTCCTTGAATTTTTCGCGGAGGGCCTTACCCTCGGCGTCGGTCACACCAGCTTGGATGGTGAGGTACTCGAGGAACAACTTGTTCCTCGCGCGGGTGACAACTTCCTCCTCAATGGTCTGCTTTGAGACCAACCGATAGACGTTGACTGGCTTCTTCTGACCGATACGATGAGCACGTGCCATTGCCTGAAGATCGGCCTGGGGGTTCCAATCGGAGTCGTAAATGATAACAGTGTCAGCAGTCATTAGATTGATGCCGAGACCACCAGCACGAGTCGACAGCAGGAAGCAAAAGTCCTCGCTGTCTTCAGCATTGAAGTGTTGAATAGCCATACGGCGAGGACCGGCAGGAATAGTACCGTCCAGCCGCTGGAACTGGTAACCACGAATGCGGAGGTAATCGCCAAGAATGTCGAGCATCTTGACCATTTGACTGAAAATCAAGACGCGGTGACCATCGCGCTTGAGCTTGGCAAGAAGCTGATCGAGCAGCATCATCTTGCCGCTGCTGGTAATGAGGCCCTTGATTTGGTCCTCACGACGGGTGCTGCCGTTGAGCACACGCTCCTCGGCGCCTTGGAACATGTAAGGATGGTTGCTGATCTTCTTCAGCTCCATCATGATGTTGAGAAGAGATTGCTTGTGACCACTGGCGTCACGAAGCGCGGCATAGTTGCGTGTAAGGATGTTCTTATAATACTCGAGCTGAATGTCCGACAGCTCAACACGAATGATCTTCTCCGTCTTGGGAGGAAGATCGGACTCGACAGTTTCTTTAGTACGACGTAAGATATACGGAGCAATGGCCTGGTGAAGCTCGCGCAGCTTCTCCTGAGTGCGCTGGCGTCGGGCCTCGTCCTGCTCAGCATCACCAGTTCCCTTGTTGTCCGCACTCGACAAGGCCTCGAGTTCGTCATCGATCAGAACTTTACCTGGATTCAGGAAGTCCAAAAGAGCGGACAGCTCGGCAAGATTGTTTTGGATAGGGGTACCAGTGATGAGAACTTTACAGGGGATCCCGAAACTGTTGAGCTTGATATATAGTTGAGACTCGCGGTTCTTGAGGCGATGAGCCTCGTCAACAGCAAGGACTTGCCACTTGATGGGCTTCAAGTGGTCCGCGTCGGCAAGGATGTAATCATATGAGGTGAGCAAGACGTTAAACTTCGTCTTCTTCGGGTTACCATCGATGAAGAGCTCGTACTGGCGAATGATCGAACGAGCCGATTCCGGGCCGAGATAGACGACATAGTTGAGGTCTGGAGCCCAATTGTTGAAGGTATCACACCAAGCAGGAATCACACTGAGCGGGGCAACAACGAGGAAGGGACCCTCCTGGCCACGATCGTTGCGCAGCCAGCTCAGGAATGACACCGTCTGAACAGTTTTGCCGAGACCCATTTCGTCGGCCAGAATGACATTGTTGCCACGCGTCCAGTTAAGGGCGAGGAAGTTGAGACCCTTCATCTGGAATTCGCGAAGCTCGCCGCCCTTGATGTAGTCGGGCTGCTTCTCCAACTTCATCATGCGGGTGCGTGTCTCCGGGTTAGACTGCTTGCGGTCCGACTGCCAGGAGCGCGTCGACCGATCGTAAAACTGGTCGATCTTGTCCTGGGCTTGACTCTGGATGAGCGAAGCATCCTCCCAGGTACACTCATCGTACTGGAGGCCCTTCCACTTGACGAAATACTGAAGGCCGTCATCGCCATCACGGACGGCAACAATACGCTCGACCTTGGTGTAATCTTCGAGGGCTTCCTCTTCGCGTTCCCGGTCGAGCATCCACTGCTCGCGCTGCTCAGGGGTGATTTCGTCACCGCCAAACTGCAGGTCGAGCTCGTACTCAACCACCTTCTTGAAGTAGTTTTCCAGACGCCGGAAGCCGCGGAAGCCGGCAACGGACTCGGTTGTCTCCCAGGTGTTATGGAGGTGCGACTTGCCCTGCCACTTGATGAAGTACTCGAAATCATGTCGGGTAACATCCGGCGTGATCTCGACGCCCGGTTTGGGGCGATGACGAAGGATCTTCTCGATGTAGGGCGAATTATCCTCGACCTCAGCGGCCCAGTAGCCGGGGGTCATATTTTCGTCTTCCTCATCTTCAAGATCGCTTTCTTGATAGGTACCAGCCGACACTTGGGCAGCGCGACGGCTAGACCATCTTTGGACGCCTTGCAGTTCTTGCCGGCGGGCCTTTTTCTGGAAGCTGCGAGCCTTGGCACCGCCATAGGTATCTGAATCTGAATCGTCGATAGATGGTTGCCGAGCTGGGGTGCCGCGCTTGGAAGCTGCATGCGGTCAGCCACGATCGTCGACAGCAATGTTCATAGGAAGAGGATCGAAACGCACCAGGCTGGGACCGTTCCACGCGGCGTTTCTTCGTCGTCTTACGGGCTGGGGCGGCATCGGATTCAGAGGACTCGTCGTCATCCTCCGACTCAACCTGTCATAATAGGATACTACGTTAACCCGAGAACATCAGGACGGACGACAAGAGAGTTGGGGGCAGCAAGACTCACGATCTTCCGCCTTTGTGTAGGGCGAGACTGGATGACAGAAAGTCAGCCAACAACACATACGCAAACGGCGGGATATGAACATACACTCCGCCTCAGACCATATAGCTCGGGGTTCTCCCGGATATACTCGTCATCCATGATCGAGGTGGCCTTGCGCTTGGCAGCAGGCCGGCTCGATGTGGACGCAGGACGCGGGGCGGCGCCGCTGTTGTTACTGTGTTCAGATGTTGGGCTGGGCTCGGCGACGAAGTCCCCATCGTCGGCCCGGTCATTGTTGCTGGCCGAGTCAGACAACATCTCTTCGTCTTCCTGGGCCGGCTCGGGTTCGGCACCCTCGTCCGGCGAGCCGACGGCATCGGCCGACGCGGGCGACGGCGCGTCATTTTGTGGGCTCTGAGCATCTGAAGCGTCGTTTTGGACTCGAATTACGGGAGTGGCATGAATAGTAGAGTCGTCTGGGCTAGGGATATTATGGCCATCGGCCGAACCGGGATCCGGTGATGTTGACATTGTGAGAGAAGCGCGGCTCTGCAGCTGTGCCTGCGGGAGGACGACGATGTCAGTTACAGCATTCATGATCGGACTGGATCGCCAATTGGGGGAATCAGTAGAACACGCGCGCGCGACCCGACACCAGCCAGCGAGGGCCCGAACCGACGCAGAATCGCGTCTCAATGATGCTTGTCGCATCGGGGGTCGTGTAAGTGATGGGCACAAGGCTGTAAGTGATGATAGGAGGGCATTGCAGCCGCCCAGCAGGCACCAGCGCGCAAACGACGGGTCAAATGACATCGGCATCATCGCCAGCAGCGATTTCCATCAATCTTCGAGCGGCTTGGGTCGCCAGATGGGCGGGACGGGGGCATATCGATGAGCAGGGCCCAGGTTTCGATGGCCGACTTGATGGGCAAGACGCGGCGGATCACGACCGTGACAGCAGGTGCAGCAGCAGAAGAAATCAGGGCAGCACACAACTTTCTCCCACTTACACAACAATAGAAAAATATCCGCTGGCAGCAGGCCGCAGCCAGACCTGCTCCGAGGATCTGGATGAACGAGAGTCGCTGGGGTGCGGGGAGTGGTGGTGGTGGTTAGAGGTGGGCGACCCCAGCGTGGTTTAGTGATGGTGTAGCGGAATTTCGCAGTGCGTGCTTGTTCGCGGAGGAGAAGAACTGGAAAATGGTGAGTGACCCAGCCAGGAACCAGTCACCCACTCCCAGTTGGCCTGTGCTGCCTGCCCCCGGTGCAGAGAAGTGGGTCCGCCAGCTGGGACCTGCTGCACTTGCCCCACCCTGCGCCTGTTGGTAGTGGGGATTGGCTCGATTGGCTCTTGCCGTCGGCGATGTGGACCCGTTTCACCGAGGCTGGCAGCTGGCGGGGCGAGGTGCTGAAACCTGGGTGTGCTGCTGCTCAGCCTGGAGCTGCTGCCACGCTGTGCAATTGGACGGGTGAATTCACTTGCTGCTTGCTGTTGCTGCCGTTGGCCGCTTGCCTCGTACCACTGACAAGGCGGATGCTGCAGAGATGCCCTTGGAAAAAAGGGATTGTGCTTGGGATGGGAAAGTCAAGTGAAGATGCCAGGTATCAAAGACTTGGCTGGAAAAAAAATTTCAGGGGAAATTACCTCGTTGTCGATAGTAAAGATGCGACAATGATGATGATCCCGGTACAGAAGTTAAGAGAATTGGAAACGACAGCAATGATCAACTCGGTGTGGAGTGAGCAGTTGAACTTGTGGCGGTGAGCTTTCAGTGTAGTGGCAGTTGCAGTTGGAAGGATTGACTGAGAAGGCGAAAGCGGGAGAAAGTCGAGGGCGACAGCAGTTAATGGGCCTCAAATAGGTGGTCGAGGATGACGACGGGACGACGCCAGGACGCAGGCTCAGTTTGGGACAACAGGGCTACGGCAGCAACCACGGCGCTGCTTTGATGGGACGGCGACGAGGACCTATCACATTGGATTTATACTCGGATCTCTACGTCAAAAACGCCCATAAACAACGTGTGCATTGATTGTCCAAGCACTCTTTCGACGTATAAGAAGAAAACTCATGATTTTACAAGTCCTATACTGTGTCGTCACAGAGTTTTCAGATGGCATGCCCGGGAGGGCTGCTGTCCGCAGCAAACTCCCGATGGGTGATCTCAACACGCCGGTGGGCCGAGTCTTAGAGGCAACAGCGCCGACAATGACGCTTGGCCGGAACGGGTGTGCACTCCACAGAGAGTATCCTTAAGGTGTTGAGATCTGTTTCACAGATGTGGCCGTTGATATGGAAAGGGATTAAACCTGCGTGATACCCCTTATGGTCCCGTTGCTGAAATGAGGCCAGTGATGCCTAAATTTATGGTTCAGACAATATTTACTTGTGGGACAAATTTCGTAGTCTCTCATTTTTGGTATGTGCCTCAAACACCGATCAACTCTTATGCCACATTGCGTCCTCAGGATCACCAAGTTGTCATGTTGGATGAATGTTATCCTCAGTCCCAGGGCTGGTGTCGGAGCTCAGCCTGGCGCCACAGTGTTAGCCTATCACTGGCGGCCGATTTGGGCTTACGGCTTTCTGGCGCCAAGCTTTGGATCTCTACGTGTCAATGGTGGATCCATGGCAATTTTGCCCTGCCCCTCCCTCCACAATCAAACGGCCAGCAACATTTTCGCAGCACCTTCACGAGCTCGACCCACCGGCGCCCCTCCCTGGCTTTGCATCCACGGTTATCACCATCCCGTCCTTCTGTTCCTCCACTTCCATTCTCGCTGGCACGGTGCACTGCAGTATTGATATCTCCATACACCTGCCTTGAAGGGTGGTTTGTGATTTTGCACACCTTTTTGCTTGGGCTCCCAGATCGAGGAAAGTAGGGACCGTGAGACTTGGCCCCGCTGCCCCGCGACAAAAGTGTTCAGACTACGAAAAAAAAAAAAAATATAGACAGCATCAGCCATGGCCGACAAGCTCACTCGGTACGCCCTTTCTGCTGCGAATCTGGCATTGCGACTCTTTCGTGCCCATGTGATGTGCTAACTGTGCATACATAGTGTCGCTATTGTCAATAGCGACAAGGTATGTCTCCGCTCTCTCTACCCTCGGCGTGCAGAACAAAAAAGCAGTAATGCAAAATCAAATCGTGGACATGGGCTGACAATGGGTTCAAATAGTGCAAGCCAAAGGTCCGTGAACATGTCAGAGGCCCAAAATAAGTGCTTGTACTCACAAGAAGACAGAAATGCCGTCAGGAGTGCAAGAAGTCTTGCCCGGTGGTGCGCTCCGGCAAGCTCTGCGTATGTCCCTGCCTGCCTATTCATAACCCCCTTAGCCCCTGAACTAACAATATGTAGATCGAGGTATGTTAGATATCGCCGAAATCATGCATTTTTGTCAGTCAGGACGCCTGACAATGTCCCCAGGTGACTCCCGAGTCACGCATCGCCTTCATCTCTGAGCAGCTCTGCATTGGTTGTGGTATCTGCCCGAAGAGGTGCCCGTTCGGCGCCATTACCATTATCAATTTGCCGACCAACCTTGAGAGCATGATTACCCACCGCTATGCAGCCAACAGTTTCAAGCTTCATCGTCTTCCCATGCCCCGCCCTGGCAGCGTCCTGGGTCTGGTCGGTACCAACGGTATTGGCAAGAGTACTGCCCTGAAGATTCTCAGCGGCAAGCTCAAACCTAACCTTGGCCGCTACGACAACCCGCCTGACTGGGAGGAGGTCATCAAGTACTTCCGTGGCTCTGAGCTGCAGAGTAAGCACGTCTGTCTTGGTTGATGTTGGGCTGAGGGCTGACGGTTTCAGACTACTTCACCAAGATTCTGGAGGATGATCTGAGGGCCGTTGTCAAGCCTCAATACGTCGACCAGATCCCCAAGGCGGTCCGCACCCCCGACAAGACTGTCAAGTTCTTGATTGAAAGCCGCAAGTCCATGGACAACCTGGACGAGGTCCTGGACACTCTCGGTAAGCTCCATGTATAAAAGTTGGGCTGCAGACCAATTTTGCTAACAGGAGCAGAGCTGCGCCACATCTACGACCGTGATGTCACCCATCTCTCTGGTGGTGAGCTGCAGCGTTTCGCCATTGGTACCGTCTGCGTGCAGAAGGCCGATGTGTAAGTGCTATGAACTTTCTCTGCCAAGACTCAGGCTGACCCCGACAGTTACATGTTCGACGAGCCCTCTTCGTACCTCGATGTTAAGCAGAGATTGGCTGCTGCCCGTATCATCCGCTCACTGCTGCGCCCTGACGACTACGTGATCGTCGTCGAGCACGACTTGTCTGTCCTCGACTACCTTTCCGATTACGTCTGCGTCCTCTATGGCCAGCCCGCCGTCTATGGTGTCGTCACTCTCCCCCACTCCGTCCGTGAAGGTATCAACATCTTCCTCGACGGCCACATCCCGACCGAGAACCTGCGTTTCCGTGAAGAGAGCTTGACCTTCCGCATGGTTGAGGGTACCGAGGATTTCGTCGCCGAGAAGTCGCGCGCCTTCAAGTACCCTGCTATGGAGAAGACCCTGGGTAACTTCAAGCTGCGTGTTGACGCTGGCAGCTTCTCCGACTCTGAGATTATCGTCATGATGGGTGAGAATGGTACCGGCAAAACTACTTTCTGCCGTCTCCTGGCTGGTGTTCTCAAGCCCGATGGCACCACCCGCGTTCCCGAGATGCGCATCAGCATGAAGCCGCAGACCATCACGCCCAAGTTCGAGGGTACCGTCCGCCAGCTCTTCTTCAAGAAGATCAAGGCCGCCTTCCTATCTCCTCAGTTCCAGACCGACGTCGTCAAACCGCTCAAGCTGGACGACTTCATTGATCAGGAGGTCAAGAACTTGTCTGGTGGTGAATTGCAGCGCGTAAGTTCCTCCTGACAATCCTATTGGGACCCTACTAATGTGACTTAGGTTGCAATTGTCCTCGCTCTTGGTATCCCTGCCGATATCTACGTCATCGACGAGCCCTCTGCCTGTGAGTTCCCCCAATCCTTCAGGTTAATGAGCCTTGCTAATGATGTCCAGATCTCGATTCCGAGCAGCGTATCGTCGCCTCTCGTGTCATCAAGCGCTTCATCATGCACGCCAAGAAGACCGCCTTCATCGTCGAGCACGACTTCATCATGGCCACCTACCTCGCCGACCGTGTCATCGTCTTCGACGGCAAGCCGGGTATCGACGCCCACGCCAACAAGCCCGAGTCGCTGCTCACTGGCTGCAACACCTTCCTCAAGAACCTGGATGTCACCTTCCGCCGCGACCCTACCAACTTCCGTCCTCGTATCAACAAGCTGAACTCGCAGCTCGACCAGGAGCAGAAGCTCAGCGGCAACTACGTACGTGTCAATTCCACTCCAGCTTTGCCATATGATCTGCTAACACGCCACAGTTCTTCTTGGAAGAGGGTCCCGACAAGGAGAAGGAGCGGTCTTGAAAAGCCCTCGGTCGCCAAGGGCAACTACAAGCAGCACAACCGCCGTCCTCCCCCTCCCTTTCAAAGGGATAAACATACCCATCACCATGACAACCACTGCCATCACCACGACGATGCATCATCCTCGTACTCCGGTTCTTCTGGCGTTCTAGGCGTCCAAAAGGGTTGTTCTGGTAGATCCCGCGGCGCCCGGGGCGGACGGGGTGGTGTATCCGAGATGCTGGAGGGCGACGGGTCAGAGGACGACGATCCGGACATTTTATGGGAATGAGCGGTGGTCTTGTTTATCGTATCGATTATGATTGATAGATACCCCCCGCCATTGCTGGCTCTATTGGGAGAGGCTCTAGGTTTAACGATCTTTTTCTTGGAGGGATGATGGATGGATGATCTTCATGAGCTAGGTCGGTTTCTCTTCATTGAGAAGAGGGCTGATCACTTCTCGTAGAGCGAGGAATGGCAATGGTTTATAAAACGGATATGGGGGAAGCCACCGCAAGAAATGCCCGCAATGATAACGCTGGGCCATATGTAGGGAGATGTTTGCGCTGAATGCGCAGCATACTGAAGCACAGAGAAACAAGCAGATACATAGATGGCGTCTGTGTTTTTTTTAGATCAGAGCAATGGAATGGGTCTGGATTATAAATCGGTGCCCTACTTTTCCTGGGATTGTGCTTGTGACATTGAATAGAACTAGACTGGCTGACAGCTCATAAAACTACACTGGTTTACACAGTGAGGATATAAGAGGCTCATCGGCAACAATAGACTGTGGGATGGATACGGTTGGACAGGAGCAAGTCCAAGAGTCCTATTCGATAGAAATGGGACTCAAGAGGTTTTGCCCCTCAACATCCCAATGGTTAGCATAACACAGGTAATGATGTTCAAATCAAAGGCACGCTTCGAAATTTTTGAATCATTATTTTTTTTCAATGAATTACCGCACTCCGTCTATTAGGAACGCTTATGTATACTGCTAGTAAAAGTCTTCATGCCTTAACGCCTTATTTCTCTCCTCTGCTCCTACAGTAAGCGTTTTGCTCATCCCAGGGAGCACCCTAAAGGGCAAAAAAAAAAAAAGGGTGTACGTCTGTTCTGCCAAATATATGAGTAATCGGGTAAGTGCGGGATAAGAATGGTATGATGGGGTAATTCTATGTCTAGTGGGAAACGACGTTTTGGTTGTCAACGATCCTTCACCGGACCTCGAACCCCAACTTGAACGCTTTCAATTTCGACCCCCCTCAAAACTCAATCACGACTTCCCCCCCACCCCAACGACAGGCCTCAAACTAGGCAGCGTATTATCCCTACTGTCAAACGAGAAAGCCATGCTAGCATCCAGACCAGCAGGACTGGGCAGATCCAGTGGTTCAGAGAGGTCCGATCCCGAGTCGTCTGCGTCCTCCAGAGGGGCAGAACATTTCCTGGGGGAAGAACTGCCAGAGCGAGAGGCGAGCTTGATATTCTCCATATCTTTGAGGTCTTTGGTAAGGGAGACCGTGGCAGATTTGGTAGTTTTGAAAGTCTTGTCGAGGCGGTTGAGGGGTTTGACGGACTGAGTTACAGATTTCTTGGTCTGGCGGGGTTTGCGCTTCGTTGTTGTGGTAACCTTCGTCGAGGTCGTCTTTGCAGCAGTGGTGGTCATACCCTTCGGAGCAACAGAACCGAAGGATAGAGTACTTTGCTTCTTCGCAGGTTGTGTCTTCCCCGTAAGCATAGGGCTGCGTACCCTCGGGCTGGCGCTCGGCGTAGGCATGGGTCCATTCTGCTCTGCGTGCTTGGACTTCCTGTTCGCAGGCGTCTTCGCCGCCTCCTTTTCCTTCTGCACAACCCTCCCCTCAATAACAACCTCCACGCTACTCCTCCTGACCGCCTCCTCGACCTTCCTTTCCTTCTCTTCATCTCCCGAAACCATATAATCAGCGCGATCACCCAGATTATCTTGTTGATCCCACCTAGGTAGATTGACCAGCTGAGCGACATCGTCCGCGCGCCCCCGCACCACTAGGTCCCAACAATCCTTGAAATCCGCACCCTGAGGCTCAGGATCGATGTTGATCCACACAGTCAGCCCGTCCCGCCGGCTGCGCACGATCTTGCACATCTCTTTGACAAGCCTTCGTGCGCCAGGGACCTTGAGCGTTGTGCCCACAACAATAACTGCATCCGGGACGCGGCGCAGATCCGCCTTGGACACATTCCCAATCGCTTCCTCGTCCGGATTGGGCTCATTATACAGCACAATCCGCGGCCTCAACTTCCCAATTCCATGACTTCGCTTGCCGGCGAAGGTTGTCCGCACCTGATCGGCCTCCTCACATTTCTCACATAGCGGCAACTCTGGCCCATCAAACAGCTCCGGCCGCAAAGGCTCGATGTTCCCGCACAATATGCAGACCATCTTCTCCAGGCCTCCGTGCAGCTGGATGGTGGTGGGCCAAGGGCCCTTGGTGTTGAGGGGGATGTTGGTAGAGAGAGGGGGCATTTTCGTGTCGAGCGTGTCGATGTTCTGGCTGTACATGCGCATGAGGCGGCCTTCGGCCGCGAGCGAGGCCAGCATGTGGTGGAAGGGGGTTGGTTCGGCTTTGGAGGTGAGCTCGGCAAGCTTGCGTACCATGGAATGGAAGTCGGCGATGAGGTGCGGGTGCTTGTAGACAGAGGCGTCAAAGAGATGCTTGCCGTTGCTGGCGAAGAGGCCGGTTGAGGAGCGGAAGTCGGGGACTGGGGTTGGGTTAATTGGTGTGTAAACAAATAGAGGGCACTAGGTAGCGAAAAGGGGGAACGTACTGCCTGCGGAGACGGAGATGCCGGCGCCAGCGAAGACGACAATCTTTTTCTTCTTGCGCAGGGCAGTCAACAGCCGATTAAGGCCCTCATTCGGCTCATTGCCCAGATTCTCGAGGTCAATGTAGGTGGTGGTGCGGGGCTTGGGTTCGGCGACCCGGCGCCGCTTGGTAGGGGGAGGGCCATCGGTGCGAACGCGAATCTCCTCGGTCGAGTCGGCCATGTCGGCGCGCTTCCGGGGCGAGGCGTGGCCAGATGAAGTAGAAGAAGCCATAGAGCTGGCGGTCGGCGAGGGATAGCGCGAGGAAGAGGAAAAGGTCAAGGGAATGGGAGACGGAGGAGCGGGCGACTGGGAGAGGACAGAGAGCGGTGACGAAGGGGGGGAGGATACCATGGCGAGTTGATGGCTTGAGCTGTTGACTGAGGAAATTTCCATGACAAATAGAGACTAGGTTTTTGAAAGAAGTGACGTTTTAGTAACGAAGAGGCGGAGGTTGCGCGAGATTTTAGACCATGTCTTGCAGAGACTTGTTGCGGTCGAGATTATTATTTTTTTTTTTGGCTTGGTTTTTGGTTTTTATTGTCGCCTTCTGTTTTGCAGAGTTGGCTCGGACTATGTAGGTATTGTGTGGTTGCGCGTAATAGGGACGGTAAAAATTTCTGGCGAACAATAAGAAAGGCAGAAGTTGGAACTAAATGGAAGGGACACGTGCGGCTGGGCGATGTGTGATCCCTGAGTCGAAAATGAAGTCAAATGGAAGTTGTGAAAAAGGGGACTGTGGGCGTTGAGCTGATGTGAGCTCAGTTGTGGACGGGCGCAAGGCGCAGGGAACTCTCTTGCCGTTGCTGTCGCTGCTTGTGTTGCCGAATCACACCTCTCCCGCTGGCCGCTGTGCAGGCTGCCGCTGTTGCTGCTGCTGCTTGTGGCTGGTTGCTCCGTGCCCCGTCCCGCCAGGCTGGGCTTTCAGTCGAAGAGCAGTTGGCGTCTTGTATCGTGCTGTATTCCCGGGGGTCCGGGCCGCTGTGGGCAGGGTGGACGCGTGAGGGAGCGTCATGATTGGCCGTTTCAGACGCGGTGGCAGCGTGGCTCCCCACCTCATCGCGATCAGGTCCGCGATATAGAGCGACTAACAAGAGCCTAATGAACCTACTCGCATGAGAATCAGGTTCACTTCACTCACATACCAAGGGAACGGTCAGGCATTCTAGAGACTGGCTCTTTGATATAGACAAACAAGAGAGGACAGATTGACGTGATCATTGAGAACAGTCTGTTCGAGCGTTCTTGGAGGTCTATTGTCTGAGCGTGCAGCTCCTTTTATCAGGACAGAAGGGCTCTGGCCCCTGGCGATCAAGCTGATAGCGTGCAATCTGCTTTGTGCTCAGCATGTTCAGTTCAGAGAAAAGTGAATTGGCAAAAGCCTGGATCTACTCTACGAAAGCAGACAGAATTACCAACAAGATAGTAAGAGAACATGCTACTATTGGTATATTATCGACACCAATATTCAAGCCTGGCCGAGTCACGGGCTCAGTCACTTGGAATGATGTCCAATCCAATCGGTCCCTCATGTGCGTGAAACTGGCGCGTTGCTCGGAGACAGCCCCCTGCAGCTGGGTCTCCGACGCTACAGGGATAATACTCTTTTAAAAATCCACAGCACCGCCACATCTGTGGCTTGCAAGATCATACTGGTGGGTCCAGCTTACATCTTCCGGCTTGCGACTCACATAAGACCAACAACCACTTATACAGTATATCCAGAGCTGCCGTGCCACAAGCAGCCTCGCATTGCTGCCTTATATAGCCATACCATCTGCTACTTCTTGCAAGCATTCTCTAGCACCATCATAACTATATCTAAACTATCGCATTCGAGCTTCAACAACCCAAGACAGCCTCATCAAGTCCATCCATCTCATCATCATCGCCCATACCTCCCTGATGACGGCCCCCAACATGGCCCTTCTAATGGAGGGCGGCGACCCGATGAGCGTGGACGGCTCCTCCACCATGCCAGCCCACATGCGGGTCATGCCCGACATGGGCATCACCGGCGCCCCCATGACGCTCGACGATGTCGACCTCTTCGGCGATGCCGTCATGAACAACGCTCTCGACGCTCTTCCCCCGGCGCCTGGGCACCCTCCACCCAGTCGGGCCCTACAGCGCCGTATTGCTGAGCTGCGTGCCCGCGGCTGCTGCCAGGGCATCGCGTGGTCGCGGCAGGGGACTATCGCGTCGATTTCGGCGGATGGGATGTCCATCGAGTTGAGGTTCTTGCGCACGAACCCAGAAAACGGCGACTGGGAGCTGACCGATGCGGCGCTCTCGTTATCCGTGGCACTGGTACCCGCCTCATCGCCCAGTGCGACGTCGAGTTCTGGATCAGGGACGTCAAATACGACGGTTATCTCGGCCGGCGCGCCGTTCGTTCATCTCGCGTGGGCTCCGAGCGTGCATACCTCGTCGTTCGAGCTGGCCGCGATCGATGCGCTGGGTCGGATCACCATCTTCCTGTTTACGCAGAATATCAATAAGCCGTACCTGTCGAGGAAGTGGGATACCGATCCGGTTGATGATTTACACGCTGTGGTTGGGTGCTACTGGCTACCACTTCCGGTCCAGTTGAGCAAGGGAGTGAGTATTTCCGTGTCTTATGGGTAGATTCAAGCTGATAACGCAGTTTAATGTCTCCTACGTGGCCAACTGGGTGCAAACAGACTACCGCTATGAGCCGATTCTGTCGCCGGCCTGGGGCCCGATTCACCCGAACCACACCAAGAGCGCCCTGGTCTGCGTCACCACCAACGGCCTGCTCAAGATGCTCTTTCCGCAGAATAACAATCGCATCGAAGAGACATCTATCGAACTGGAGAGCGTGACCGCGTCGGATGATCTCATCACCCATGCGGCCATCGGAGCTGATAGGAGTATGTCCTCTCGGTTTTGTCTTAGGCATGAAGGATTGAAGCTGATTTGTCTAGACACGCTGCTGATTGCCCTCGCCATGGGCTCCAAACAACTGCGCGTCGTGCGTGTCGGCATCCAATGGGGCCTGCCGCAGGTCGATAAGCAGCAAATGCCCCCTAGCGTACCGCTGCGTCCATCGCTGCGCGAAAGCCGCGTGGCCGTGACGACGCTGCTCGACCCGGAGCAGCAGCAGTCTGATGGCGATGCTCCCATTGCTCAGCTAACTCACCTCGAGATCCTGCCGTCACCACTCGGCGAGACGCCGCAGACCGTGCTGCCGCCGGTGATTTTGGCTGTGCGTTCCTACCTGCCGCAGGAGGGTTCGCTGTATGCTGCTCACCAAGAGCCATTTACGGTGATCGATCGCTGGGAGCTGTTCACTGATCAGCCGAAGGCGTTTCACCCGGCTTTTGAGCAGCTGGGGGCGAAGAATAGCGCTAGTTCACAGCCATCGGTAGGTTTCTAGGAGTTGCCCCCCCTCCCCCCCCCCCCAAAACAGTGAGCTTGAATGCAGCTGACGGACCAGGCCATGCAAACCCTTCGCAAGCTGGACCCCGTCGTGATCCCCGGGAAGGTCGTAGTGACGGTCAACACGCTGCAGTTTGGCCGCGTCGTGTGCTTCGGGTTCAGCGACGGCACATTACAGTACCGGGATAGGTTCACCATGAACGAGGTCTACACCGAGCAGGCCACGACGAATATTACCAGCCCCCTGCAGGTGGGCTTCCAGTGGGAGACTGAAGGACCATGTATGTTTTGCCTTGGGAAGACTCTTGAGGGCTAAAGCTAACCTCAACAGGCCTGCAAATGGCATTCGCGCCCACAAACTGTTCCTTCGTCCAGGTATCGGAAGATGGCTCCGTCAAATGGGTCAAGCTGCGCTACCCAGTTGATGATCCAAACATGACGCTGCAAGGCCGTATGTACCCCAGAACCCACAGCACACACCTAGAGACAGCTAACACTCCCTCCCCCTCCCCTCTCGCAGCCAAGCTCAAAGCCGTCGCCGCATCGCTAGCAGTCGCCTCGGTCGGCGCTAACATCGCCGGCCCCAACATCCACAACCACTGCGACGACGTCATGGCCATCGCTCGGCCCCTGGCCAAGAAGTTCAAGGACTTTCCCACGGCTTGGGTGCGCGAGTTCGTCACCATGTTCAAGATCACCGTCGACTACTCCGAAGAAGCCCACCACGACCAGCTGATGCGTAATTCCTTGCTCCAATTCTGCCTCTCCATCCTCAACCATTTCGGCTTCAACGGCGACTTCCAGCCGCGCACCTTCAGCGGTAAATTCGCCAACTTGGCGTTGGCCGTGCGTAACATTGTTGTGTTGATCACCATCGCGTCTAATGCGCCAAATACGATCAAGGAGAAGCTTAGCCCGCTTGATGAGCCCGAGGTCGTGGATGCTTTGGCCTCGTGCGCAAAATGGGGGTTTGATCTACTTGCTTGGCTGACAGATCGTCTGCTGGCGTTGTCGACGGACCAGACTATCAAGGCGATGCTCGCAGACCAGAAACGCTTCCCCGACCTGGCGCGATACTTACACTCCAAAAACGACGTCTCCCTGCACCTGCTTCTGTGTTCCTCTACTAGAGGCCTTCTCTCTGCCGTCTGTCGCCGCCTCCAAGTCGTTGAGAGCCTGGCGCACCGCGCTACCGTGTACTACGAGTCGCGGTACGCGGTAGATCCGGCGGCTGCTGCACAAAAGACCCTCCCTCCATTATATCATGCCTACGTAAAAATGCAGCGAGTCGTGACCGCCTCCCTCGTCAAAGCCTCCGACTTTGACAAGCTCCTCACCGCTCTCAGCCGTGACATTCAAACCGCCTACATCCAAACCTTCTCTGGCGTAGCCACGCAGATCCGACAGCACGCCTCCGGCTCCGGCGGCCAGCCCCTCACCGAACAACAGCAGCAGCAGTGCAACGAGCAGTTCATTAAAAAAGCCCAATCCCACGTCGAGTTGGACATGTTACTAGGCCAGAACCCGCCGCCAGGGTTCAGAGAAGTCCTGGCCTGTTTTTTTGGCAACATTTTCCCGGCTTTCCGTGCCACGGTCGATCCGAGGAGCGTGTTCTTTGCGGATTGGTCCTTGCTGGAGGAAATTGTGGCTGAGGATGAGAGGACGTTGAAGAGAAGACGCGAGGGAGGCGGGAGATATGTGGATGTTTTTAAGAGGGTTGAGCTGTGCGGAAGGGGGCAGGTCCTGCCTAGGGGGAGGATTGTGGCTTCTGTGAAAACAGAAAGAGCAGAGGCGGTCCCGATGGTGCCTTCACAGAGTCAGTCCTCGCACCAAGCTGCCAGTCAGGCACAAGGGCAGCAGTCTCAACAGCAACAGGGCGCGACCCCCGCTCCAAACGCAACTCCCTCCGTCCCTATATCTCAACTTAACCCCCCTACAGGTCCGACCCAGCCACCTAACTCCTCTGGCAATACTGCCAATGCCAATCCCAACACGGGAACGAACGCCAATACCTTAGGTGGTAGTGTTCCAGGGCTGCAAGGGTTCGTCCCCGTGACGGCTAACCTGGCCGTAAATGCCAGCCAGTGGAGGAGGTGTGTAAGGTGTGCGGCAGTCATGGAGGATGTGTGGGGGCAGAGGCCGGGGTTTACGTTTGTGTTGACGCAGCAGAGACGATGTGCCTGTGGTGGGGGGTGGGGGTTGGTTCCGAGAGGAGATTAGCGGACAAAATACTTTGTGTGTGTGTGTGTGTGTGTGTGTGAGAGAGAGAGAAATGTCGGATGTGGATGGGGAAAAAAAAAAAGGGAGCCCCGGTTAGGTATACCAAGGGATTGCGTATGAGAAGAGAAGTTTAGGGAGTTGGGAGAAAGGGGTTGGCTAAGTCTTCAAGACGGAAAGCCACTTTGGAATTACCGATGATTCCATCTTCGATATTCAAGGCGATTCGAGATAGCTTCAGAGGAATAATACACTAGGTAACGACATTACTAGTCTCATGTTCACTTCATCCATTCATACACCCCCAATACACCATGAGCACATGATCATTCCTACAGATTCCTCTTCTCCCTCTGCCCTCCCTTTCCCCCACCTTCCCCTCCCCCTCCTCCCCAATCCACCAACCTCCTCCCTACTCCTTATCCCCCTCCCAAACCCACTCCTGCCGAATCCCTTCACACTCCTTCCTCAACGCCATCCCATAATCGCCCCCATTCGGCGTCCTCAACAGCGTATGTATATGGAACCGCTTCGGCTCCTTATTCGTCAAGAACACTCCCGAATGGTGGTCAAATTCGACAATCACCACGGGGCTCTGTATCCTGTAATAGAAAGCATCCCCGTCCCTGTATCCCCCAATCCAGCAGAAGTATGTCTCGTGGAACCAGCGCTCGCATTCTTCGATCCGGAGTTCCCTTGCCCGCTGGGGGAGGTAGAGAAGGAATTGGTTGAGGATTGCCTTCACCAGGGCCTGTTGTTCAAGAGAGAACGAAGAAACAACAACCCCCTCATACGGCACAACCCGGTTATCCCTATAAGCACCACACAAATGCCTCTGATCGTCGTGATTCCACCTCCCATGCTCCATCCCCGGATCCTTCAGTTCCTTAAAAACCTGCACCTTATCCCTCACACTCCCCTCCAAACTCCTCATCAGCTCCAATCCCAGCCTCTCCTCCTCATGTAATATCCTCGTCCCCTTATACGGGCCGTCATCAATCCCATTCGGCTCAGCCCCCGTGAAGAACGGCGAGACAACAATGGTGCTGCGGTAAAGAAAGATGTTGAGACACAAGTGATGCCCATACCACTGGAACCCCCAGGCCTGTTGTTCGGACGGCGTCCCGAAGAAACACACGTTGTAGCTGAACTCACCGCAGATCTGCGGCGCGCCGACCAATTCGCCAAGGAACCCGTTGATGCGCATCGCTCCCAAAGCCTTCTCATAGCCTTCGGGAGACAAAGTCTCTTTGAGGAGGTTCAGGGCGGCAGAGCGGATGGAGTCAGAGACTTCGTCGAGACGGATGCCCTTGTTGGAGAGGAGGAATTCGGGGTTGGACCAGGTACGCCATTCGGGGGCGTCGATGTGGAAGATGGTTTTGGAGAGTTGGTCGGGGGTTAGGAGGGACAAGAGATTGTTGGCTGCGGCGACGATGGAAGAGATGAGGATGCCGTCGTCGCGGAGGTGAAAGAGGTCGTTGCGGACGCGGCCTGAGCACCCTCCGTTAGCTCCAACACTTACACATTCACTCGCTGTACCGTGGTATATAGCAGATAGGTGGGTAGGAAGATGAAAGATTGTACCAGGGAGGCCTACCATCATTCGTAATCCCCTTGAACGGCTCCTGATATAGACGCCGCCAGTGTTGCCACAGACCGTGCAGCCACGGCGGGTTGCCGTCCTCTATGAAGGCTTTGGCATACTCATGGGCATCCTGCTTCTTCATGGTAGTAAAGCGCGGCTGGGAAAGATCAGGGAGGTGAGCGCGGAAGGCGCTCAGGTTGTCGTCGGCCATTGTGCTGCTTGAAGGGGTGTGAAAGTAATCAGGATACTTTGGATGGTGTTGCGGTTGGTTGTGGTGCTGGATAGGGGTTGGAGTTCGGATTCTAGGCCAGTTGTTGAAGAACGAGATCAAGGTGAATATTGAACCAGGTTTAAGGCCAATATCAAGTCAAGGGATTAAGTTAAGAAAACTACTTCAATTCCCACACCACTTGATCGTCCAATCCCCGATGCAGGCCACGCAATGTACATCATACCATCTCACCACGGGCCGCAACCATCCACAGGCAAAACAATGACCCGGCGCCGGCCCGCGGGGGACGTTTCGCCCCTGCAACAGATCACATCCAAGAACGTCTTGGTTCCAACGAGGAGAGAGAAGCCTCGGCGAAGCTTAGGTGGGGACGGCCCCTCCCCCGCTTTACGGCAGGCCGGTCCCGCAACCCCCGTTCGGAGGTTAAAGTATGGAGCGGGGGTGGGGTTGTAGAGCAGAAAAAACAGAGCCCTGGCATCACGAGACGGCAAACTGGAGGTGGATTGTTCCATTGAGAGTGAAGCTGGCTAATAGTAGTCCTATGTGTCTCGTAGGATAACAGAGTGGTGAGCTCAGAGCTGCTTGAATTCCACATGGAACAAATCCCCCGCCTTGCGGCCCTGTCGGATCAGGCCGATGTTCTTCATGATGGCTGCGATCATCAGCATCTCTCACCAACCCTCTTGAAGGGGGATACTCACCGCTCTCCGCATCCGCCTTGCTGCGATCATGGTCTTCTTTCTGTCTCCAGCCAATCACAACCCTGGCGGCCCTCTCCTCACCCTCGCCGCGGCCGACTGCCTCGCCGAACTGGGCGCCGAGGAAGCCCTCTGTCTCTTTGATAAGGCCCAAGAACTTACCCGTGTTCTCTACGAAAACATCCTCAATGCCGTACGCTGTGAACAACTCGGTGCAAGGTGCGTCCAGGGTCTGGCCGTAGGGCTCCGAGAGACCGGGCGAGGCGAGCTCGATGGCGAGCTGCTCGTCGCTCGCAACGAGGTTCGAGGAGCGATAGGCCAAGGCTGCGGCGGTCGAGGACCATTCTGTTGCTTTCTTAGTTGTTGTGGTTAAGGTAGGTACTGGGATTAACGTACCGGTAGCAAGCACACCCTTGGTCCGATCCTCGATCTTCGGCCCAAAGAATGCCCGCTTGAAGCCATCTTGCTGCTTGATCTGGTCAACTAGCGATGCGGACAGCTGGTCTGGACCGGTGTAGGCCAAGGTCTGGAAGACAACGACGGGAGCCATTGTGTGTGTGCTTCTTCGGATGGTGACGATGAAGTGTGGAGCGGTCCGTTCGCGGATGCTGCAGGAGGAGAAAGCTGTGGAAGCAGTGGGAATGCTGTGTGGTGTTTTGAATGCTCGCACCAAGGAAGCGAGAGGACGGCTCCAGGCCAGCATTGACACCACCCTCCCTTGACAAGACTGCGAGCCGTTTATTCCTCTTCACATTGTTAGTACAACCAAAACTCTCTTTTGTACTTCAGAATAATGAGTTCCGAGTTCGAGATGCCCCTCGCATCGGTATCACGCGACCGAATGAAAACGCAGCTAGAAACAGCAATTATCATCACAAGGGCGCATAATCCCGGACTGATTCGGACCTGCATTGGTATAAACAACCAAAAATATCACAATGAAAACAGACACGATCTCGTCGTTACGTCGTTTATCGAATCAACGAGAGAATATCACCCCAGAACGAGAACAAAGCTGGACATCACCCCGCAACATACGACAAGGCAACAAAAGCCAGCGTGCATACAGCTCGCAAGCAGGAAACAGAAAGACGGGGTTTACAGCCCTTAAAGCATCTTAGGATCGAGTTAGGTCCGCAAACGTTTCTGAGGTGGCTTTCCGTTTCAACTTGACTACAACGATTGGAGAAAGAGAAAACTGTTGCTTTCCTACAACATGACTTCTCACTACTTCTTATAACTCGTACTACTTGGTCTCAATCACCTCTATTAAATCCCTTATCGATCCACCTCATGGGCTCAGCTCTCGATGGAACGAGAAGATGGTGGGTTCGCTGAGGGCGTCAGCAGCATGGAGGAGAGCTCGACACAAAGAAGTGAAAGATACTTGTATTTGTCCTCTGAATCCTGTCGCAGGGTGTCTTGATGTTGAAAGACAGCAAACGAAAAAAAAAAAAAAAAGAGAGCTCTTTGTCGAGGCGGATCCGAAGGTGACAGAGACGGAACAGGAGGATGTCCGAGACGGCCAGCCCCAGTTCTGAACAACCTGAAAGTTTGCCTAGACTCAAGAACCCCGAAATTTCTAGAGAGTGTGCTTGCCGATAAGGGCTTACACAGCTTGAAAAATTTCTGGATGCCCTAGAGGGTGATAGTGGGCTGTTCCTTCCCCTTTGACGATGGTGGCTGATACTTTCCCAGCTGGTCATCACTATCTACTTACAAGAACTTTAGGGTATGATGATGCGGGGGGAAAAGCGTCCAGCATGCCTTCCCGATGGCCCAGTGGATTGCCCACGGTTCGCGGTTCTCTGGCTCGAAAATCCTCAGCCGTGGGTCTCTACTCGATACGGGCATCGTGTTTCCTCCCTCATCCAATACCTTAAACCAACAGCCAAACCATATCCATCCTCAGCATCTCTATTCCCTAACATGGACTTCGACCCCAAACACGACCGCCTCCACCACTCCCTCTCTTCCGCCTGGTCAAGCTTCCTCAATGCCCAGCACTGCACCAAGGAAGTCTGTTCCCTTCGCCGCGCCCTCGACGATCATGTCCGCCAGGCCAACGTCGCTATCGCATCTGTTCAGCGAGATGTTGCTCACACCCACGGTCTGGTCACCTCTGCCTTAGCGGATGCGAAGACTAAGGCTGAGGAGCAGAATGCTAAGATCGCAGAGCAGATGAGGGGGGTGCAGGAGCGGGTTGCTAAGCTTGAGAGGGAGGGGGTTGGGAGGGGTAATGGGAGGGATGACGGGAAGGTGAGGGAGCTAGAGGGTAGAGTGAATGCGTTACAGGAGAAGATCGGGCAAATACCTTCGGGGGCTGGGGTAGAGGATGAGACGGTCAGGACGCTGATGACCAAGATGGATATGCTGCAGGCGGAGGTGAGGGAGTTGAGAGAGGGAAAGGCGGCTGTCGAGTCGAAGTTGGCTGCGTTGGAACTGAAGATCGCTGCCTTGGCGGAGAGAGAGCCACTAGGAGAGGATGTGATGGGTTTCCTGCAGCTGATGCATTCGCGGCGAAAGAGCTTGATGAAGGTGCTGGATGATGTTGAGCACGGTGATGCAAATGAGCATGGTAAGGCTCCTGTCTGTTTTCTAAAGGCCCAGTTACTCACACGCGCAGTTTTAACCCAGCTTGCTCCCGAGCCGAGCCCTCAAGATTGGGGAGCGATGGAGGTTGCCACCGATTGGAGCAGCACACCTCCATTCAACCCACGCCCAACCCGCAATAGCATACCTTTGTCGAACTATCAGCCCCAAGCCCAGCCCCAGATCCAGTCTCAGCTGCAATCTCGGTCCCAACCGCTCCTACATCCCCCTTCGACCCAACATCAGCAGGACCTGCATTCTCTCTACCTCTTCTTCCGTGACCGGTATAAGGCCAAGCCACCCAAGAACGACGTCTCCTTTATTTGGCAGTTCTTGAGAGCCATTCGCGACCCAGAGCTTTCACGCCACGTACAGGAGTCGTTGGCTGTGCTGCTGCCCCACGATGTGACCAGGCGCAAGGAATCTACACGGCTGAAGAAGGAGAAGTATAGGTATATCACGATTGACAAGGGGCTGACTTGGAGAAGGTTTAGGGAGGCGTTAGTACGGATTCCGAGTCCCCAGTAGGGTTGTTTCTGAGAGGATTATTTGCTGGATTGGGGTCATTTTGCTGGATGTCGAGCACACATATGGTATCACAAGGATCTCAAGTGGATGTGGGCCAGCAAGAAGTGAATTGCGATGTTCCGGCTTGTTTCTTCAGCTCAAGGAAGCTACTCAACATGAGATATTTTTTTCACGGATAGTAGATGCTGATCAACTCGCCTCTGGTTTATCGCTGCTATATGCATGGGTATCTCAGTTGTACTTCCTTGAAAATCCATCCCATAAATCCCATTCCATGAACGCCCGTAACTCCTATCACCCTGTTTCTCTCACGTAGGCCTTCCTTTTACCTAAACTCTCCCCCTTTCCGACTTCACACAACATCCTTGTTGCTTACTCCTCCTTCTCCCACACACTAACACTCATGACAATCCAATACGCCTCCTCAAATGCCTCCGGCACCTCCCCTACAAAATCTTCACACTTTTCCGCCAGTCCCGAGCAAGCTTCATCATCCCCCCACGCCTCGCCCGCCCAGTCCCCACAAAACGTCGTGTCAAACACGATCTGGTGCTCCTTGAAATGGCTCTCTATACTACAATTTGCACTGCTGCTCGTATCCGTTACGAACGCCGCCAGCGGAGTGCCAAACTCCTCCGGATCCGGCGCCTCCTCGGGCGGGTTGCCCGTCAGCGAAGGCGTGAGGTCATGGTCCCGCGGGAAGAACCAAACTTTAATAAACTCCTCCGTCCACTCAACCGCGTACACCCCGCCGCCGGCGTCGTTGAACCCCCGCCCGTACGTCCCGTCCAGAGAGGTTTGTTGCGAGCAGCCCTCGCTGCCGGTGCAGTCTGCTCGCACGAGCGTTGTACCGGAGAGAGAGCCGGAGTTGGAGATGGTGCATCCCTTGGAGGTGTGGAGTGTCACGCTGTTCGTGTCAGCGGAGTTGACGCCTTCGAGAATGTCGATTTCACCCGAGTTGGGCCAGTCCGGGCCGAAGGTCCAGTAGGCCGGCCAGAGGCCGCAACCAGAGTAGGCTTCGAGTGTTGTTGGCATGTGCGTGATATCTGCCAGTAACAGTCCCCGGGTGTATGACTTTTGGGATGTTACGCGGACGGAAGCGCGGCCACCGGTGGTACTGTTGGTGACGTTGGTGTAGTCTACCCCGAGGTAGATGCCGTCTTGGGAGTAACCGGCCAGGGCGCGGGCACTGGCTTCCGTTGCGGAGAGGTAGGTCACGAAGCCATGGGTGGGGTCAGGGGAAGTGAAGAATGTAAAGGAGCTGAAGAAATTGGTGGAGTTGTAGAGGTCGAGGAGACGGTAGGTTGCGGCGGTGGGAGTCACCAGGGAGAGGAGGGTGAGGAGGGTTGTTGGGGACATTTGGCGGAGGAGTCTCTTCTTAGGCATCGCTGTGGTCGGTTTGGATGGCAGTCTTCTTAGAATGAATGGATGGATTGCTGTGTGATTAAAGTGTACTGTGTAAAGGGCCTGCTCCTGGTGAGATGAGTGCAATGTCTGCTGAGGAGTGACTGAAGTCGGTCAATTTCCGGGGATGAATAGTAACGATTTGGAATGAAGCCGTCCTGTGTGAGAAGAGGAAGAAAGTTGGCAAGTGGAAAATTAAGCGATTGTTATGTAGGTGTATCCTGCATAGCCTCATAAGGCAATTATAACTATTGATGTGATTGTTTTCGGACAATACCCATCGCGAACCATCAATGACATGCGAAGGCCTGATAATAGCCAACCTGAGGCTCGCACTCTTCCATCACCTCGACGATGGCCCGGCACACAGTACAACAAAAACAATTATTGCACACAATGATAGTCATCAAGTAAACAGTCATGGATACACCCGTGAAGTGTTCCTGGACATCGGCACTTGTCAGCGTTTGAAGGGAGCACGTATGGCACCCAAAGCAAGGGATTCGTAATCATCTTGTAGGATAATGAATCAAATGTTCACATAAATTCATGGGTGACGAAATTGTCAATCGTCTTGTGAAGCAGCCCTAAACATATCTCCTCTGACTCAGGACGTTCAAGCGAAAAGCGTCCAAGTTGTTGGCAGCATAGTTGGTGATGTGTGTGGGGAAAGGAAAGACCGTACTACGCCAAAGATTTACTGCTCCCATTCCGAGAAAGATATTCACTGGTACGGATTGCTTTACTGACACTGTAAGAAAAGTTCCTAGAGCAGTGACGGATAAGACCCTAGGTAGAGAGTGTGTTAACATGTGAATATGAGGGTGACAAAAGTCGGTAATCAGAACGAACGACCTGTTAGTCAATGATGTGATCACCAGAAGGACAGAGACGAACAGTTACTTCGGTGATACCTCTAAATGAAGATGTCAATTCTTGATGGAGTGTGACACCCAAATGTCATCACAACTGCACATTATGTACCAAAGAGGGCGGCAAAGCGCCAACGACAGACTAGGAAGACCAGCCCCTGAATGAAGTGATTCTTGATGCCTTCGCATCTGATGTTATTGCACAGTATACCACTTCATTATCATACTGTGAGATGTACTGTGAAATATTAGATTACGGCGTGTCAAACTTTATGTACCTACATTTGGACTACGGTAGCTGATTACATCTGTGCTTCCATCAATGAAGCATTTGCAAATTTGCACTACCGTACACGATGACCACACACCTATCACCCAGCGAGTGGTTTGTTGAACCTCAATAAACTGGATCTTGTGTTCCCAGAGTTGCTTCTCCGTCACTGATTGTGTAGCAATCATAAAGACCATGTGGATGTTTCAGGTTTGTGTGTGTGTCCTGTCCCTCATTGCTGCTCTTGCTGAGTTGTCCTTGTTCCGGCACCAAGCTTTGACAGAACAATCAGTCGGCAAAAGGACTTGAGGATATATGGTTGTGAGTTTTATTTAGAGAGTTTCATACAATTGAAGCTTTTCTATCTATCCAAATAAGATATGTTGGCACAATAGATCATGTAAATGCTCTACTATGCTTTGTTGCTTCCTCGTCCAACACTGCTTCACCCAACTCCTACAGGTAACAACAACACATTACACATTGTCCTCCTTACACCCCGTTTCCTCCCCCTCCCTCCCCCCCCCAAAACCCCCAAAAAAAATAAAGAACCCATGATCATCCAAGATTGTAACACCAGCACGATGAACTTTGTACAAAAATCACCCCAGGAACCGAAAGTACGACACATCAATCCATACTGGCCATGCATTAACACATCTCACTATCCCCTAATCCAACACATATCTAGTCCTGCACCACGGAGAGAACCTCCAACCTTCCTATCCTCCATTTCCCCCCCTCCCACCCCCCCCCTCCCCCGCGGGGCTCTTCCCTTCCCTTTCCCCTCATTCTTCCACATCTTGACAAATAACCATAAACATGAAGAAGTTTGAAAAAAAATATATCTGTCTATGCAGTAATAAGTAGGTAGATAGATAGCCCCAAGGCCCATTCTTGTATATGCAAGACACACCATGTAACGACAACCCAATAGGTGGTAAGTAAGTCGAACTCGACATCCACCACAAGGAAAAAGTTAAGGCAGGTATAGGTATACAATCCATCACCATATGCAGTATACCTCCCCCACATCGGATCCATACCACCCGACCATCTAGAACTTAACCCTCTTCCCCGTAAGCCTAAACCAAATCTCCGCCAAAAAGTCCTCCTTAAACCGCTCCCACCACGTCCGATTCAACCAATAACTCAGCTCCCTGAACTTATACATCTCTCCCCAGCAATCCCGTCCCCACTCACACCCCGCCATATTTACCAAAAAGTCCCTATCCTTCGTATCATAGTGAATCCGTGTATCATTCCCATGATCGCTGCACGCCCCCTCGGGGAACGAATTAATCATCCTCTGCGGCAAGAACCCGACATGCGCCCTGATCCACGGGTGTGCGACGTAGAGCCGCTCCAAAGCATCCTGCTCTTTATGCGCCCACTCCATATGTTTCTGCTCGTAGGCGACGGGGTCCCACCAGACGTCGAGCAGGCGGTCGAGCCAGACGCTGCGGCGCACGAAGAAGGAGCCGAGGTTGAAGCCGGAGCAGTCCTGTGAGAGGAGGAGGTTGACGGAGTTGATGTCGCCGTCACCGGTAGGGGAGAGGGATTCTGGGTCGAGCCAAGGTTGGGGCGGGGGGTGGGTGATGTTGAGGGGGTTGTAGACGTTGATATCGCGGTAGACGTGGCGGTCGAGGTGGTTGAAGATGTGAGATTGGAGGGAGTAGGTCGGCTCCATGATGTAGGTGTTGAGGTCGAGCCACCAGAACCTGGGAAAAGTCAGCTTAGGAGAGCTCCGAATCCTCCTTCTTCTCAGAGGGAGCTTACCACTCAGCATTAGGATATTTCCTCAGCGCGGTGCGAATGAAATCAACCTTCTCCCAGCTCTCGCGCCACTCGTGGGCGTAGCGCTTCTGCGTGCGCATGTCGACGATCTCAAGGTCGTAGCCCCAGCGCGCGACGTAGCGCTTCTTGTTGCGTACCGAGTCGCGCTCGATGGCCCACTCGCGGGCGCCCTTCCACTCCATGACGCCGCCGCCCACATTGGCGCCGAGGATAATGACGAATTTGGAGCCGCCGCCCAGCCAGGACGTCCGGCGCCACCAGTATATCAGTGCTGCGTCGGTTAGTAGGGGCAAGCTTGAAGAGCAAAAAAAAAAAAAAGGGGGGGGGGAAAGGGGGGAAGGTAAAAAACGGAGGAGAGGGGCACCCACGAGAATGATAGAATATATATATGCACAACAGCACCAGCAACACGACCAACAGTCTAATCTTATTCCTCCTGCCCATCCTTGCCAAAATCCCGCGTATCCTCCCGACAAGGGGCACATCGTCGTGCAGGCAACCACCTTCCCCGTCCAAGCTTCTCTTTATCGGCATACTTGCTGTTCTCGAACCGCGGCAAGCCATTCGACAGCTTACGCAGGTGGCGCGCAAAGAAGCCTGGCTTTTTTGTTTGGAACGACGGGTACGAATACCCGCTGCTGCCATTACTGGCGCCAGCACCAGCGGAGCGTTTTGAGCGCGACGACTCCCACATCACGGGCGTCCTGCTGGCTGATGACAACGACGGACTGCTGGTGCGCGGATCAAGACCGGGACTCGACCAGCCCCCTCCTCCGCTACCGCCTGCGCCGGGTAGGGGGGAGGGGCTGCGCGAAAGGGTCATGGGGCTGCCTAGAAAATTGTCAGTCTTTCTGTCGTACAAGAACTGAACGAATTAGTATCTGATATGAAAGGACACGTACCCGGAATAGGAGATAACAATCCCGACGGCTGGTGGGACTGCGGCGTCTGCGGGCCCAGGTGCCAGGCCGAGGGGGGCCGCAGGTCGCCCAGGCGGAGGTTTTGGGGGCGCGATGAGGTAGAGGAGCGTCGACGCGGTCGGTCGCGGTCACGGGAAGACAACGACGAAGAGCCGCCGCCGAGGCTGAAGAAGGCCAGCTTGGCGGTGGTGGTGGTGGTGGTGGCGCTAGGATAAGTGGCAGGTCGCAGACCCTTGGATAGGTAGAGTTGATCGCTGGTTGTGAGAGGCGGGTGTCACGGCCGGAACCAGATCCAGAGGAGACGAAACAATGGTTTACCGGCAGTGGCTGTGGTTGTGGTCAAGTGTACGGATAGATTAGGTTGGACAAAAAATGGAATTCGACTTTCACGACGGACGGAGCCTTGTCTCGCGTCGGACCCGTGGTACTACTGGCTGCACGACCTGGCACCGGGAAAATGGATCAAGGACACGGACAAGATGAAACACAGCGTTTCCTGCAACCGTTGGTTGGTGACTTGGATGATATGGATGACAGTCTGCAGTCTGCGATGGGAGTCTGCTACGCTGTTGTTGTGATCAACGATCAATTGGACAGCGGACTAGGCCCTGAGCTGCAAGCAGGTCCGATGTGGGTGGGCTGTGGACCCTTGAACTCCAGCGGTCTCAGGCTGGGAAGGAAAAAAATCACAGTGGATCTGGATGCTGCATCAACCTGTGCCGGCCAATGTGAGCCATCTGTCCCGGCGGGCTTTGAGATGGGTTCAGGTTCGGTGCCCGCAATAAAGAAGGAAAAAAAAAAAGAAAATAAAAAAGGTGTTGAAAAAGAACCCAATGGTTTGGACTGCAGCGACTTTGCTGGTCAATTCAGTTGGAGCCAGCGCCCGCCGCAGCCACGCCCTTGTCAAGGGTTTGCGCCAAGATTTGGAGGGCCCCTTGTTTGCCCCCTGTCTGATAGGGTGCCCCACATGCCCCATTTGACACTTGGCCGGGCCGCCAGCAGCATCACGTCACTGCTGCCCTTGTTTCTTCCTTTGTCTTTGAGAGCAACTTTTAAAGGTGAGAGAGGGTAGCACATCCATACACGGACAGACGACAGACGACAGAATGCATTGTGTTTCTTCCAGGAATTTGTCTGTTCAAAACATTTTATGCTGATCTAAACAGTGCCGATCTGGAGTCAGCACTGTGCTGTAAGACGTGGGGGTGGAGGCTAATCTCCAGATCCAGGGGCTACCGAGCTAGCCCTCTTATAAAACATCATCATGCCTCAAAAGTTTTTCAGAGTCCGATTATTTTCAAAAAGTATCAAAAGACTGTGAATGATAGCTTTGTAGGTAGGTGATTTCATCTCTCAGTGGACAGACTTGGGTGTGAGAGCTTCAACAGCTTGGCTGAAGCTTGGCACACACAGGCTGATAGGAGAGGACTTTATCTGCTAAGGCCAGTATAGCCCAGTTCAGCTAGTCATGAGTTGGAGCTAGCTAACTCTTCGTCTCATTTCTTTGCTTGATGGCGATCCCCCACTTGAATCCTTTTCGGGGTTTTATTTTTTGTTGAAGGCTTTCATCTTTTCAAGGCTTCGAAAAAAAAATAATAACAAACTCCCTTTCAGATATTGATGCCAAAAGTGACGTTCCCACTGCAGCATTGGGCTAAAGACCTAAGGAGTAGGGCTAAGTATGTGCGCAAAGAACTTCTTTTGCGTTTCAGCGGTTGAAATTACCTACGGTACCCGCAACTTGCCTTCATAATCTTCTTTGTCTAACCCCTTCACCTCACTACTACACTGCCGTTTCCCAGTCACTCAATGGTAAGCAAGTACTATCTCCGAAGCCGAAGGCTGTCCACTATCGCAGAAAGGGGGCACAGCAGCCAGCTGCAAACCTGCAAGATCAATAGGCCGAACAGTCCAAGGACCCGGCGCCGACGTCAGCGATTCTTGGCAGGCTTGGGCAGGGGCTTGGCATTAACAACAGCTCTCTTTGGTGTTGTTGGTTGGAGCGCAAGAACTTTGGCGGTGAAGACTTTTCTCATGGCTCTTCACAGCAGCGAATGAGGTATTCTGCGGACAGAGCCCAAAGGATCGGATTGGATCGAGGTCGGAAAAGCCACTTCGTCGGCTTTCTTGTGCTTTACGTAGTTGCAGGGGCAGGCTTAGGCTTCTTCAAAAATCAAAATGTTTGTCCGTACGGAATTCCGTACACCTTCAAAAAAAAATCATAATATTCCAAATTCTCGACATCCGTACGGATTAATCCGAACAAACCCGTTGCAAGCCCCCCACAGTTCTAGCATTCCTGTCAACCTTCCTAAGGGTCCTAGACTCTCTCAAGATCGGAGATAAGAAATGAAACTCTCCCCGGAAGACGCCACCCCGTCCTCAAATCAGCCTCAGACGATCTCAAATGTCAGACCAGAGAATAAATCGTAGTCGGCAGAGTCAACGTCAAGAGCTCACCCGCAAGACCCCATCACGCATCTCGAGCCGCCGTGGTGGGTCCTCTGCCGCTGGCTGGCCGTCAGACGCGGGCCGCGACGACACGTGCTGTGCTGGGAGGTGGGGCTTGGCATCTTAAGTTGGTACCACATATGCTCTATGCTTCGCAGTCTTCACTCTCTAAGATCAACAGCTCTGTCTTGTTTGTCTTCAAAATCAAAGAAAGGCTGTTAAGCAAGACCATTAAAACTAGAATTCCGTACATATCCGTTTTTCTCCTAATCTTCTTCCTTTGGATCCCGTCCCCCAAAGTCAGCCAGCCAAAGTACCTTGCCTTCCCTCCCTCATATCGAACCTCCCCCCCTCCCATTGGCTACCCGCCCACCACACACACGGCCGGCCGCATGCGCAGCAGCCCACCCTCCCAGCCAATCATGTCACAGAGCGTGCCGACCTCCCAGCGCTTAATCTGACTTCGGGCCAACTTCATCGTCTGCTTTGGACGGCGACTGCTCCACGATGGGGATGTCTGCAGCGAAGTGATTGGTGATGGCGGGGGAAGCCGGTTAGAGGGGTCTGGTGTTAGCTGGAGAATTAAGGTGTTTAAAATCATGTGTACCTGTATGTAGTCGGGCCGTGTGAGGCGATTCGAGAGGAGGGAGCTCTTCGGCTTGTCGTGAAGAGAGAATTCCATTCGGGTTCGGGGAGAAGGACGACACGACGCCACGAGCAAGAGGCGTGTTTCGACCTGGTGCCGGATTTCTCTCCTCTCCTCTGGATTGTGTTTTCCTACTCATCACTTTTGTTCTGTCCTACTATTGTCCCTCCCCTCTCCCTTCTTTGTTCTCGTGGCGCGGGGACAGTCAGGCCAGCAAAGTTGGTAATCCTATTGTCATTGTCATTGTCGCTCGCTCGCTCTCAATAGCCTTAAACTATTCAATACCTGAGGAAGAGTCTATTGTCCCTCGTTCATCCAGTCGTTCATTGTTTTTTTCTTTTTTTTGTGATCTCATTCCACGAGGCTGCAAAAGAACTTGAACTGAACAACTCTATTTTCGGAGCGGGAACCGACTTTGCCTTCAATCCTTCTAACTTGGCGCCACTCCTTTGACCTCGAGCCACACAGCAAAGAGCCAGTTCATTGGGCTGCTGTCGCCACGCGCAGAAGTCGAGTCATCCATCGATCGACCACGTCGTCTACCAGCTGGCTGACTGACTGACTGTCTGATTGTCTGTCTGACTGATTAACTGACGCAACACTTCGATGTCATTGCCTTACGCAATGAAGGCTTGAAGTCGTTCGCTCGCTCGTTTGGGCTCCAATTCTATCATTCTACCTACCAAATTTCCCTTTAAGAACTCCACGGTTCCTAAAAGGTTCATTTACCTACACACTTGGATACCCAAATAATCAAGATGAGCGCCTACAACTACAGCAACACATACCTACAGTCAACAGCGACACCCATGACAATGCTCCCCCCACCACCAAACATCCTGGGCGCCCCCCCCGCCCCGCCATCACCCTCCAACTACCCCGACGAAAACAACTCCTCCGTCAACTCCAACAACAACGACAAATCCGATTGGGAGGACTGGACCGACAACGAGATCATCACCACCGTCAACAGCCCCCGAACCAACAATACCAGCCCCCAAACTCCCCAACCCCCTCTACCCCCTACTAGAGGACAAGGACAAGGGCAAGTCCAAGAAGAGCTGCCCGCGACACCAACTACGCCCTGGCCAACGATCATGTCCTCCCCTTCAAGGAATACCAACGGCACCAACTCCCCAATCTCCCTCCGCGGGATAAATAATCCGACTCTGAAGAGGCTAAGGTCGAGACAACGCCAAAAGGCGCAGAATGCCCGGGCTGGGATCAAGCTTGTCACCGACCTCTCCAAATTGCAACCCCCTTCCCAACAGCAACAGGGCATGCGCACGGGAAAGTTTGTGGATTTGGCTGCGCTGAAAGCCCTCGAGGGACGGCGCTCTCCCCTCTCAGGGAGCGACTACTCCGCGAAGCGGGCAAGTTATGCGAGTTGGATGAAGCGAAGGCCTACATACAAGAGCTCACAAAAATCCCTTGGTGTTGAGGCGAGTCCTGCGACGGGGACACCCAGCGCAGCGACGGCTGATTTGAGTCCATATGAGAGGAGGATTCCGATAGGCATTGAAATCCCCCCTGGCCAGGAAGTAGTCGTCAGCCCGGAGACGGCAGTAGTAGAGACACCACCTGATTTGTTTCCGCGGTATCTACAGGCTAGACAGCAACAGCAGCAACAGCAGGTTCAACTGCAGGTGAAGGACCAGAGGGTTGTGGTTCTGGGACAAGTGGGGATGGGAATGGGCATGGGCATGGAACAGAGGGGAGTGATGAGCCCTGAGGAGATGCCCAAGTCGTGCTGGTCGCCGGATACCGAGGATATGGTTTCGCCTCAGTCGGTCGTAACGGAGAGGTCGCCGCAGGAGGGGTTGATGGAGAGGGTGTTTGGGAATTTCCCTTTTCCGAATAACACCACAACCGCGACGACCACACAACCGACGCAAAATGCCGCAAAGACTCTCGCAGGAGAGATCTCTCCTCTAACCCCTGATGACAATGCAACACTTCGCTCACCAATCTACGACGAAGACGACGACACGAACACCCCCGTGACACTCTTCGAAGAGGATGGCCAAAGTCCAGCAACCACGCGGCGCAGGTCGCTGCGCGCAATGGCCGCTAATAACAACCTAACCATCAACATCAACCGGCAGCGGTCGGGCACAAGTGGGAGTGCGGATACGGCGGCGAGGTCGCCGCAGGGCTGGTGGGATCAGATTAGGAGCCCCTTCTTTGGACCGCCAACGCCGGTGTATTTTCCGGGGCAGGGCCCGAGTCAGACGCAGATGCCGGCACAGGTCCAGGCGCAGGTGGCGGTGAGTGTGACCGGGAATGGAGTAGACACGAGGGCAGAAGATGAGTGGTGGAAAGATGATGACAAGAAGAAGCAAGTTTCGACAATGTTTGAACGCAAGGAGGGCTCATCGAGCAGGACCGGGACGCCGTCCTTGGAGAAGGAGACGCTGAAAGCCCGTCCGCCGCCGCAGATCGTCGTAGAGGACCACTCGTCTAGTGTCCCAACACCGGGCCCAACGCCAATGCAAGAGCCGCCTTCGTCCTCAGAACTCGCAAAAACCGCCGCTCTCTCCCATCCTCCAGAGAAACCACCCACAACAACAGCCTCCCCCTCCGTGCCCTCCCCAACCCCCTCCGACCTTCCCCCTCCGTACTCCCCCCCACGCCCTCAACATCCTATTCCCCGCTACCGCCTCATCCCCCTCCCCTCCCCTTCCCCTTCCCCTTCCCCCGGTCTCGCCGACCAAACAATCTCCTCTCAACGCGCTCCCGGCCTCGGCCTGCGCGGCGGGAACGGCCAGCCCGACAATCTCTCCGACATACCCCTCACACCAAACGCAGGGCCTACGGCGCCGGGGGCGGCTTATTATCCAGGTGTGTTGCCTGACCGTCCGCAGGGATCGTTCGTTCCGGCAGAGCAATCTCCTTTGGCAGATGTGCGTGTCAATGGGCGCGGGCCATGGCAGAGCGCCGAGCGGAAGAGGAGGAGGCATGAGAAAGAGGATGCGGTGGCGTATCGGGCGGGGAGGATGTGGCATGGACGCGGGTGTTTCCCTCTTCTAGGGGGTTGCTGCGGGCTCGGGAGGCCGGGACGGGAGGGGAGGAAGAGAAGGAGGTTTTGCTGTTGCGGGGCGCTGTGCTGCTTGCTGGTGTTAATGGTGATTATTCTGGGGGTTGTATTGGGAACGGTGGTGTTCAAGAAGAGGGAGAAAGAGGAGGAGTTTGGGCCGTGGAGGTGGGTGAACCTGACGGATTTCCCGGCTATGCCTGTCGGCAGGGTGACGGTTGTTGGACCGGAGGAGGAGATTCGGACAGGGTGTGTGCAGCCATCGACGTTGTGGTCGTGTGCGATACCCAAGGAGGAGGCACAGGCGGGGTTGGCACTGGGGTTTGAGTCAACCAAGCCGGCGTTCGTATTTGAGATTGAGGTTGATGAGGGCGAGGAGCAGGCGTGGAACGTGCCTAATGGCGAGACGCCTACGCCGGTGCCGCTGCCTGCTAGCACCAGCACGACATCGAGAATTTCTTCGACCGGCTTCGCTACCGTGACGAGAAGTTTCAGCAGCTCCAGCACGAGAGCTACCTCAACAAGCGCGGCCACCGACGACAACGGCTCCCTCGTCCGGCGCCAGCAAACAGCGACCTCCCCCGGCGAAGGCGAAACTTTCATCCCCTCCCCTCCGGCACCGCCCTTCCAAGAAATCTTCTTCCTCGGCAACACCACCGACGGCGTCGTCTCCCCTGACAAGGGCGGCGAGCCAACCCCTTTTTACATCACCCTGCTCCGACCTAACACCACGACCCCTGATTCTCCATCCCTTACCCGCCTAGCCCGCCGCCAAGCAACCACCTCCTCGTCCCCCTCCTTCGGCGACGTCATCGACGCCCTGATGCCCCCTCCACACATCAACCCCGACGGGACCGCCGCTCCTCCCATCTTCTTGCCAACTCCCCAACGTCAACCCCTTCGTCTCTTTGATCGTGGTTTGCCGACCGAGCGGTTTGCATTCTATTCGTACTTCAACAAAACCATCTACGTCCGTGAGATTGGCGAGAACGGACCGAGCCCTGACCGCGCAGACCTGAACGGAGGGTGTCTCCGTGAGGAAGCGAAGTGGGTTGTCGCGTGGCACGAAGTACGTATCAAAGTCGAGATCTGGACGCGGAGGAACGCCACTGCGAGACTCGTCAATGGTGCGCGGGTTGGGTCCATCACGCCACTTCCGGCGACTCTGAACGAGACGGAGGTAGAGAAGATCGAGAGTACGCAGCCCGGCACGGCGCCGTATCCTGTAACAGTAACGTTGGATACGCATGGCGGTGAGGTAACTCGGAAGATTGTGTTTGCGAGGAGGATTAGTGAGGACTTGAAGATTCAGCTGAGCGGGGTGAAGCTGATCAGGAATGAGATGAATAATACGGGGGATTTGGTGAACCCGGGCGCGTCAGAGGATGCGAACCCCAGCTTTGGAGGGTTCGATGGCGGCACTGGAGGGTGCAGATGTACGTGGAGGAATTTCATTGATAATTGATGGCAGCTGAGGAGGACCCCATTATGATATTGGGAGCTGGGCTCCGAGGGTTGAGAAAAAAGAATTAGTACCTATATAGAGACCGTGTGCATATATCTTTGGGATTGCATGATGGCACTCCATTGCATTGATAAGCACGTACATAGAAGATCGAGATTAGAATATTTAATCACGAAATGCAGATATCATGATGCTCATCGTCCACTCTTTCCTTGAGTTTCGAGGCCCCAGATGAGGCAGGCGGCCTTGAAACCCCTCCACCAACTGGGGTTTGAGTTTTCGTTTATCTTTCTTTCAAGTAGCACCTGCCATAACCCTTATGTATGAAACCTTTTTTTTCTTGGCAACTTTAGGCAAACTGAGCACGTGATGGATGCCTGGGGAATCAATGGAAGAGGAATGGGCACTTGCCATTTCACTTGTACGATCTCTACGTTTAATGACAGGACATCCATAAAACTTACTTGTTCCATAGGTCTGATGGTGAACTACATTCATTTTTCATTCTAAAATGCCCTCGTTAGAATCTTTGAGTCTGCTTAACTAAGCCCCATCGAGACCAATGGCATTGTGTTGAGGATCTCTGTCCTATCCAGAGGGTGTGACGCGCAGCGTCCTGATTAATCAGCCAGAGTTTGGATGATAGGAGGGAAATAAATAAATTTGTAGCTAAAAACTCGACCAAAGCGGTAGCTGGCCAGCGCGTCTCCTCGGAGCTTCCGAGTACTTTATGTTTTGCTAGGAACCCAATTCGATGCACCTGTTTTACGTCCCGTTCGCCATTTGGGTCGTATGCTTGCAGGGCGGAAAACATAACTTATATACATAGTCGCCACTGCATAGCTTCTGGACCACGGTTTTTTGCTCCCATACTAGCGACGTGAGTCGCAAACTTTCGACCACATTTTGCCTATTGATGACTAACCCATGATCACTCACGCACATGGATGTTTCATCACAGAGGGCTGCCGTGTTCACTGGAAAATTTTGTGGATATCAATGTGGCACATTGGAGTGGTGGGTTTCGAGCTGGCTGCATGGAAGGCAATAGATACTCGACAATGTTCAAAAGATATGACACCTTGCAGCTTTGAACGCCTTGCAGCTCGAGTGTTGTTTGTTTATTTCAGGAGTGTTGTCAGGGGAAATAGGTACTCACGAAAGACGCCAAGCTAGACAGTCGGCGACAGCTGTCAACAGCTGTCGTGACCAACGACAAATTTGACTGATGGTAAGAGCCCGGAGCACCTTGATGGTCTCACATCCATCAACACCCATCTCGCTCAGCTCATTTAATAAATTATCGCCGCCTTCAGCTCACCTACAGTTGAGCTACCAGCTGTGATGTTATAACTATATACGCGTCTATTAAGGCAGCTCAACTACCATAAACACCAACCTGATTGCAATAGAGCTGGTTTACTCCTAACATCATCTCCTGGTCGTCCATGAACCGCTCATGAGACCGCCAAGTAAACACTCACCATGAGAAGCTTTATCACCAGGCTTGCCCCCAGGCTAGCCACCCGTATACCCAGGAGATATTACTCCTCCGACCCGCGCGACCCGTACGGGCCGTTTGACAAGGCCCCAGTTGTCGACCCTCCCGCGCCCGAGACCCTCGTTACTCTGGCCATCGAAACCTCATGTGACGATACGTGCGTGGCCGTACTTGAGAAGTGTGGCTCGGCCGCGCGCCTACTCTTCGAAAAGAAGGTCACTTCCGATAACAAGATCTATGGCGGCGTACACCCAGCTACGGCCGTCGAGTCTCACACCGCCGCCGTTGCGCCCCTCGTTCGCGAGGCCATCCGATATCTTCCCAACCGCCAGCCAGGCAAGCGGTCCTTTCAGTATAGAAAGATGACCACGGGTGATATAATCGCCTTTAAGAGGCTACCCGACTTCGTCACAGTTACCCGGGGACCAGGCATGCTCTCGTCCCTCTCCGCCGGGCTGACCATCGCCAAAGGCCTCGCCGTCGCCTGGCAAGTCCCCCTAGTCGCCATCCACCACATGCAAGCCCACGCTCTCACCCCTCGCCTGGTCCACGCCCTCCGCCAGCCCTGGCCCAAAACCACCCCAACCAAAAGCCCCTTCCTACAACCCCGACTTCCCCTTCCTCACGCTCCTCGCCTCCGGGGGGCATACCCAACTCGTCCTCTCAAACAGCCTAACCTCCCACACCATCCTCGCTGACAGCCTGAACATTTCCGTCGGCGACATGCTGGACAAAGTCGGGCGGACCCTCCTGCCCCCCGACATCCTCGACGCCGCCAACGACGTGATGTACGCCGCGCAACTCGAACGCTTCGCCTTCCCCGTCCCCGACCCAACCCCCTCCAACCCCTCCCCTAAACCAGACTACTCCTGGTACGAAGTACCCCCGACCCGCGCCGACGAGATCAAGCTCTTCTTCCCCCCTGAGCCCTACAAATGGTCCCTGACCCCGCCCCTATCTCAATCCCGTGACATGGCCTTCGACTTCTCCGGCTTGGGAGGCCAAGCGCAGAAGATCCTAACCCAAGACCCCAACCGGCCGCTGGAATCCATCCCCATCGAAGAACGCCGCGAGCTGGCCCGCGGGGTAATGAAACTCGCCTTTGAGCACCTCGCTTCCCGCGTGCTCTTCGCCCTGCAAGACATGCGCGGCGCGGTCCCGCACAGGTCCAAACAACACCCGAGTAACCTTCAGGCGGCCAAAAAGATTGGCACGACCCGCGCGCGTAATATCCGCACCTTGGTCCTTTCCGGAGGAGTAGCGAGCAATGCCTTCCTGCGCAAAGTGCTACGGGATATGCTGGACGCGCGGGGGTTCGACGACGTGGAGATTGTTGCGCCACCGCCGCAGCTGTGTACCGATAACGCGGCCATGGTGGCGTGGACGGGCATGGAGATGTATGAGCGGGGATGGCAGACGGCGTTGGATGTATTGCCGGTGAGGAAGTGGCCGTTTGATCCGGCGCAGTCGGGAGGGGGGATCATGGAGATTGGCGGGTGGATGGAGTGGATGCCTCAAGGGGTTGAGTTGTAGAGGATATGGAGGAAGGGGGAGGGGGGTTGGGGGTGAGGAGGTTGTAGGATATTGTAGAGTAAGGTATGTGAGAGAGAGAGAGAGATAAGAGGAATGATATATACCCACTGTACATTACGGCACTCAAGTCATCACGATGGTCATCAAACCAGTGTATATTTCTCCCATCCCTACCGACGCCAGCCGATCCCATTCATGTCCGATCCCACGCCCATTCTTCCCGCCCTTTCCCCCCCTCCCTAAAACTCGCTTGTAACATTGCTAAACTCCCCCTTCTCCAACTTCGTCTTCCAAAACACCGGGTTCGTATCGGTAAACCCATGCTTTACCCACCCGCTCTCCTTGACATGGTACAAGTTGATATAGCCACCGCTATACGCATCACGGTGTGTCGCGGCAAGGATACTCCTGCTGGCCAGATCCAGCGCCTCCTCCGTTGTCAGATCGTACCTATACTCCGCATCCAGCACACCATACGCAAACGTCTGGCCCGACCCAACACAGAACAGATTCCCTGCCAACCGCGTCCCATCCGAGTCAATATAATACAACGCCGGCCCCTCCTCTTTAGTCACACCAGCGCACATCGTTCCCATGCTCAACCCCATCCCCTTATACTGATACACCAGATTCGCCAGAATCTTCGACGCCGCGGCGACCGAAATCCGCCTCTTATGCCTCAGCTCATGAAGCCGGCACTGCATGCCCAGCCACGCGAGCCAGTACTGGCAGTCGGCGGCGCCGCCGGCCATGGTGCCGAGGAGCTCGGAGTTGATTTCGATGACCTTTTTCACCGTCTGCGAGGCGATCCAGTTACCCGCCGTGGCGCGCGAGTCGGTCGCAACGATGATGCCCTCTTTGAAACGGAAAGCGAGGGTCGTGGTGCCGTGCGCGATCTTGATGGGGCAGGACGGGTTCGAGCGGTCGTCGGTGACCGCGCGGAGCCAAGCTGAAGGCTGGACAGGCCGTTAGTATCACCACTGCTTTCTTGAGGGGAGCCGAAGAGAGAGAGGGAGGAGAACGTACGTGAGTGACAGGAGGCATGGCAAACTTGAGCGACAGAGGCGGATTGGTGGTGACCAGATCCTGCTGTTCGAGCTCGTCGAAGAGCTCGGTCTGTTGATAGGCAGGGCGGCTGTACTGCGCTACGATCTTGTCCATTTTGATTTCGGTTTTTCACGATCACCGATCTCGAGTCCGTAAATTCTCAAATTTCGAGCTGGAGTGCGGGCGGCGACCGCGATGGCAGGGAGTTGGTAGAGGGGACCGTAAGGTTAAAGTAGGAGCTTGGGTTAGAGGTCTGGGTTGGAGTTGGATGGATGTCGGTCGTTGGATTGGAGATCCTCGTCGATTGGCCAGGCAGCCCCAGCAACGCGTTTTCAGCCGCCGCCTGCTTGCCTGAGCTGGAGGGGTGCCCCACTTTGATTAGGATGGAGGATGGAGGGGCTGACCCTAACCCTGGATGAAATATCACCTCACTGCCCCTCATCAGGGCCTCAATAACTTCATATCACGTTTTAACAGAGGAAGAGCCGCTCTGGCAGTGACCTTTTTATTCCCCCCCCCCTTTTTTTTTCTCCTTACCGCCCATGCTACCAATTAAACTATCTACCAAGCTAAGGTAGTAATCACTAATAAGTAGTGTCATGACGAATGCAATCCTCGCCTCACCATCACAAAATGACTTTAAAGCCTGAGAGGAAAAAAAAAAATATAACAGACCAAGTCCGATAAACCGGTGGGTATTACCGTGCCATAGACCCGTCCTCGTCCTAATAAAACAACAACCCGGCTGTTCCATCCGAGCAAGAATATAAGTGTCTCAAAAAGTCCAAAAAAGCCACCAACCAGCCAACCATACCGATAATGAGTACCTGACCAGACCGATCCGACCAGACCAGACCAGACCCAGGCCTAATAAGAATCGAAGAAAAAAAAAGAGCAGCAAACCAGTTTCATCATTAGTACAGACAACACAGAAAAAGAGAAAGCCAACCAAAACCCGTTCCAAACACCGCAGCCAATGCATCAAGTATTCCGTCCATGAAAAGAACCATAATAAAAAAACAGACCCTAACGCGCCATCCATGATGTGAGTCAAAGTTCTTTTTTTGATAACCGCCATCCCAGCCAACCAGTCCAGTCCAGTCCCCCAATAAAGTATGCGAACAAAAACCAGGGCGGACAGAGGCCTATGTTCGCCGCCATGCCGATGAATGAGTGAATGAAAACGACCTTAATGATGATCTGAACGCCCTCGGAGAAGATTCGAATAAGAATGGGACTTCCGCGGGAAAAAATGTAAATAACTGTCGCGGGTGTTGTCGTCCGCCGAGTACATCGTCCAAGCTCAAAGGGGAAGCATGCAGCCGACTAGGTACGTAGTCAACCGGAGAGGACGCTTTTCAGCCGTCGGCATCATTTCACCTTGTCCCCATTGCTTAATCACTCAGCTGCTGTCATGATTGTACAACACCAGAAAAACTCCTCGGGTTACGCCGTAGTCGCGGGGAGTCAAAGGCTGCATCCTCCTTCTGCTGGAAATAAAACCGTCGGACGTTAGAAAATCACCATGCGCGAACCACTCGGAGAAAGAGATAGAGAGGGGGAGAGAGAGAGAGAGAGAGAGAGAGAGAGAGAGAGAGAGAAGGAAAGGAAAACGGTGAAGAAAAAGAAGGAGGAGGAGGAAGAGGAGAAAGAGAAGAGGAAAGGGAGGGGAAGAGTGAGGGCGGGGAGATAAGCTACTCATAGTATTCTTCGTAGGCATCATTTCCGCCGCCCCAACCGACGTTCCAAATGATGTAGAGGATATCCCGGGCAGTATTTACCATATTGGTGATGCGCTGGAAGAAGCCGCCGCCATCATTCCTGTTCTCCTCGTCTGAGTCACGCTCAAAGTTGTACAATGGCCGCATGATGCCCGACTGCGACCGTCGCACGCCGCCCATGTCGCCCATACCGCGGGCGTCAGCCAGGCCGACAGCAGATGACGAACGGACCAAATGACCAGCGCGAGCCCCGTTCAGGGGCTCAGCAGCACGGTCAAGACGAAGCGCAGATGAGCTGCGACGCAGGCCCGAGCCGGAGCTCTCGGCCAGGGACGACGAGCTGGGGATACGGTTGAGTGAGGAGCGCGAGCTGCTCTTCTTGAGGACAACGGAATCAACATCGTCTTCATCGTCGCTGTTGGCGAAAAAGATGCCTGACTTCTTGGACGGACGGAGCGTCTCCTGCGAAGACGAGGGCGACAACACCGGACTACGATGCACTGTAGCCGACGGCTCGGAATCATCCTCGTCCTTGAGCGTGGTCGAGGGCAGCATGGCGATGGTCTTGCTCTCGCCGTTGGGCGGGCGATGGCTAGACCGGCGTTTCGGAGTCGGCCAGCGCTTCTTCGGGTTGAGCCGCTTCATCAAGAGACCACCCTCACGCTCGTCGTCGGAATCGTAGTCGTAGTACCGCGAATCGTAGTAATCGTCATCGTCGTCGCCCTTGATATCGACTGCGATGCACTGTGTGACCTGCTCATTGAAGTGGATGTGCTTCTTCTCACCTGCAGGCGAGGCGATGCCCGAGGTCTGCGCCGACGGGAACGGACTGGTGCCTTCGTGGCTATCACTCGGCGAGAAGGGGTAAGCGCCATAGTCAGTAGTAGAGCGTCCAAGTCCGGGCCTCTTCTTGCCCTTCCTCCCCTGGGCCTTGGCCGCGGCGGCAGCCTTAGCCACTAACGTAGAGTTCGATAGAGACTCCTGCAGAATGATTTCGGACATGCTCCGCTTCTTCAGGATGGGCTTCGTGATGAACGGGCCCGACTGCGACTCGCGGGCACTGGCTGAGCTTGTCGATGACTGCTGCTCCTTCGATTCCTGCGGATCCCTCCTGTTCATGAACGTACCGGTTTGCAGGGGGCCGTAGAGCCAGCCCACATCGGCCTCCTTGAGCCTGAGAAAAAAAAAATTTAACACTTGCTCCAGGCAGAAAAAATAAAAGGAACATCCAACAAAAACTTACCAGTTTAACTCAAGCGGGTTCACCGTCTTCAAATTGTTCTTGTTCTTCCACCACGTCCTCCAGGAGGCGTTCTCCAGCCGAGCGGCATTAGCGTAGTCACCCCTTCTCGACACGATGAACTTCCACGACATCCACAGCTCCTCCTCACGCCAATTGTGAGAAAGGTAGTCCACATGGCGCGACGGCTGAGGGCGAACGGCAATATCGTCTTCAGCCCTCTCCTTAAGATCTGGGGTTAAAGGCATGATTCGCATCGGCACCGGCGCCGGGGAGGTTGTGCGCTCTTCATTATCCGTCGTCTCACTCTGCGGCGAATTGCCGGCGTTCTGGGGCTTCGGCTGCCTCGAGCGCCCCCTCATCTCTATCTCGCTGTCTGACTCGGTCGTGGCCGATGAATCCTGGTCTCCGTCAAGGTCGAAGCCACCCTTGTGAGCCTTGTGGCTGTCGTCTGAATGCTTCCATCCGCCGTGGTTGCGCGGGGAGCTGGCCCGCTGACGGCGCGGCGGCGGCGACTTCGTCCTCGACTCCCGCATTTTCTTAGAGGCTTCCAGACGCAGGTCGCTGCTCATGTCGGCGACCTCCAGGCGCAAGTTGCTGAGGTTCGAAGTTGAAGAAGAGAGATGGAATCCCGAACGCATTCCAGTGCTCAGTCGAGGCTGCGATTGAGAACGGCGCAATCCTCCCAGATGCGAAAGATTGTCGTAAGAGCCGTCATTATACGACCGGCCTCGGTCGAAGTGAGAGTCGGCCAGCTGTCCGCCGGCCCAATCCATGGTTGCTGTTGTTCAGTGGGGGTTGAAAACGAGAGACTCGCCAGTTGTTGTCAGAGTGAAAAGGTCAAAATTTTTGGAGTTTGGAAAATAGATGTTGTTGAGAGAACGAAGACATGGAACGTGCGGGTGATGGAGACTTTCACTCAAGGTTTGTTCCCGGAGCAGCCTTTCCGAGTTTCGAATGGCGGGTTTCGCTTTTCAGGTTCGGGTTTGGGATTGGATCTGGTGCTGGGATCTGGGATCTGGTGACCAGCGTTGTGAACCTCAGCGCTCGTTTTGAACCCGCGCAGCGACCGCCAGGCTGAGATGAGGTAAGAGTCAGATAGAGAGCGAGGTGTGCGCTTCTGTTGCTTCTGGTCCTGTGGTTTGCCGTAAGAGCGTAAAGCGGTTGGCCGTTCGCCAGTAGTCAGTGATCATGACGGTATATGGTTTGCACGGATGCAGCCTGAGTTTGCGGGTTCGCAGAGAGTTTGTAAATTGAGTTCTGGCAAATGACCTCTGGAGTGGGAGATCTGGGCCTTGTGGCCGTGGCCGGCTGCGCTGTGGCAACCCTGACAGCCCTGACAGCCCTGGCGCCCCCAGTTGTGGGATTTGCCGAGTCTAATTGCAACGCCGGCGCCGAGAATTTGGAGGCGGTCAAGCACCCAGTTGCAGCACTCTGACTTCAGCTGCAGGTCACCGGTACAGACATGCAGACCGGTGTTGCAGCGCCCGAGAGCCTGCCAATCTGGGAACGAGCGCGTGAGAGGGGTTGCCGCGCTGCCGTCGGCTGACTAGCAATTAGTACTGGATGGAATAGTGGTGCAGTGCGGTTCCAGTGGGCGCTGCGATGACAGCGAATGCTTTCTGGAGTTGCAGTGGGCGCGGTGGGCGCGGTGAGAGTGGGCTAGGGCGTGTGGGGGTGTCCGTGGACGCGGGCATGGGCGTGGCCATAATCCCTGGCAAGTGAGTGCAAAAGATGTCCAAGAAGGTGTGCAGCTTTTCTACAACAATTGAGGCGTGGGGTGCATCCATCAACGCATCCATCCACCATCCATCTACCATCCATCTATCCATTGCACCCACTGATTCCATTCCCCCCTCGATCCAGTGCGTCCGATGAACCTGGCGCGATCCACTATGCCTGCCCCAAGTAGTGCGTCGCCATGGGCCGAACTGGGCGCACTGGCGCAGGGACTGCATGCTTCAATCCGCCCACAAAGCAGCAGCAGCGCAGCATTGCCCGTGGTTCCCGTGACCGCACCTGGCTTTTTTTCGCTGGCAACGTTGAAAGGCCACTGGCACGTTGCGACGAGGCAGCACCTTCAGGTTTCGTGGTTGGACAACCACAACAGGCAGACGGAATGGCGGGATGGTCACCTCTGGCCCTTTCTAGACTCTCTGTGGTCTTTCGGTGGCCTCTCTTGGCCTCTCTTTACGTCTTTGTACCAGTCTACAAGCCCTCTCTTTGCGGCTTTGCTCTGCTCCTGCTTTGCCGCGTCGTCTCGTCTCTCTCTCTCTCTCGCCTGCAGCCAGGGGCAGCCCCACAGAGGCGTGTGACCTGCTCTGTGCCCTCTGCTTGGTCCGTCGCGGTTCCCTTTAGTCAACATGATTTTGATTTCCATGGATCATACCGCTCAGTCATCGCATTGCCTTTCATCAGTCATCCCATTTCCCAAGGCAATTGCGCATCTGGCTTCAGGCATACAGTCGCAAGATTGCCATGATCAACAAGCAAGCGCAAGCAGCAGCAATTGCAGGCATCAATCCCAACAGCAAACGATTTAAACAATCAGACGTTAGGTGACCAATTGTGACAGCCACGCACTTCCCCGTGGGGCAACCTGGAAATTTCCGATCGATTTCCACCCCTAGGTCGCGTATTGAGTCTTTCTTGGCTGTTCTCGGCAGCCGACGCACAAACCGATGCCACAGCCAACGCTTAACCACTCATCGCTTACACTCAGGTCAATTTTCTGGAATTAGCGATTCTCTCTTTTCCCGCTTGCGGTTGAAAGTTCAAAAATACCAACAACGCTGACGACGGCATTTTAGTAGCCTCTACCACGCCTCTCCCGCAGTGACATTGACGCGTCTCTGACCTGACTCTTCCTCGCTGGCTCAGCGCCGGCCCATTGCGCCCACTGCTCGGTGTGAGCGATTTGCGGGCTCTGCAAAGCCCCGGCGATGTTGCAGCTAAGCACTGACCTGGTTGCAAAGTCCAAGCCCACCAAGCAGGCTTTTTTTTTCCCTAGTGTATGACGCCGTGCCTCGCCGATCCTGGCCAAAGAAAATTTCAGGATGTACTGGACATTCGCAAGCTTGGCCATGTTTTCGTCACTGGATCCCAGTCATCCTTTTACCTACTCAAGGTCTACGGATTACAATGCTAATCTGAAGTGCTGGATTAGAATTCTCATGTCATCATCTTGTGCTGCTTGGACTAAACTGTGGTCGTTGAGCCAGCCATCCACGGCTTTTGTTCCCCTTCCCCCCCCCCTCCCCTTCCCTCTTTGTGCCTGGTGCTTGAAACAGCGGAGCGGGTTCTGCGGTCTCATCCCGCGGTCCTCGAGATGTGGCTTGGTCATACGCTGCAAACAGTTCACCGCGGTTGGCCACCGCCCCAACACAATTTCCCTCGTCGGCATCCAGCCCCGCGGTGAGAAGTGGGATTCCCGGCCCCCTCGCCCGATCTGGGCAGGCCAGTTGTTCGAATTAGCGACAAAGCATCCGAACAAAAAAAGGCAAATAACGAAACAGGGAGGTTTAGAGCCGGAGTTTCGGTATCAACGGCGGGTCAGCGGATCCGCAGCTCTTGAGACCCTTGAGACTCAAAGGCCAGGTCTTGATGCCTCAGTTTGGTGGTCTCTCATCAAGTTTGGGAAGGTGAGTGATGTTCGAGAATTTCCATCATGCTGCTGCCCGTTGCCACGCTGGCGGTCTTCTCCGAACAACGTGGCAGCGAAAATCTTGAGTGGACACCTTGCGGAAAAAGAGCTGCTTCTCCTAGGTGAGTCTCCCGATAGTCTGGTCTACGTAGCCGCACTATTTTCACCTCGCCTTTTTCCGGCGGCAATGCAGCGTGTGGGGAGGATGAAGTCTTCATGAAATCTCTACTGTACACCTAGGGTTGCTGCTATGAAACTACTTGGCAGATCCCGTTGTTTGTTACACACCATAACAGGCAAACCAACTTTCCCAGAGCAACGGTGTTGGGACGCTCTTGGAGGCTCATGCTGCATCTCCCTGTCTGCTCTGCCGAGTCTGTCCTGTTTTCGGCCGCGATCTGTGCCTTCACAGGTTCAACACCTTATCTCCACAGCGCTCGTTTGCCAGACCGTGGTCACGCGTACTTAGTTACACTGACCCTCCATGAAAAGGCCTCTTTGTGATTCCTAAAAACAGCGAGGGGCCCGCGCTCTCACCGGCTCCAGGCCGCCCTGACCGAGGGTGCATCCCCCCTCCTTCGGACCGGCGCGCAACAAACCCGCCTTGTGCCGACCCGTCCTACAACCTCCCATGATATGAAGGCCATAATGTGTTTAAGTTGGATGTTTTAGCCGTTGAATTTTTGTTGTTTCTACCGCCTGTGAACCACCCACCCACTGAACGTTGTCGGCCTCGATCCTGCAAGCTTTCGGCGGCCTGCTGAAGCACATCGCCCTGCTGCTGCTGCTGCTGCTGCTGCTGCTGCTGCTGCTGCGGGCCCTCGATGGGGCCGGTCAAATGTTGTCGGTATGCAGCGCTGGCGCTGCCTTGGCAACTCTGACTTCTGTCATCATCACCACTATGCAATCTACCTATCATGCACCAGTATGAAAAGGGTTGTTCTGACGAGCTGGCTACCGCGGCTACGACGCTGGAACTAGATGGCCATCCTTATCTGTCTTTATCCAAGTTGCGGTTTGAGCCGCCTGTCGCAAATTGAGTTGGTATGGCTCGGTCCGCAACTAGCCCTACCAGGGCTCTTATCAATGCCCACATCCGATCGACAGGTGTGGTGTCGACGTGCCGCAGCCACAGCGGTATGGAGAGACAGGTAGGTTTTACCTGCCACTCGGTGTATTAGTGTGCTGTGATGAGTGTCGACCACGTTGTTGACATCGGGTCCCGCTTTGGCGTAAACCCCGGTCTCTACAAGGCTGTTGGTGCGCTTCTGGAGATAGCAGACAGTAGCGCTGAAAAGTTTTTCTTTCAGCGTCAAGGGCGGTGATGTGATATCGTGTGTTAGGGTGCTTCAGTTGCCTGCCTGGGTAAGTCTGACGTTATGTGAATCGCGGTGATAGAGTCATCTAGACCAGCCTACGTGGTAGGAGGGTAAGTAGCGGTTCAGGCTCCCAGTGAAAGAGTAAGCTTCGTCACCCTGGCGACAAAACTTTTCATGTTGATAACGCGACTCAGTTGATTGAGAGAGTTCATGCCAATAAGGGTGTTGCTATCAACGACAGGCCCTCCCTCCAAACAAGGGCCTGTAGAAAGAATTTTTCTAGATGCTCTCACTGCTGTGGGACCGCTGTCACCGTGCACGCTCTCATCTCGCGGGACGCACTGCGGCAGCAGCCGAGCCTAACCGGATTGATGATACCTTCATGGGTTTTGTTTATGCATGCACAGCCTGTCTGAGAGGTCCCTAGGTAGGATATTGAGCCGATAGATGGCAGACTGTATTGGGGGGGTTCTTACGTAGGGATCCCACTTCCTTGCATGCGGACGAGAGAAAAAGGCATTGTCTGTAGAGAAAGTTAGACACGAGTGATACTTCCTCAGACTATTGTGTGTAGTTGATGCGCTTTCAGTTTTATCAGGTTCCTGCAAAGGGAAACTACGCGACGAGTGACAACAGTGTCATGTTCCTCACCGATAGTATGAACAATGAACGAGGATGGATACCCTCAAGATATTGAAACTGATGAAAGGTTGGCGCCTCAAGTGCTCTCTGATCCTTACTTTGGCTATTCTACAGGATAATGGTGCAGTTGGTAAGTGGCCCAATGTGTGGATGAAACTACCATGATTATTCCTAGGCTTGATTGAGACTTGGAAAGACCATGATATCTGATCCTGATGTGGATGTTGATGCAAAGTTTGAACTTTGTTGAACTGAAACAATCTTCCTCAGACCCCCTTCCATGCATATATGACCCAAAAATAATTTCCTAGGGAGTGCTGACAGGAAATTGATTGATCGGTGGCTCTGAAAGGTTGTTTAACTTATCAAGATTTAGTGCTTGCTTTTTGTCGTTTCTTGTCGCAACGCGTAATGCTCTACCAAGCAAAGAGCTTGAAACTTTGTACCTTTTGCTTGCTCCAGGCTTTTGTACCTTGAGGATTCGCTTAGTGTTTCCACATACTACAAGTCTCAGGAGTACTGTGTGTTGGTGATATGCGTACTTCGACGACTTAGTCCGAACATCTAAGTCTCTTCTCTCTTTCTCATCATCGCTTGAGATAGCGTAGACTATCATTGAAGGGCCCGTGATAACGCACTCCTCGTTCTCGATGTTTCTCACGATCTGTAAGAGAGATGAAGTTTATTAAATGTTATGTACAAGCTTGCCAAAGCCATCTGTATGTTATTAGGAAGTTACAGGGGGCAGCCAGGAGTCAAGGGTCAGAGGAGGTTTTGAAGTGTTAGTACCCTTGGCTGGCTTCTTCATTTTACTTATCCACTGACCATGTACACGTACGGAAAAGGATGGTCCTAGATTATCACAATTTGGCTTTGTGTAGTAGATATGATGGTGAGCTATATATAAGTTCACGGCCTTACATAGAGGTTGAGTGGACAATGAGCCTTTATTTTGTCTCTCCCTTCCGTCTACGCTTCTAACTATTGTACAGACGCACAGTTACTGTGACACTGAACAAAAAACACTCATCCGTCATCTGTGCTTTTATTTACTATTTCCAAGTCACATCTCTACAAGCCATCACACCCTCTTGCCCCTTAGTCCTCTTCATCATCCCCCGGCCCATCAACCCTAACCTCCTTCAACTCCCCCGGCTCCGCAAACGCCACCTCGGCCGGTAGCCTAAAGCTAGCACAATACATGCTCTTCGCGGGCGCTACATCCCGCACATAATGCACCAACACGGCCCCTTCTTTCCCCGTCCTCGCCTTCTCCCCATCCAGAACCTTCTCCATCACCTCCACATCCTCCGCCCATTTCTTGTTTGCGTCCTCATTTGCCTCGGCCAGGTAGACAGGGTACCTGAGTGATTCTTGAATGCGATTGAGAATGTCCTGCCGCGGGATGGACTCGTCGTCGCCGACGGCGGAGGGTTTAACTGCGAAGCAGTGGACGTGGATGAGCGGGAGTTTGTGGGGACCTTCATGGGAGGTGAACAATGATTCATGAGCATGGTAGACGCCGCGGTAGGCGGACAGGAAGGAGATCGCACTGGCGGGGAGGTTCATCACGAAGTGGGAGATTGTGGGCGGGAGTGGGATGCGTTGAGTGGTGGGTCGGGGTTTGCGCTTGGGGGAGGGGGAGCGGGATTTGGATTCAGAGGTGTCATCTTGAGGGGGCTGTTGTTTGTCTTTGGGGGTCTTGATTGGGACAACGGCGTGCTCGCCACGCTGAGAGGCGGCGAGGATGTCGGCGGCTGCTCGGCGAATGAAGGTCCGCCCGTCTTCGCAGAAGGGGCGGACGAAGGGGGCGACCTGGTGAGGTCAGCAGACTGAAGAGACTCTTGATGGGAGAGGAGTAAGACATACCTTATTCCTTTTAATAGCCACCTGCATGAACCTGTAGCTCTCGGGATTCTTATCATTCGCCCACACGAAAACGCCCTTCTTGCCCGCGGGCACAGCAAACGGCCCAATACCCGCCATCACATCGCACACGACCTCACCGGGCTTGAATAGCCCAACGATCCGCCTGTGCTCCGTCTCAAGCTTGCTGTTCCAATATACCTTGGAGTAGTCAAACTCGAATGTGCATCCGTGCTCGGCTACTGACACATTGAGGTCATCCGGGCCGGCAAGCACCTCGTAGGCGAAGGTGCGGAACTCGGACTCGCGGCCGACGTTGTCAACTTTGTTGATGACGGTTCTAATTTGCGGGTTCTTGTCGAGCAGGACCTCGGCGACGAGGTACTTGTAGGGGAGGTATGCCTCACGGAGGTTCAAGTGGGCTGGATGGTGGTTAGGAAAATGTCGGGTGACTCAGGGGTTCAGGGGTAGACTCACCAACATGCCCTGCGACGTTAAACCCAGCCGGAATGTCCCCATGCAGTTCCTCCGGGAGAATCGAGAGCATAATATCCCCTACGCCCGTCAGCCCAGCCCTTCGACAGAACTTCAATACCAAGGAATCACTTACGGTAACTCCAATACTCATACCCCAACACCAACTCATAATTCACAACCCCCAGCTCCTCCTTCTGCACACCCTCCCTGACCACGGGCCCCCAAGTCTCTGGCTTCTCCGGCCTCACATTCGGCTCTAACAAGAAGCACTTCTTCCCCTGATCAGCGAGGACGGGATCCGGATGTTTCGCAATAGGCGAAACCCTGTCCAAGTCCAGCAGCTCCTTCGAGGCATGAAGACGCTTGCGATAGGCAGCAATCAGCCGAGCGTCGTGGACCGCTGCGGCGGCGAGGGGGATCTTTTTCGTGAAGAGCGCGCGGTTGAGGGCGGCGGTGCCGGTGCGCACTATGGGTGGGCGGAAGAGGCTGCTCATAATGTCGTCGATGGGACTTGTTGATGAGGGATTGGTTGTCGCAGCATGAGAGGTGGACTGCGAAGTAGTCATGGCTAGAGTTCGGTTGTTGATGTTAGCCTGGCTTCTAATCCGGCTACTCATTGGATTAGATCTGAGAGGAAATATTGAGAACGTCGAGGTCGAAGGGACGGGGGAGGAGGAGAAGGCCAACTCACTCACTCACTCAACTCACCTGCTCACTCACACTCTGAGTTGAGGGGTGATCAGTTTCTGTGTGAGGTCTCTTGAAAATTGATCCCGGCCAATGAGGGACGAGCATTGCTCTATGGCCCCACATTTCTCCTGAAGCCCCTCCAAGTACCATCGAAGTCAGGACATGAAGATGATCACAATCACAACTACCATGTTGGTCGAAACCACTGAGCAATCCATACACGAAATAACTGGCGCATAGATACTGAATGAATAGAGTCTACGAAACACTCTCACAAACGAACCCAAATCCCGACCCAACTCCGACCGCCGTCTAAAACTGCTGAGTGCTCGAGTCTAAGAGTTACAATCACCATTGATGAACTCTCTCTTTCCCTTCCCCCCCTTCCCCCTCCCCGAGGAACAAATAAACAACCTCCTCATCCCCATTAACCCAATCACCCCTTCAGCGTCCCCTCCGCATCTGCGCCTGCGCATACCGCTGGAGCGCCCGAATGAACACATGGTACCCAACCCCATGGTTATCCTGCACATGGAAAATCTCCGTCAGCCGGATCTGCCACGGCGGGTACCCCTCCAGCTCAATATGCGGACCGAACAGCACAAGCAGGTCCGGCTCGCCCATGATGCTCTCCGACAGCTCGGCGTCGACCAGCTCCAGCGTAATGTCGGCGGGGCGAAGCTTCTTGCGCTGCGCCATCTCGGCCAGCGTCTTGGTCAGGTCGACAACCGAGTCCCGGCCGTCTTCGGCCGAGATAAGGAGCACAGAGAGGTGCTTGCTGCTGCCCGTGGGACGGATGCCCGCGTCGACGCTGACCTCGGTGTCAGAGTCGGAGGGGGTTTGGTCGTGCTCTAGGCCGCGGGAGAGGGATGGAGTTTCGATGGAAGGCGTGTGGGGGGCGCCGACAGTTAGGGAGGGGCAGTTGACTGGGCCAAAGTAGGCCAGGAGCTGCTTGTTGATGGCGTGGTGGGTCTCCTGAAGATAGCCCTTCAGGATGCCTAGATGACGGTCAGTCTTCGCTCTAATACCTAGGGAGCTACTCGCTCAACATACCCGTCTTCTCGTAGATGCTCAACTGCGGGATGCCCGCACTGGCACACCACGCCGCAACATCCGCGGCCTCATTAATCAACTTCTCGAGCCCAGCCCCGCTGCGGCGCTCATCCTCCAGCGTCAAAATGACGCTCAAGTGCCTGGGCAGACGGCGCAAGCCCTGGACATCCCGACGAATCAACTCGGGAGTGCGGTGATGGTGGTAGACGATGGAGTACATGCGGTTGGCCACGGCATGGTAGGCGTGCCGCAGCCGCATGTACAGCGAGAAGAAGGCGTGGATCAGCGTGTAGACGAAGAGGTGGAACTGGCGCCGCAGGAAGCGGCGCACGCCGAGCCGACCCTTGACTTCGGCATCGCGCGCTCGTGAAGAGGCCCGCGAGCGTCTGGGGGACGGCAGATAGGGCTGTCGTCGAGGAGGCGTTAGCAGAAGAGCAAAAAGGAGATAGAGCATGCTGGCTAGAGGCTAGGCAAAGCTGGCTAGGGATAGGACAGACTTGATTCGCATGGGCGTGGGAATGGGCATGGGCATGGGCATGGGCATGGGGCATGGGATAGGGGAAGAAGACTAACTGGTAGGGATAGGGGTTCCTCTGAAGAACACACCTTCAGCAGACGGGCCCTTTCCTCTGGAGTCAGGAGCTTGTGGCCCAGGTGCTCATCTCGACGGTATGTCTCCAAGTCCCTAGCGTTGAGAGGCATGGCGTGGGGGCACCGGCCCAACGGCTGATGGTCAGGCGTCTTGCTTCCTCGGCAGTATTTTTAGCTGCTTCTTTTAGCTGCAGCGAGTGCTTCGTCGGAGATTATTATCCCCTTTGTTTGCGATGTGGACCGGCCAGACGACGCTATTGTGTCGCTATTCTTTGTGGGCCGCGGATCCAGAATGTGGTGTCGCCAGCCAGGCCGTGACGTGTGTGGTGTAAGCTGGCCTTTGGAAAGCGATGGGTGTGGACAACGACGACGAATGCCAAGTGGTGAGCTTGCTGGTTGGGTCTGACTTGCAGCAGTCAGATGCACATGCACTTGGCCCATCGGTAATTTTTGTGTAACGTAGGGTCCAAAATTTCGCCATGAAAGCTTATCGATAACGTAATTACGGTTCCGCCAAGTCACCCCACGTCCCCCTGTAGGCTGTCGACGCTCCGCCTCTGACGTCCAGAGCCCGGTCCCAAGCTCCAGGGAGCTAGCGGTAGTCCGACATCAACATCGAGAGTTTTAACATCGACAGACTTGCCGGCGACGCCGTCAATACAGCTCCGCACCACACCTTCGTCCCATGCTCTCTCACCCATTGCAACGGTGACACGATGGACCGCGGGTCCAGCGCCTCGCGCGCTCTCTTCCCCACGGGCCCCAGCTTCACGCTCGAGGACTTCTCGAGCCCCGACTTCATCGTCAGCGACTTCATCGACCACCTAACCGATGCCGCTCTGCCCACGAACCGCCGGTCCGGCCCCGCCCATCACGCCTTCGACCCGAAGCCGCTGATCCGGACCTTCGAAAATGCTCTACAGCAACTAGCCGCCCTGACCGAAGAGCTCCAGGAGAAGGAGTCCGAGCTGCTGTTGCAAGTACGCCGCGCCGAAATCCAGCACGACCAGACCCTCGAGACCCTGGGCCGCAAGCTGGACCAGTCCATGGCCCAGTTTGAGGCCCTGGACCTATCATTGAATAGCAGTGCGAACAGTCCTTCCACAACCTCGAACGCCAATGCCAATGTTGCCGTGCAGATCGGCGAGAAGCTTGAAGAGCTCGACCGCAAGCGCCGCAAGGCCCAGGATGCCAACTTTCTGATTCAGTGCTGGATTGAGGTCAGCGAGACCGGCCAGTTGACATCCCTCGAGGAGATTCAGCGCCAGGGCGGTCCTGAGAATAAAGTGCGCTGTGCGGTCATCGCCCGGCAGCTGATGCGCATCAGCCAACGCCTAGACCCGGCATCGTGGGCGACCCCGAACTCTCGTACTGCCGCCCTCACCAATGGCGGTATCACCAACGGCGTGACGGGCGCCGTGCGCCCCAGGCACAATACACGCGAGGCTCTCGAGAAGTTTTGCGAGCTGTTGGAGCAGGACCTGTTGAAGCAGTTCAACAACAGCTACCGCCGCCAGAACTTCGACGACATGATGGACTGCGCCCGCGTGCTGCATGACTTTAATGGCGGTGCCAGCGTCATTGCGGCATTCGTCAACCAGCACCAGTTCTTCATCGACCGCGACCAACTGCTCGCCGATGAGGTTACCACTGACAATGAGACGTGGGAACGCCTGGCCGATCCGGACTCCGAGCCGCCAGGAGTCGAGCCGAGCCTGCAGTCGCTGGTCGACGAGGTCCGGATTGTCATGCAAGAGGAGTCTTTCATCATCAAGCGGGCTTTCCCCTACTACGAGACCGTCCTAGTCAAGTTCATCCAGCGTGTCTTCCAGCAATCTATCCAGCAGCGTCTGGAGATGGTGCTGGACAAGGCGACTACGATCTCAACCCTGGCATTCTTGCGGTCCTTGCACTCATCGCGTGCTTACCTGGCAGCACTGGTCGAGGACCTCAAGACACATGGTCTAACAGAGCACCCAGAGCCATGCACAGCACACATCGCCCAAACCCTAGACCAACAACTCGAAGAGCTCTTCATCCCCTACCTCGTGGGCAACTCGTACATCGAGCGCGAGCGCAAGAGCCTCGAAGAAATGTACAACTCTCTCCTCTTCAAGTTCACCCTCTATCACTCCCGCCGCAAAAAGGCCCCTACCGGCTTCATGGCTGCCATTGCTCAGCAAGGCACCCAGCTCCTAGCATCCGCCAAAGACGCCTACATGGAGCGTCTCGAGTCCTCCGACCTGACCCCAACCCAAAAGCGCATCATGCTGCGCGTCGCTCGCATCTCAGAGAGCGGCCCGTCATCCAACACATCCAACAGCAAAAACGACATCGAACTCTCCGAGCAGGACGGCGCTCTCAACGTTGCCTATGCAAAGCGCATGATCGGCTGGCTGGCTGAGTCCGTCCGGCGGACACTGGAAATGGGCTCTGCCACCGACACCCCCAAAGACGTCCAGACCCTCCTACACCTGCTGCTCACCAGCGTCGGGCAAGTCTACGTTGAGACAGCGCTCGACGCGGCTCTGGACATGTCCACTTCCCAAGAATCAACCAAGACCGAGCCCGATCTTTCCTACCTACCTACGCTCCGTCCGGCAGTGACAATCACCAACCTCGTCTCACGCTTCGTCACGACCGTATTGATCCGCCTGGCAGAGGGTAACACCACAGTCCGCCGGGCAATGGAATCCTCCCTGCGCCAAGCAACCGATACGATCGAGCGCAAGACCAACGCCGTGCTGCGCTCCACTCTCGACGTAGCCATCAACTGGATCTCACGCGTCTTGAGTCAACAGAAGAAGACAGACTTCCGACCTCGCGACGCGGAACTGGAGGATTACCTCGTCGACGCCCTTCAGACGCCCACTTGCCAAGCTATCTGCACTTTCCTATCCACCAAGCTGTTGCCGACACTCCGCTCGGATGCAGGGCTGGACGGCGCCAACCTCGAGATTTTCGCCTGCGAGTTGGCTGGGGCTGTCAGGAGACTACTGATGGAGCACTTCAAAAAGTTCCAGGTTAACGCGACCGGCGCGTTGATGGTCACAAAAGACATTGCCCGATACGTGGACACCCTCCGCGCATGGCCCATCACGAGGGAAGTAGAGACCAGTCTGGAGGTGTTGACCGAGGTCGGGTACTTGTTTATCATCGGGCCGGAGGCACTCAAGGAGAGAGGGAAGACGCTTGTTGGGGGTAGTCAGCAAGGGGGCAAGGGAGGTGAGAAGGCAGGCAAGGTGGAGGTTATCCCGGGTGAGCCGAGGCTCAGTAAGGCTGATTTTAAGGCTTTTGTGCAGAGAAGAGAGGACGCGGGGAGTGCGGCTGTGCAGGCGGTTTTGGCCTCGTTGTAAGGGGGTTGAGATGAGCTTTAAGGGGATTGAAGAAGGGAAGGGGGGGGGGATTTTATTGTGTTGGAAGAGCGAAATGTTCGGTACCTAGATATGGAATCGGCATATGTCCTGGAACGATGTGCTTGTAAGGGGAGGGAAGATGGGATTATACTTGGGCTTGTCTGTGGTTTCGTTCATGATGATGCGATGATGGTTTGCTTTGGGTTGATGTTCTTTTCCATGTTGCTTACGCATTTAACCTGTGTAGAGAATAATGATACCAGGGGTGTTGAACATATATAATGCATTCATATGCCTAGTTTTAGACTGAGTATTTTATATTTACTTGGGTGTTATGTACTTTTCCTAGCTCTAACTTCTCCATTGCAATACAGACTTGTAAGATCACCTCTATCCTATCATCACGCCACAAACCATGGATTTGTTACGTATCGGGTGGTTCCTAACCTCGATGGCATGATTCACGGACCGCATGGATGTCGCAATGCTGCCAACAAGTTGGACTGAACCTTAAATGAATATAGGTTATGCGGCGGTTTCTGTGTAGTCTGAGTCTCTTCTTGTCCATTGTATTTTGGATTTTATTGTTTTCTTTGCATCTCTCTCTCTCCTTCCCCAGCAATCAAATCCCCTCGGTCTCATATACACTGCTCTGGAACCATGGAGGAAGGGTCGCACGACCTTGAATCACTTTCAACCAATGTAACGATGTTCTAATTCTTGGATGATTGCGGTTCTGACTGCTCCGGAGCGCCATGCAAAGCAGTTTTTTTTTTTTGAACTACCATTCTTCTGAAGATTCCGACATGGAGTTAGAGGAGAGTTTCGCATCTCAACATGACGACTCAAGATCCAGCGAAAAGGCATCAGACCGATGTTTGGAAAACAGCTCGGCAGCTGAAACAACACATTACATATCAACTAAGCGAGTGACAAGCTTGCTTTGCAAGAAATGGGACGTCTGGCAGAAGGGGGTATGGACTTGTCAAGGCAGCAAGTCCCTGCTCGTCTGACCACCTTCTTTAGCCGCAGAAGCACGCGGTACAGCGGACTATGTTCTCTGTTGCCAGGGATGTATGATAATTTCAGACATTGTGATAGCGTTTGATACGGGGAGCAACTTCGTGGTTTTTTCTCATTCTATGTATGAGACAGATGCTACTTGCAACCATCGGGATAGCAGACTATCATCTGGACACAGTCTTGTTACTTTCCGATGTTGAAGGTTTGTTATATCGTGTGTATACTATGGACAACGTCATAAAAGTGCCCTCTCACTCTCATGATACTACCAACAGGTCTGCCAAACCCATGGAACCTTCCTCCTTTGCAGTGCTATGAGAGCATCAGTGCTATCTCCATTGAATGGGTGAAAGCAATGCCCGCAACATGCGTGAATCATCATAACCTTTGTTCGACAACGTATGCCGACATATCAAGGTATTCTCCTTTGCCAACAAGGGTTCTCGACGTTGGGCTCAGCAACTCAGACCAGATTAGCCTGATAGACTCAAGAGGAATGCATGGACAATATATCTGTCTTTCGTGCTGTTGAGGCAAACCAGAGCTTATAAAAACCACAAGGGAGACAATCGACCAGTTTAAGAAAGGGATTAGATTGAAGGATCTACCGCAAACTTTTCGGGACGCCGTTCACGTTACGCGGGGTCTTGGGGTTCGCTGTCTATGGATAGACGCCCTTTGCATTATCCAGCACGACATCGACCTTGCCGACTGGAAGCGCGAATCTGTCCGTATGGCCGACGTGTTTTGAAAATCTTGCCTCACTATCTCTTCAGCCTGGAACGACTCACCTTACTGCGGCCTCTTTACACCTCTAGACACAGCTTTGACCAGGCCAGTCCAGGTCGGCCCGGTTGTTGTCCGCAGGCTCAAGCATCAAGCATGTGTTTGAGGGCGAGGAGAAGAGGTGCGCGAGCAGCTACCCGTGTTTTTTTGCGAGCGCGGACCTATGAAGAACGTTTGCCGGCCCCCGTGGTAGTCCACTTTATCAAGCATGACGTTATCTGGGAGTGCTTAGAGCAGTATAATTGCCAGTGTACCCCGCGTCACTGCTTGGGGTGGAGGGTACCGGGTCACGGTGCTTGGTTCACAGAAAGTTATGAGCGACCACAAACTGAACAATTGAAAACCTGTATTTCTCTAGAGTTATCTACGAGGACAGGTCACCCAAGTGGGAGGATAAGTGGGAGGATATTCCGGTCAACCCCGTTGCTCTCTGGAGGGCTATAGTTGATGACTACTCCCTCCGACGGCTTACATTCCAGTCAGACAAAGTTGGTCGCCGTTTCCGGCGTGGCTGATGCGATTCAGAAAGCGATGTAATGGAACTATATGGCAGGAGTTTGGAAGGAGAACTTCCATACGGATCTGTGCTGGAGAATCGACAGAGATCGGTTAGTTTTGTGTCGTGGTTTCAAACAGCAATTGGAACACCCACGACCGCCTTCTTGGTCATGGGCATCTGTCCATGCACCTGTTCATCGGTGTCAACTGGATGCAGGCATATCAAATACCTGGTGGATATCTTCACACAGACAATGAGGATGGTTACACTATGGTTGCTGGAATCCTCGATGTTCAATGCATCTTGATGACATCGGCAACAAGTGGCCCAGTCCTCGATGGCTATATCGATCTAGAACGCTGGTTGATCCCGGTAGATGAGGTCGTATTCTGGGATAGGTCGGAGAGGTTACCTTGCTGGAATCTAAAGATCGGCTCGGATGTGGTTGACTTCTTGCTGGATGATGGTTCTATGAATGCCAACCTACTGAAGTCGGCGCAGTGCCCCTTTTACTTAGTTCCTTTTTTTCTGCCGAAGTCCGCATATGACTGGAGGGATCGTGTTGACGCCTGCTAGGAACCAACCAGAATGCATGATTTGTGTTGGATCATGGTACGTGGTTGTCTCCAAGGGGGTCTCCTTTTCCGTTACATGACTGGGAAAAGATTGATAAACAGAAGATCAGGATCATAGAGCAGCCGTTGCACCATATGGTGGAGGGAGGGAAAGAGTGGACAAAATAAACGGAAGCCTGCGGTCTTCCGACCATATCAGCGGCAACGGGCCCCGTCCACGGAAACTATATTGAACTGATGTCCTATCCGAGCCTCATGCTTTGCTATGGCTGAGTCTCGCAGGTGTCATATGGTCCGCAATGGGTTCTACTGGCTGGGGTTTTGTTTTAGGCAGGATGACTATTCAAGTTGGTTAGACAGATGGGTCAGTAAACGGAAGTGGTATGTCAGCTCTGGGAAAGAAAAGGGGAAAGGATTCGGATCATAACAATCCAGGGCCGTTGCTTCTTGATATTTCAGGACATCTTTGGAGCGTCATTAGCATAACTGATGTTAAAGTTCCAAGAATAGAAGATTCATTAGTCGGAGTCCTGTTCCATGAGACTGCCATAACCCTATAATACAAAAAATTCCATGACAGCATACATCTATACACACGCACACACACACACACATATATATAGTTACAAAACGTCGTTCCCCCTCTCCCCCCTATACTATAGACTCGTCTCCACAGGTTTAATCTGGTCCACGCGGATCCTAATATCCTCCCTCTCCTCCTGCCCGATCTTCCTCAACAGCCTTACGTACACCCTTCCACGATGCACATTCACCCTCACCAACTCGACCTCAAATACCATCCCGCTCTTGACCTCGCCGATCCGAATCACGTTATTGAAGTCGGCCAGCTCCACGACCGCAGACAAATCGAAGTAATTCAGCCGTCCGAACATGGCCGCTCTTCCCAGCGTGTCTAGCGTCGTAAACCGGAACGTCTTGGGCACCTGCTCCGGGTTCTCACCAAAGAAGTGTGCCCTGACGAGGGCCTGCAGGATCCACTGGCTGTTGCCATCTACGTTGTCGGTCAGCCTGCCGTGGCGCTCGCGGGCGCGTAGGCGAGGCAAGATCCGTCGGTCGAGGTCGGGCTTGGAGAAGGGAAGAAAGGATTTATCGGGCTTTTGGGAAGGATCAGCTTGGGGAGGGGGGTTATCTGGGTTCAGAGAGTTACGAACAGCGAGAGACTTGCCCAAGCGGGCTTCTTCGAGCAGAGCGGCCTCGATCTGCCAGTGGACCAGGAGATCCGGGTAGCGGCGCAGGGGAGACGTGACTTTGGTGTACATGTCGAGGCCCATCAGGTAGTTGGGGGTCGGGGTTGTGGAGAGCTCGTAGCCGCCGACCAACGTACGAAGGGTATGGAAGTCCTCAAGGGTCGGCTTGATGCCGGCTCGCAGCTTCGGATAGAGGACGTTCTCTGTAAAGTTCTTCAGGGCTTCCTGGTTCTGCGTTGCGAGCAGCTGGACGCGGTACGGGACGGGGATATCGCGCTCGTAGCACCAGCGCGCGCCGATCTCACCGGCAAGTTGCATCATGGAGCTGACGAGGGTTGAGGCGGGAGACTGCTGGCTTTGGTACGCGACACGGATGTACGGGTCGCCCCGGTACAGGACGAGGCCTGGGTTGTCGCCAGCCTTGGGGGAGTTGGCCTCTAAGAGGGTGTGCTCGACCGCGTCTAGACGGACGGTTGCTTGCGGCTGGGGGAGGTAAGTTGGCACGGCGCCCTTGGAGAGACGCACATTTTGAAGAGCCTTGGCGAGGCGATGTAGGGTGAGGAGATCGCTGCGCTGGGCACGGGAGAGGTCACGAACTGAGGCCAACGGCCGGGTGGGGGGGCTCGGCTGCGGTGGGGTGCCGACGGTTAGCTCGTAGGACGGCACTTGAGTCGGCGTAGACTCCTCGTCGAACAGCTGGGAGACTTCCTCGTAGCTCATGTAGACGACGTCCCGGAGAACGCCCGGGGTGATCTTGAAGTCGTGGATCTTGCCCTCCTCGTCGACCAGAGCGCTGAAGGTCAGCGTTGGCGCGTTAGCACGCAGAGAGAATGTCTCGCGGACCTCATCGCTGTCGATCATGCGCTGGTACCACCCGGCTAGATAGGAAGTCTGGGCGCGCATGGCAGCCTGTACGGCGAGCGGGTGGTCAGGAGTAATACGCGAAGCTGGGTCAGCCACATGGACATTGACCCAATGCTGGCCCGACACAGGACCCGGCTCGAGGGAAACACCGTCGTCGACGTCAAGCGTGTCAGCCGAGTCGATGCAGAAAACACTCGACCTGGCAAACTCCTGGCGGAGGCCCGCCAGGCGGTCTTCGCCCAGCGCAAGCTTCTTGGCTTGCTCTTGGCTCACCGGCGGCGCCGGCAGGGCCGGGTGACGGTCGAGCGTGATGCCCGGGATGCGCAGACGATGACGCGCGGCCACGTCCCAGGGGGCGATCCAGCCGATCTCTTGCAGGAATGTCCAGCCGGTAGTTGTGTCGTACAACACGTCGTCGTAGCGCTCCAAGGCACGCAGGACTGACGCGCCGATAGCGTGGCAGCGTGAACCGGGCCTGAAACCACCCGAAGCGGCCCAGTGGTGCATGAACTCGATGATAGTCATGCCGGCATCAGACCAAAGGGCAGGAATGGGAGAGGAAGAAGAGCCCGACGAGGGCTCAGAAGAGCAGGTTCCGATCATGCCGTGAGGAGACCACTTGCGCGTCTTCCGAGTCTTGTCAATGACTTCACGGGCTGCCTTCAAGAAACGGTCGAGCTGGGCGGCCGAGTTCGCTTGAGTCTTTGTCTGGGACTTCGAGCCTGATCTTTTGGACTCGAAGTAGTTGCGTACCATCTCCTCGACCTCGTAGACACTTCTCTGCACGCGGGAGGAGTAGAAGTGGTACAGGAATGCCTCGTTAACGCGAGCCGTGCGGTCCAGAGACCGAAAGGCCACATCATCCTGCTCGATGACGCTGTATACAGCATACAAGGCCTCGGGAGGGAAGACGCCCTGGTTGCGCTTCAGACTAGAGGGCAGCAGGGCATCGGCAATCTCGCGCAGGCTCAACAGGCGCTCACCGTCGCCCAGCAGCAGATGTGGGCGGCTAAGACGCTCAACATAGCTCTGATGGATCTCGCGGGCCTTGAGCTGGAACGCGTACATGCGGCGCAGCAGGCTGGCGGCGAGATCACGCGAGGGGCCGATGTTGAGCTCTTGCAGCTCGTTGAGCACGGCAGTGGACGATGAAGTCGACGGGATGGCGTCAATGACGGCTCTTAGCTCGGCCGGGTCCTGGACGAAGCCGCGCACGACGAAGCCGAAGCGCATGTCGCGAGTCGTCAGCCATTTGCCCGTGCTGGTGTAGAAGTGCCAGTGGCCGTTGAACAGTCCGAGACAGATGGCCAGCAGCCGCAGCCGTGTTGTACTGGCCCGCAGCTCGACCAAGTCGCCAGGCTGCAGCACTGCGCCGACGGAACCCAGGTCGATAATGTCATCCGGATCGAACTGCGGTGTGCGAACGTCTTCGTCCTGCGGCACGTCAAGGCGGAAGTTGAGCTCGCTGGTATTCTTGGTGATGATGTTACCAACTGATGTATCGGGCGAGTCATCTGTTGGAACCTGGAAGGTCGACGCCGGGTTCTCTTCTTCCCATTTTTGCAGACGTCCGCGGATGCTGTTCCTGGGAAAGCGGGAGGGCGAGCGCTCTTGAACCTGGGCGGGGACGGGGTTCGTCGTCGAGAGGAGTCGTGATGCGGGGAGGGGAAGGATTGGTGTTGAGACGATCGTGGGGCGGAGGGAAGACGAAGTGGTCACAAGAGGGCTCTCGGTCGCAGCATAGACGCCCCTGGATATCCTTCCGGTCCTCAATAGTCTCCCAGTCCTCGATATCGATATCCTCGAAAGTGTCGAGAAAGTAGAGATCGACGGCCGTGATGCCGACGGTCCAGAGCCCGGTAACGCGGGCGACACGAGGGTTTCCCGGCGAAAGGCAGCCTTCTCGGACCTGCCCGAGCACAGACACCGCCAGCAGACGTAGTTCTGGGCACCTCGACGCATCATCTTGTCCCAGACGGTGCTGTGGTGTCGTGCTGCCGTCGTTCGCAATCGCAGTCGGCGATAAAAAGATTTGAGGTGCGATAAGCTTATCGCGTGCTGTTACCCGATTTCAACCCTAACCCTGAAGTTATCGATAAGCTAGGAACCTTGCTCTGTTTCGGATTTTTTTTTGGGGGGGGGGGGCAAGCCACGGGCTTCATCCGTGGATCTCAACCCTAACAGCCCATACACACAGCCTTTGACCATCACAAACAATTCACCTTGTTAATTGCAGATGTTTGACACATTGTCAACCACCCGGGCCCCCTGTACCCTCTGTCATTTCGATCTACACTGCCTGAACACCTTCACTGCTGCCTTCACGGAGCATTCCGAGTTTGCAAGTTCGTGACTAATCCCCCGTATTTTACCAAGAGGAGAACAATCTCCCCAAAATCCGCTCTTGACTTTGAGGATCTACAGTTCCGCGGATCCAGGACTCCACTTGGATGACGACAAGTCCACAGAGGCCGTGCTGACGGCCTCCAATCCGGTGCTACGAACCGTTCATTACACTCAGCCAAATCGCAAAGCCGTATTGGCGCGGTAAAATACGACGAGACGAGGGGGCTGAGAGTGGACAGCTTTCTCGAAAGGAAGTTCTCTCATCACATGGGATCCGTCAGACAGGTGACATGCCACCCCGTCAAATGACCAGCAAATTGCACACAAAGACAAGAGTCAAATCGACTTAAAAGTGCCAGATATCACCATCAAGCCGGTTCTTGGGGAGGGGTGACACTATGCAACTTGTGCAGATACTGACAGCATTGAAGGTCCAGTCACTTTCAAGTCCGACTTTTTGTCGGCGACGACGTGGAAGTGATGGCACTGGAGTTATTCTGGTGATGGCGATCTTCGGCTCTGCATCCAGAATATCCAAGAAAAATCCACATGTTTCTCCGGAACAAGCCGGCAAATGAAGGAGCGCAACGTTGAATGCCCAGTTCTCCTGAAACGACGCCAATCCGTGGCTTGCAGCTGGGATTTGCATCTTTTTTTTTGGTGTGCTCCACGGCCGGACAAGGTTGACAGGGACAGCAGGGCTTGGCCCTTTTCCAGGCCCTTTTGCTTGCAATTGGGGGCTTTTTTGGCTGGGCCACAGCCCGGGCTCTGGATGGCTCTGGGCGCTGAGAGTGCCTAGTGGTAATGTCGCTTAGCTCATTGCGCAGTGGCACTGAGCACACTGAGTGGCCAGCAGCTGGTCTGGGCGTTCTGGGCATTGGGCGGGGCGGGCCAAGAATCCAAAACCAGAAAAAGCAGCACGACCAATTAACAGAGGAAAAAAATGTTGCATCACGATCACCACCGACTCACAGATCACAAGCTGCCGGCGGTTCATCAGGGGCGTCAGCATCGATGATGGACTTGATTGTGATTGGATTGCAATTAGTGCACCGAAATGCCATGATCGAGTGCGATGGTAAATACATTACACAGTACACTAGTGTGTGTGTGAGTGTGAGTGAGTGTGTGTGTGTGTGTGTGTGTGCTGACAGAGAGGGAAAAAAAGGACAGAAAGCTTATCACCCAACACACACAATACAACACAAAAGCATCCACCAACCTAACCCAACCAGATGCAGAGCCCAATGTCACCCACCATCATGCAAGGTACAGGCACCAGGTTAGCAGGCAAAGACGGCCTGCCGCTCTTGTGCACGCGCCCAGACCGGTTCCTGCGTCCATGCAGACACAATTCAAGCCGATGCTGCACTGCGTGGCACTGTTCATCTCATTTGACTCTCAGCATTTCCCACGAGCCCCAGCATTGTTCATCTCTTCGTTTTCATCCGCCCATCCAGACACCATCTCCTCCCTCGGACCATGCCCGCCTGGGCTCGACAGGGCCACCCTGCTGGCAATGACGACGGGGTTAATTAGCTCTCCACCAGTGAAAGGAGAGATGCGATGGTCCACCCTCCTGGCGACTTGGCTGGTCCTTTTTGGCAGTCTTCTTTCTTGGCTTCCAGGGGCCGCAACTAGGGCCTACGGGGACCGCCAGGAACCAGAAGGGCTGATTACCCCAATCATCCACACCGCGCTCACACCGCCGTCACCTGCCCGCCAGGGGAAGGACAGGACCTGGATTGGTTCTGCATCCGCCCTGGACAGGGGCGAGTCCAGGACGTTGCCGGGAACGGCTGCTTGGCGCCGACGGTTGAGAGGGCGCCATCATCGCGCAGGGAATGGTCGCTGCAACGGTGCGATCTGAGTGAGCACTTAGCAGTTGAGGTCTGTCAATGGCAGAGACACTTCTGAGATAAAAGGGAAAATAAAAAGAAAAAACGCGGAGAAATTCCAGGAGAAAATAAGAGAAATTAAAAAAATAAAAAAAATGAGACAAAAATAGAGGAAAAGAAGCACGTCTAAGATGGTAATGCGGCTTTGCTAACCTCCACAAAGCAGCACCAAAAACGACGCCGTGGAGGACAACAACGCCAGCGCTGGCCAAGCCGAGCCAAGACTCAGGGCGTCCCTGGTGCCCTGGCGCTCTTGTTTTCTGGACCGCAGTTCGCCAGTTGGAACCCCCCCCCCTTCTCCCTGTTGAGGCCCATCAAGGCCCATGACCCTTGTCGCCCACCCCCGTCGTCCGAACGACGGTCCTCTCGATTCTCGTCAGCAACCCCCTTGTCCCCAGTCCCCCCCAGTCCCCCTTGTCCCCTTTTCTCTGCCAGTCCTGCAGTCCTGCAGTCCTGATATATCGGCGCTGCAGCGTCATTTCTGCATCTGTCATCTGTTTCTACCTTATTTCCGCACCACCGCTTCACTCCTTCAGCGGGCACTCGTTTGTTGCGAAACAAGGCAAAGAAGACTCTCAGGCCGGAGTTTTCTTTTTATTTTTCTCGGTGTGTTTATTTTAGAGAAAATAAAAAGAACGCGCTCCCCCTTTAGCCCCTCGATCCCGATCTCGATCTCCCGAGCCGTCGCCGTTGCTGTCTGTCCATTCGCCGTCGTAGCCACGGAGTCGCCGTCACCATGAAGAAGGCCGCTGTTCTTGCCGCGGCTGCTGCCCTCGCCGGCAGCGCGAGCGCCAGCCGCCACGGCCACCGCAACGTTCACCGCCATCTTGCGAAGAAAGACCTCTCCACGGGTCTGGCTACCGCCGACGTCTGCGTGCCGACCTGCACGACCATCTACAGCACCATCTACGGCGAGGCGACCAGTATGTGTGACCGATCCAAAAGAGGACGAGACTCAGCAGGGGGGAAGGGGGGGAAGGAGGGGAGAATGAGAGACGTGAGAAGTGAGAGGTGAGGACAGAGAGATGCTGACTTACGCAACAGTCCTGCCGCCGGCCGAGACGCCCAAGCCCTCGCCCTCGCCCGTTCCCGAGACCACTGCGGCCCCGGCTCCCCCGCCGAGTGAGCCCGCGACCGTGCCGACTCCAATCGTCACGACCTGCGAGACCACGGGTGTGTACACTTTCCCGGCGACGACCATCGTCCTGACCGAGACCGTGACCACCTGCGGCGCCAGCACGACCCAGGTGCCTTCGGGCACTCACACCCTGGGCGGTGTGACCACTATCGTCGAGACCGCCACCGAGATCGTATGCCCCGTCGCCACGACCTCGACCGCCCCGAACGGTGTCGTCACCAGCTTCGTCACCGAGACGACCTATGTGTGCCCGACCCCTGGCACCTACACCATTGCCCCCATCACGGTCACCGTCACCGAGCCCTCGGCCACTGTCGCCGTCCCGACCCTGACCACCTACGAGCCCGGCACCTACACCGCCCCGGCCGTCACCACCACTATCACTGAGACCAACTACGTCTATGTCTGCCCCTTCACTTCTGAGGGCGTCCCAGCTCCTTCTGAGCCGACCTCTGCCCCTGAGCCGGCTCCGCAGGCCATCGAGGTCCCCAAGCCCGAGCCCGTCACCAGCCAGGCCCCTCCTCCTCCTGCCAAGACTTCTACCCCCATCAGCTCTGGCGGCCCCAAGAAGCTGGGCGGTGGCAAGCACTGGGCCATGACCTACACGCCCTTCCGTGAGGACGGCACCTGCAAGACGGCTGCCGAGGTCTCTTCCGATGTCGCTGCTATCGCTGGCGCCGGCTTCAAGACCCTGCGCGTCTACTCGACTGACTGCGATACTCTGCCCAACGTCGGCGCTGCTGCCCGTGCCAACGGTCTGCGCATGATCGTCGGTATCTTCATCGGCGCTCCTGGCTGCGACAACGGCAACCCGACTGTCGCTGCTCAGATCTCTGCCCTCAAGGAGTGGAAGCAGTGGGATCTCGTTGACCTCTGCGTCGTCGGTAACGAGGCTCTCTTCAACGGCTTCTGCTCTGTCGACCAGCTGGCCGGCCTGATTCAGCACGTGCGCAGCGAGCTCTCCTCGGTCGGCTACACCGGCCCCTTCACCACCACCGACGTCGTCTCCGCCTGGCTCAACAACGACGTCCAGCCCATCTGCCAGGCCATTGATGTCGTCGCCTGCAACGCCCACGCCTACTTCAACGCCGGAACCCTGCCCAAGGACGCCGGCAAGTTCGTTGCCGGCCAGCTGGCTATCGTCGAGAAGATCTGCGGCAAGACCGGCTACATCATGGAGACCGGCTGGCCTAAGGCCGGCAACTGCATCGGTGTCGCTTGCGCCGGCCCTGAGGAGCAGAGGACGGCCATCCACAGCATCGAGGAGGAGGTCGGCAGCAAGGCTGTCTTCTTCTCCTTCCGCGATGACCCGTGGAAGGCTCCCGGTGCTTGCAACTGCGAGCAGCACTGGGGCTGCGGTGATGTCTTCGGTGCATAAAAGAGTATGTGGTGAGAGGAATTGGTAAAGGGTTGTCGGGGTTTTTTTTCCTAATCCTTTTTCTTCCTTCGTGGAGGATGGGCGAGTTGAGTTTCCTGTCAAGGGATGCTTTCTCATCACCAAGCTTGACTTCGCTTGTCCCCCGGTTCTCGGGATAAGGGATGCAAGGGCACTTCTTTGTGTTACCTATCCTATGCAACTTTGGATATGAATATATATTTGGCTCTCGATATATAAACGCAAAGTCAATGTTTGGTCCCCAATCTGTCAGCTACAGCTCTTCTCAAAACCGTTCGGTCGGGCTATATTGTACATATAATATTTAATCCCCCCTCCTGCCTCTATCTCACCATCCATCGGTCAAACGTTTTCGCCCTTTTCTGGGAATCTTGCACACACTTTATGACATGGGGATAAATATAGACTGGGAATGACAAATCATCAAGAAGGCATCGCTGCGCTGCAGTTGGGACAAACATTTCATCATATCTCATACACACAGTCAAATATGGGTTCTGGGTGTTTGGGCGGCTCATGGTCATCTCATTTCATCTTCAAGGGGAAGAGAGTCCGGAGGTGGAGTGCAAGATGTTGCGGTGTGGAAGAGTCTATGTCTAGCATGCGACGATCTTGGGTCGATGGGTTCCTTTGCTCTTGTCCTACATTGCGTCTCTCGTTTAATGTTTCTTTCTACTTTTAGAGTTTTCCGTTGCTGTTTCTAGTTGTCAATACACCGAGATTCCTCAAATAATTGGACCCCTAACCTGTGAAATAGTAAATGAGTGAAGTTTGCAGTCATCTTAAGATTCTCGGCACTTTGAGCCTCCTCCTGTAGTGTTCCCCCTTTTCTTCCATGGGGAATCCCTGCCAAACAAAGCCAAGGCTCGATTTTTCTCCCCGACGTTGTGTGACCTTGATAAACCGGAACAGACGTCATCCCACATTATTCAATACATACTTCACGTGCTTTATGCTGTATCACCGGAATGTAAGATGAGAAACAATGGTCCAAAGTCCAAGGGACTAGGACGAGTGTCTACGTATCTCCTGCTTACTAGGTACTTTAACCATTCAAATAGAGCTGTTATTTCGTAAAATTGAAGTGGGAGTTCACCGATATACATAACCAGCATCAAGGACAGGGGTGATCATCATCAGAACCATTACCCGATAGCCATGAGTCGTGACGTCCTTTCGGATGGGATTCCTGATGACAACCATCTCACTTCGCTCGCTATACGATTCTAATCCGTTGTCTCTTCTTCATAAATGCCAATTTCCACTTCCAATTAATGATCATTCGCTCCAGACAGCTTGCTGAAGCTTCCTCGTTGTACCCCCACCAGCAGCTCCCAATACGGACCATGCAGTTTGGTGAACATTTGGCAGCCATCAATATTAGGGCCACTTGCTGCCAGCTATCGATGGTGCATAAAGGTGCTAGATAGAATGGTCCGTCCTTTCGGTATGGCGATGCCGAGATTCCTTGATCCAAGGTTACAACCGATGAGTTGTAACGGTTTAGTGTAGTTAGGATCCGTAGCTCTGTGTATCTGATAGGCGCGAGGGGACACTCCATGTCGATGAAGCCATCAAGGACCGGACCTGTTGGCGACGACGTGGCCAATGTACAGCCAGCATCTATAACTTGTGCGTGATGCATCCAGTCTGTGTCTTTCACCCTCAAGGTAAGCCACTGTTCCCCTGGCCAAGAAACGCTCTCATCGATCGATGCCCAAGACCAGGTCGGGAAACGGCGTTCAAACTGTTCAGCAGCCTGCCAGTGTGGGCTACCAAAACCTTTCAACTTGGCTATCTTGCTGGACACACTGGCTGCCCAACCTAAATCTTGGAGGAGTGTTTCCTTCCATAACCCAGCCAAGTATTGCCATCCTGTCCGTCTCTGGATTAATTCTGCCACTCCGGAGATCGCAACTAGCCTATCGGACTTGATAGAGAGGTTCCGAGATGAGTAACTCCCGACTAACATCTTCCATAATTTCTCTGGGACTATTCCTGCTGCCTCTTCGCCCGCAATGTATCGGGAGAAGGCTAGCTTGAGCCTTTCGAAGCGGCTCGCATGCTCAAAGAGCTCCGTGTTCTTAGCATAAGTCGAGAAATGGCATTCGCAAGCGATGGATTCTGTGCACTCCCATCCTATCTCCCACTTGCGAAAATGAAGAATCCTTGGTGATAATAAACGTTCCTGGAACGTCCAGCCTCGAGCGAGAACAGGAGAATCCTCATCCTGTATCATCTCTGTTCCATCTGCTTCCGCATGCTCGAATACGCGACTGATGAAAGGCTCTTCTTCCAAGATCGTCCGTGAGCTAAACAGGCCACGCTTAGGTGAGTCGGCCCAAGTGGCGGAAATGGTCAGACACGAATTCTGATAAACATGAGCCATGCGAACGGCTTCACGTTTCCAATCCTTAGCGTCATCCTGAACGATGTAAAGCGCATCTATCCAAAGATAACGGATACCCAGTCCACGAGTGATCTTAACAGAATCTTGAAAGGTAGGTGGAAGCTCATCAAAGCCGATGTTTTCCTGGTAGCGGCCAATGGTTGCTTTTGTCGTCTTTATAAACGCCGAGTTGCCCCAGCAGTATGAAAGACATGTATAATGTCCCTTCTCTCCCCTGGTTTCAACAAGTCGTATAGGATCAGATTCCCTGAATCCCAGATCAAGCACTCTGGTTGGTAGTGGGGGATTATTGTCCGAAGATACTAATGCAACCGCACAACGCTTGTGAGAGGATAAGCAGTTCTCGAGCCAACCATTTACCCTATTCATACTTAGGTGAGATTCAGTCCCTCCGTCAAATGGGGACATAGGGGGTAAACCCCATGGATTTGAGACACCTATGATCCAAAAGAATCAGAACAATGAAACTTATTGATGGGTGAATCAGTCGCGATGTTACCTTTAGCACCAGATACCACGAAACTTCGGTTAAAAAGCGTGAACAGCACAGCCAAACACGGATATTCTTGTCCGTAAATGTCACGTGGAAGGATAACAATGTCGTTGTCCCAATCCCAGTATTTCCCAAGTGCTGTTAAATAGATGCAGCCTCTACATATGGGGTTGGACTCGCAAATTTCGGATACTGTTGTGCCTTTGGAATGGTGTACAGAAGTTGAAGTCCCTTCATGAACGGCTGATACGATATGGTCAAAAAAAAACCATTGGTCTTGATGGCTCGTCAGGAATGCAAAACTTGATGATGGTGCCACGCTTCCAATCCTCCCATTTTCTGCACAGAGCAGGCCTATCGTCGCCCATGACCCCTTCCCCATCCTAAACGTTCGGCTGAATTAGACTTCACTCTTGGTTGAGCGCAAGCATCGAATCAGCCAACTCCGCGTTTGAGGTTGTTGAGCCGGATGCACCAGAGTCGGAGTCCATATCTGTCATGCCGGGGGACTGACTTGAATTCTGTTGACAAATGCCGAAAATCTGGTCGCTACGTAGATGAATATAGTAAGCGTTAACAGCTTTGGTGACTGAGGAGTTTGGGTTCAAGAATAGGAGGATCAAACACGAGACAAGTAGGTGCTGAGCCGAATCATCGCTGGACGAACTTGCGGTATTTCCTGCAACTTCTTCGCGCACCAGACGCCAGGAGGTTGACCGTCTTATGGAAAAGCAATGAGCATGATCTTACCACAGACGCCCACCAAGGGCACGTTACCCCGATATGCGCGTAAGTTTTATCACATTCAGTTAATGTAAATATGAATTTTTCGGGACGTGCGAAAAGTTCAGAAATTAAAAAAAATATATTACACAATTGAGTCCCAACGTAACAAACAAGAAAAGCCAACAAAGAAAGTGTGGCAAAAAGATTCGAGATGTCCCAGAAGAATAACTGTGACTTATACAATTTTGACCTTCGATTTTGCCCCACTTAACGCCATATCCCATGGCATCTGCCAGCCGAGGGCCATTTTCAGAGTCTTCTTACCCACAACATTAGACCTGTTGTACAACCCGAGCCGATTGATACAATCTAGGCGATATTTGTCAGGGGCGAGGATAAGCCCTAAGATGCAGAAAGAGCCAAAGGTCACCAAAGGGACAAGGTAGAACGGACCGTCTTCCTCTTTCAGCCACGAGTAAGCCAGTCCAGATCCGCCTCTACCCGGGCTATATACTTCTTCAACTGCTTGAACGACACTGGAGCGAGGCAACATTCCAAGTCGATGTAGCCATCCAAAGCCGGCCCGGTTGCTGAGTGTGTGGCCAAGGTACATCCAGCATCCAACACCCTGGCGTGTTCGGTGATGAGGTGACGCTTCCGTAATTCTGGCATCACCAGTGCGCTGTCCCATTCGATCTGGGAGTCAATACCTGCCCATGACCATGTGGGTGAGCGTCGGGTGGTCCTTGGATCTTGACTTTGGCGAGAATCTACGGCAGTGAACCAGCAAAGATTCTCGAAGAGAGAGTTTCCTTCCATAAACCGGCCAGGTAGTGCCTTTGTGTCACTCTCTGAAAAGCATCAGCCACTCCTGAGATAGCGGCTAATCTGTCAGACTTAACAGTCAGTCCTTGGGGCGTGTAATCACATAGTATCTGCCCCAGCAGTATGAAAGCGCGATGTACTGGCCTTTCATGCCCTCGCATTCGAGGAGTCGAATCCTGTCTAGACTACCTAAGAACTCTAGTGGAAAATGAAACATCACCAGTGATGCCTTTGGATGTTGACGTACAACGTTCATGGGATGCCGTATAGTTGTCAAGCCTGTCATGGATCATTTCGAAAGCGATGATAGAGCCAGTACCATTCTCTGTGAAGGTAGGAGGCAAAGGAGGGATGCCTTATGGATTTTGGTAAACCTACCAAGACAGTACATAGGTTACTAGTTTGTCACATCTCGCAGAAGAGGTTGAATGACATAGGATACGGGAAGATACTTGGCCTACCTACCATGAATCCCAGATACCGTCAATGTAAACAGCAAGTCAGTGTCGCCCAGCACCAGTTGAGGCG